GAAAGACAGTAGAATGCATCCCGTAGTGCAGATAGACGTTGACTTCCAAGGAATAAAATCTCTTCTGCTCTTTGAGACGGTCGAACTGCACTAAAGATCGCCACAGACACAACCGTCTCTGTGTCCATAATTGGTTTATAAGGTCGACTGTAATGCCCTGGCGGTGGACCCACGCAGTTCAGAGGAGGACGCAGTGGGATGGGTACCTGAAACCGATACTCATCCGCCAGAGTCTTCAGCTCAGAGTCATCCAACAACATGGAGATGCTTTGGAACATATCCTCAAAGCTTGTCCTCTTAATCCTGTCCTCCTCCGCAATCCGTTCCTGATCCATTCTCCGTAAAAGTTCCTTGTCCTCTTTGTCATGTCGTTTCCTTATTGCCATCTCCATCTCCTTGATTGATATGATTCGCCTCTTGAGCCCAGGACCGTTGGAGTCGCTACGTTGCTGGCAATCAGAGTTCTGTACATCATTGGGTGTGCTTGATGATGAGGGCCTTGCGTCCTGTGGAGTCATGGAGGAGGAACGGCTGTAACTACCGTCCTGTTGAGGATCACCTCCAATTGTTACAGCCCGTGTGTGGTCTCTGCTTTGTGCGGGATAAGATGGCGACATAGGTGTTGGAGTTGAAGTTGAAGTTGAAGTCGCGAGATGGTTAGAAGGCCTAGGTGATACGGATGTCGAAGCAGAGACAGAAGCAGGCGTCATTGAAATGTCCTCTCCATTATCATCATAGTCGTCATCCCCATCCTCATCATCGTCGTCATCCTCATCATCCTCATTATCATCGCCATTATTAATTTGGTTATTTGCATTTCTATCGTTCGCTTCATCAAGCCTCCTTGATTTCCGGCTTCGCCTCTGTCGCCGGCTTTCTATTCTCGGTCTCTTTTGTGCCACTGTTGCTCTATGGGCCTCGAAGGGTATCCTTTTACGTCCCCTGACTGAGGAACTCAACATTCTCCGAAGTTTGTCATCCGTAGTATTCAACGGTCGTGTCAATCGAGGAGGCCTGAGTTGTAAGCTTGATGGATCTCCATATTCAGAGACTTCATCCACGATTCCATATTCTGAAGACCATGTGGGGCGGAGTTGAGTGTCCTCTTGATCTTGGTGTTCTCTCTCTGTCTTCTCAACCGAGTTTGCAAGCCTTTGCTCCTGCCATTCCTTCAACAGACCCAGGACGGTTGGATCCTCGAATATTTTATTGGTTTCTTCATAATCTTCCCAAACATCACATCGTTTCGCGACCTCCTGCTCTTGATCATAATCTGAAAAGTATTCATAATATGGATCATGATCCTCTTGCTCTTGTATCAGTCGGTGGAAATTGACGCCAAAAGGCAAGATCGGAAACCGTGCACTCTGAGGTTCTACAGATGTAATGTTTGGATGAATTTTTGAATTCCTGTGCTCTGTTGCTGCTGCTGTTGTTGTTGTTGATGTCCTTGTTGATGTTGGTATCCTTGTCGATGTATTTTGGTGGGAGCCATTGTCATTTCTCAATGAAAAAGAAGAGGACGACGAGGACGACATGTTGTGAAAAGAATAATTACTGTGTGCTCGTTACCATGTTTAAAATGGTCATGTTTCCTGATTTGGCCCTTTTTTTTTTTTTTTTTTTTTTTTTTTTTTTCATTTATTTTATGCTTACAACTAAAATATAAACCATGACTATTATATTATAATAAAATAAATAAATAAATAGCTACTCCACATCTATGATACAAATTGTTGATACATTGAGAATAAAAGGTAAGCGAGATCCATTCTTCACGTCCGGAGACGCTTATGTGCGTTGTTGCTCTGTTGAAACGCGCTCCCAGTCCGAGGAGGTGCATGCATTGTATCAAAGTCAGTCGTGAGCGATGATGGTGAGGGTGAAGCTTGAGAAGACCATCCATCCTCCTCTGCTGCGTTCCCGAGAAGACCATGCTCCTGCCCAGATTCATCCGTATCATCATCCTCATCCTCACCACCATCCCTAGGTAATGACGACGGCGCAGCTCTTTTCTGAGCTTTGGACGCAGGTCCTTTTCCTGATTTATTATTATTTCCTCCTGCTTTCGAGATGGCCTCAGCTGCGCTCTTTTCCGCTGCTTTCTCAGCCGCTGTCATGTGCGTACGCTTATGACGTGTCACTTGATCCGGTCTAGAGAATCGTTTCTCACAACCAGGAAATGGACATTGGAAAGGACGTTCGCCTGTGTGCACACGTAGGTGCTTGGTCAAGTTGGAGGATTCTGCAAACCACTTGTCACAGCCCTCAAACTTGCATTTGAATGGTTTTTCACCCGTATGAACACGCCGATGGATCGTGAGTGCTCCAGAGATTGAAAATTCACGTCCACATCCTGGTTCTGGACATTTGAATGGCTTTTCGCCCGTATGTGTCCGCATATGCTGAGCCATGATGTTCGCTTCCGAAAACCGCTTTTTGCAGAGCTGGCACTGATATGGTTTATCCCCTGTATGGGTTTGAATATGCCTCATTGCCTTTTGTCTCTGACCAAATCCACGGCCGTTTCGTTCACAGCCCTCCCATTCACAAACATACTCACTTTTCCCTGTTCCGACATGGTCCTCACTCAGATGTGTCGTCAAAGAATCGAAATTGCTGAATACTCGGCCACAACCCTTCCAACCACATCGATGTTGTTCTCCTTCGTTCGCATTCTCCTGACCTGTAGAAGTTGTAGTAGTGTTATTGCTATTGCCACTGGCGTTACTGCTACTATTATCATTATTATTATTACTATTACTATTAATGTTGTTGTTGTTGTTGTTGTTGTTGCTGTTATTGTTGCCGTTGATCTTAAGGGTGTTGACCTCTATAGGCTGTTGAGTTAGTTTTGTCGTCTTTGACTTTGGCTCTGAATGCCCAGACTCCAATTCCGAGACGTCAGGCAATGGTAAGATAATGTGGTGATCTGCTCGAAGGTGCTGTAGTAATTGGCTTCCATCATGTTGTTCTGTCTCACAAGACTCCCAAAGACAGAGAGCATGATCATTTCCAACTATCGGCATATGAAGTTGCGAGACGTGAGGCAGTAGGTCATCCTGAGACATAAATTCAGCAGTACATCCTGTCCAGAGGCAACGAATTATGTGGTCAATTTGGTCGTCATCCATCAAAGTGGATGATAGGGACATTGGGTCATCTGAGGCTGTAGCTTCTGTTGTATTAGCAAGACCTCCTAAAGGGGTCATATTCGATGTCGACACCTGATTGAGATGATGATAATGTTGTTGTGGTTGTTGTGGTTGATTATTGTAACTCTCATTGTTTTGATTGTTGTTATTATTGCTTATAAAGTGATATGTCGAGTACGGATTGTTGATGTCGCTACTGTGTTGAAGATGATTATCGACATGATTACAGCCATTGCTATTGTTCCAACTATAACAGGATAAAAACAATGCAGTTTAGCAAACAGTTACGATGAATAATGCAATAAATAGGCTGGTTAAAAAAAGAAAAGAGAGAGACAACTTACGAATCATTTACAGGTGTGCACTGTAGAGATTGTGTCGAGAAGTAGTGTGGAAGTTGTGCTATGATTGGTGTGGGAGTAGTGGATGTGGCGGATGCAGAGCCAGACGAAGGTGAAGCTGCGTCTGGACAACAGGTCTGACAACAGTCATTGAGGACCTCTGGATGCTCTGTGCAACAAGTGGATGCAGCTTGTCGACTTACAACTGTTCCTGGTTGAACAAGATCCTGACAACATTCAGAATCCATACCCTCTTGATTTGCAGACTCTATGATACAGCATTCGATCTCCTGGATGGTATAGCCATTGATAGTAGGTTGAGTATGCGGACTATGGCAACAGTCAAGAGATTCAATTGTCAGGCTATTCGTAGTTCCGCAGCATGTGCTGGGCTCGACAGTTGTGGGACAACAAAAGTCATTGATATCATGAATCATAGTGCAGCATTCGTCTATAAGAGCAGGGGTGATAGACCCATGATGTATTGAGCCATTGTGATGGGTATGGGTCTGATGTCCTTGTTGTTGCTGTTGTTGAATGTACTGGAAGGACGACAACTGGTGTAGGGTCGAATCCAGAGTCGTCGACATTGCTGTTGTGTTTTTTTTTTTTTTTTTTTTTTCTGTCGAATGTTGAAAAAGGATGGAAAAAGAGTTATTAAAGTAAATTAATTAGCTTTTCAAATGATGATAAATGTTGATGACTTTGAAGAAAAAAAAGAAAAAGAGAGAAGGAGGGAGAGAGTTTCAAGGCACTTTGCAAAAATAGACACATGGTTAAGAGAATGGTTAGGATGAGATATTGCAATTACGGGGATAGTGAAGCCACATGCGGAAATGCAACGGCTCTTTACATCTTCATTCATTTAAAAGTCTAAATTGGTATCCTTGAGCCTCTTGAGAATCTTACATGTTTCACCCGCATCAGTTGCAGGAATCGGTGCTTTTAGGACAGAGGCAGGGTAATAAAAGTAGCGATGACAGGAATCTCGTCTCATACACGCACGGGAGAACAGGATAGGGCGGTTGCAATCTAAACACCTTTGCCGAGCATTGATTGAAGGGGGGTTTGCAGCTTAATCGAACATAGAGGCTTTCTCTTCATATTGCAATGTGTATATTTGTTTAATGTTCACAACCACAGGTTAGTCACGGATGAGTCTGTGCTGCAGAATAGCTAGTCGACTTGTCAGCATCAAGAAAATAAATAGTAGAAAAAGGCGTTGTAGATGTTGATAACCACCATCAAAGGTAATGACTATTGATCAGTCCTCTAATTCGCAATAGACTATTAATCGGACAAAGAGACGGATATATATATATATCTCATATGTATACATCTAAATTACCTTTCCAACGTGTTCCCTTGAAGCGATAAACTTCTGTCCGCTCTTTCCTCCTAATCATCCTCACAAATGTGTAGCGCCAGTGCAGTCATTTATGACGATGTCATGTTGGTACGCTTCGCCCGAATTTTGATTCCTCTGAACGGCTATTAATAGTTGCCCTCTAGAATTCTCTGATGATCCTAAAGAGCCTGTAGACCCGGATAAATCTGCATGATCTCTTTACTAGCTTTACCTCTAGCCTTCAAAACCACCGTCTAAATAAGAATCCCTCCGAGGATGCCGATAAACTACTCAAGCTTGTAGCGTAGCATAGCAAGGAGCAAAAAAAAATGTTGTTTTTGTAAAGGACATTGCTTTCGCTGCCATAAGGGTGATTCAATGCAAATTGTGTATGTATCATGAAGCTCTGCTAAAAAAAAAATAAAAAAAAAAATTCATGCATGAGCTTCTTTAAGCTTGGAACGTGTAATCTTGATTGATAGATTGTGTTGATGTTGATGGCGGATATGATTGTTGTTGGCCTTTAGGGATTATTGGAGGCTGAAAGAACATTGAGTGGAATATACCTCCTTCTTACCTCGACCATAGGTACATGAGCAAAGTAATTAAGAAGAAAGATGGGTATGGAAATGGAAACTGCATGGATGATGTTCAAAAAACGATACATTTGTTTGCTGACATGGCCAAGTCTGTTAATGGGGAAAGGACATGATTATCGCGAGTCAGGATCATCTGAATGGGCTCCTCACCCTCAACACAGCCGTCTTTTATTTTTTCAGGCAGTCAATAAAGAAATTCCCGCTTCGCCCCATCTTGGAGTCTTTTTGTGTCTTTGGTCTTTTTTTTTTTTTCCTCCTTTTCCTTTTCCTTTCCTTTTCCTTTTTCCTTTTCCTTTTTCCTTTTCTCCTTTGTTCTTTGACCCTTTCCACTTACCTCAATTTTACCTTCACTTGACTGGCCAGACCTTGGCTCTTCTCCCCGATTAACATATCCTCTCAACCCTCAACTCTCAACTCTCAACTCTCAACTCTCACCTCTTTTTTCATCTACACAAAAGAAGCTTTAAAGAAACAAAAAGAAAAAAAAAGAAAAAAACAAAAAAATAAAGGAAAAGGGCATCAGGAACAAACGATGACGCACTCACTCTCAATCGGTCGTCGTCTGGGTCAGATGGTGATGCTTGGTGCAGCAGCATCTCTTGCACTCATTTCACTGGATTCACATCATCTCGTTCAAGGATTTTACTTGCCAGGGGTAGCCCCTCATGACTATGTAAAAGGCGATCCAGTGCCGTTGATGGTCAATGCATTGACTCCTGGTTCTGATCGGGATCTCAAATCAGTCATTGCATATGATTATTATGACCCACAGCTTGGATTCTGTGCTCCAGAAGGAGGTGAAAAGGCTCAGGCTGAATCCCTTGGAAGTATCTTGTTTGGTGATCGAATCTGGACCTCGCCATTTAAGGTATTTAATATTATATAATATCACATAACATGTCATATTGCATTTAAACGGTATTAAGCAGTAAAAAAAAAAAAAAAAAAAAAAAACACTTTTAACGTTTTTATTTCTATTCCATTTGGCTTTAAAGATCAATATGAACACCGTGGTTGATTGTCAACGTCTTTGTGACAAGGAAGTGGATGCAGAACAGGCCCAATTCATCAACGCACGTATCCGTGAGAATTATGCGATCAACTGGCTAGTCGATGGTTTACCGGCTGGACATGTTCGTCCTGGTCGTGAGCCGGACACGGAGGTGTACTCGATCGGATTCCCTCTGGGCGAGGACACTGGAAGACCAACGCCCCAACTGAATAATCATTACGAAATCTCGATTGATTTCCATCATAATATTCAAAAGGATACTCTACGTGTTGTCGGAATTGTAGTCCAGCCTATGAGGTATAAATGACTCGAGTTTTTTTTTTTTTTTTTTTGTTAATTGTTTATCTATCTAATATCATACAGGGATTGAAAAAGAAATAGCATCGAGCATTTTTTTCTATGGATTTCATTATTCCAAATCTGGATATTCAATCAATGGATTCGATGGACGAAACGAAAGACTCCATAGGGAGGGATATCAGCATTTAACAATAGATTTAAAAAAAAAAAAAAAAAAAAAAAAAAAAAAACAACTTTTGAACAAGGGATACGCAGGATAGAGAAAAAAAAAAGAGTCACGAACCGTATCGCAGCGCATGGAGCTAAAGGCGAACATCCTTGGTGGAATTAAGTTTGATAGAACAGGGAATCTAATACCTTGATGTTACTGCACTCTTAATCATAGCATTGCCTCTCCTGTAATTGGCCAGCCTGCATGCGGTATTTTGGATGCTGATCAATCCCCTCCTGTGTACCTGGACGAGAAGGCTACAACCCCTGTTACTTACACCTACTCTGTCAAGTGGAATGTATGTGAATACTTTGATTAGTCAGTATTGGTTGAATTCCTTATCACATCTTGGGCAAATGGGGCTCACATTGGTAAATATTTCAACGGCTAAATAGGAAGTGGCGACTGCTTGGGCGACGCGTTGGGATAAGTATCTGTTAGTGGGAGAGCCAAGGATCCACTGGTTCAGTTTGGTGAATTCAATCATCATTGTCCTCTTCTTGACAGGGATGGTCGCGATGATCCTGTTGAGGGCTCTTCATAAGGATATTTCACGCTATAACCAATTGGAAGCACAGGAAGACATTCAGGAGGACTTTGGATGGAAGTTAGTCCATGGAGATGTCTTCCGGACCCCAGCTTATCCAATGTTGCTCTCCATCATTGTCGGAAACGGATCCCAGATGTTTTTGATGGCATCTGTCACCATTGTGTTTGCAGCCCTTGGATTCCTATCGCCATCGAACCGCGGATCACTTGCTACGGTTATGATTGTGTTTTACATGTTCTTTGGTATCGTGGCAGGTTTTGTGTCGGCACGTATGTACAAAATGTTGGGCGGTGAGGCATGGAAGAGCAACGTGCTTGGAACAGCTTTCTTGTTTCCTTCGTAAGTGCATATATGGTTTTTTTTTTTTTTTTTTTTTTTTTTCTTTTTTCTTTTTCTTTTTCTTTTCCAGAATCTGAAATAACAGCAAGTGCTATATATTAGTGTTGACTAACATTAATATATTGGGATTCAAAATATTTATACAGGATCATATTTAGCGCATTTGTAGCACTCAATTTCTTCTTGATCAGTGCCAATTCGTCAGGAGCGGTTCCATTTGGTACGATGCTCGGGATTGTGGCTTTATGGTTCTTGGTGTCGACACCTTTGTCGGTGATTGGGTCATATCTTGGATTTCAGCGTCCCCAGATTGAGCATCCAGTTCGGGCGAACCAGATTCCTCGTCAGATTCCTGAGCAAGTGTTTTATCTTCGACCGATTCCGTCGATGCTCATTGGAGGTATTCTACCTTTTGGGGCCATCTTTATTGAACTGTACTTTATTCTGAACTCGATCTGGTTCCACAAGATCTACTATGTGTTTGGGTTCTTGTTCCTTGTGTTCGGGATCTTGATCTTGACCTGTGCAGAGGTGACGATTTTGATGTGTTACTTTCATTTGTGTGCGGAGGATTATCATTGGTGGTGGCGAGCGTTTTTCACCTCTGGAGCATCGGCATTTTATATCTTTGGATATTCGGTCATGTACTACTTTTCGACGTTACAGATCCGGTCGTTTACGTCGATGGTGCTGTACTTTGGATGGACAGCGATCATGAGCTTGATCTTTTTTGTGCTCAGTGGAGCAATTGGATTCTTTTCGACATTTGTGTTTGTTAGGAAGATTTATGGAAGCATCAAGGTTGATTAGAAAAAATGAGGTAGTTTAGATTTCATATATTTCAAATGTGGAACAGGGTGGTTACACAGTGGTTTTTTTTTTTTTTTTTTTTTTTTTTTTTTTTAAAAAAAAAAAAAAGTTATTGAAATAAAAGAGTTAAAAAATCAGGTACAGACCCTAAAAGAAAAAGACCGCCAAATTTTACAAAAATAAAAAAAAAAAAAAATAGCAAACATGGATAAAAAAATACTGTTGAACTGTGCACACCCTAATACTGTATGGATAGACCATATAAACCACTGTCATAACGTTGGATGTTATATACATGTTGAAGATTGAAAGCATTTTTTTTTTTTTTTTTTAAAAAAAAAAGAAAAAAAAAGAAAAAAAAAAAAGCAGGCTATAATAATAATAATAATAATAATAATAATAATAATAATAATAATAATAATAATAATAATAATAATAATAATAATAATAAAAGAAAAGGATAAAAAAAGCTTTCAACCATCCAAAAGCAGAAAGGTGCACAAAAGAAAAGAGAATAAGAATAAGAATAAGAGTAATAATAAATAAAAAAAAAAAAAGTCGCGTTGCTTTCATTTCTTGAGTAGGATGGATATTGGCTCACGCTCTCAGTTGGAAAAAGTAGTACTATAGTTTATTTGTCCCACTAGAGAAAAAATATAAATCCAAACAAAGATTGAGCATGGGTTGAAGAGAGGGAGAGAGAGCCAACGGTTTTTTTTTGTTTTTTTGAGCCTTTGAGGTTGAAAGAAAAAAGAAAAAGAAAAAAGAGGGATCTTGGGGCTGGATGCAGTTAGGAGTGTAGCTTATGTCATGTCTCCAGCTTGCTCGATTGCTAGGTTGGAGAAGAAAGGAAAGGAAAGGAAAGGAAAGGAAAGGAAAGGAAAGGAAAGGAATAAAAGTAGATTAAGAATAATAAAAGGAAGAAAGAAAAAAAAGGGTACATGAGCATGCAGAGATGAATCGTTTGATGATGATGAGAAATGTATTGTTTGCAATTAGTGGTATGTATGAATGTATTATAAATTATATCAGAGAACTCTAATTATGTTAATGCACGAGCAAAAAAAAAAAAAAAAAAAAAAAAAAAAAAGAAAAAGGTGTGCATGTCATGTTATTAAAAAAAATAAACGTTATACAAATACACAAGTTGGAGGTGTGAGGTTGGGGGTGTGAGGTTGAAAGTGTGAGGGAGGGGAGAAGGAGAGAAAGTGAGCCCGATATTCTTTTTTATATATATTTTATACAGCATGTGCATACACATTGCATCTATCCATGTAATGCAATCTGTCTTTTTTCTTCTTCTTTGTTTACTCTAATTGTTTGAATTCCTTGTAGACCGTTATGATCCTTCAAAGACTAGGCTATTCAAGGAAAAGAAAGAGGAAAACAAATAAAAAACATAAAAATATACATTCATCATGTCATCTATTCAGTAATCATGGCATAGCATGGCCATGCAATGCAGCCATTCATTCGCAGTTGAATTAAAAAAGAAAAAAAAGTCGAACAAATGTTAATTGAAAGAGATTTTCGTCCTTCTTCCTTCTTTGCGCACGCTCCGCTGATTATCCCTGTTGTTTCTCCACCTTTTTTCCTTTCTTCTTCTTCTTCTTCTTCCTCCTCCTTCCTCTTCCTACCTTCATCTCCTTCCTTCCTTCTCTCTCCTCCATCTCTCTTTCATTGTGTGTGTGTCTGTGTGTGTTTGTCTGTGTAAGTGTGTTTGTGTGTTACTTCTCCAATCTCACCCCTCTTTTTTTTTTTTTTATCCCGCCATCTCTGACCTCTTGTCTGTTGTCTCTTGTCTCTCTATTCTTTGTTTCCCATTCACAAACCTGCTCATCGACCCTGTCATTGTCATCTGTTCATTCACCCCTCTTTTCTTTTTCTTTTTCTTTTTCTTTTTCTTCTTTAAACAAGAACTCATCATCTCATTCAACTCTAATCGTCTCATTCTCCGTTATAAACTAGTTTGACAGCACACGTCTAGGTTTTATCAAAGCATTAATAAGAAACCTAACGGTCATAGTCAGGAACAAGAAGAAGGATCCTCTTACTCCATCTTCCCTTCAAGTCATCACATCTTTTTTTTCTTTTATTTTTTTATAACGATAATAAGAAAAAAGACAAGAAAGAACCATCAGTCCATTTTATATTTTTTCTTTATTTTTTTTTATGGACCTTTACCGATCTCAACTTCTTTCTTTTTTTGTTAATTTCTCATCAATTGCTCGTTATTCTTCTATCTTTCTCTCTCTCTCTCTCTCTCTCTCTTTTTTTTTTTTTTTTTTTTTTTTTCCTTCCATCCTCCTTTTCCCTTTCTTCTTACTTGCTCTTGCCTTACAACTTTTTGGAGTATAAAGTAAGAGAGCGAGAAAGTGAGAGAGTGTGACATCTAATTGAGCCCTCCATCAACGAACAATGGCCGGCCTGTTTTCAAAGAAATCTCGTAAAGAGAAGGAGGAGAAAGCTGCAGCGGCTGCAAAAGCTACGACTACTGCTTCTTCAGGCACTACTCAAGGATCTACCGGCTCAGGTTTCTCGGTCAATTCCATCAATAATAATAATCTTACTGCTCCTGGTCCTTCCACTCCGTCGGGTCATCCTCCAGCATCAAACGGCTCCATCGTATCATCTGCATCTAACCTTTCCTCAAGTGCTAAACAACATTATCAAGGAGCACAAGGACAGACACAAGGACAGACACAGGGACAGGGGCAGACACAGGGACAGGGACAAGGACATTTCCATGATAATTCGAGTACCAACAACAGTTTGTCTACCAGTTCAGATTATGCGTCTCAGCAACAACAACATGGTCAAGGACCATCTAGTAAAGCATCATTCGAGAGCGACAAGGCGCGTCATTATCAACAGCAACAGATGCAAAACCCCATGAGTCCTATTCAGGGTCCTCCACATTCTCTCTCATTGTTGCATGGCACGAACGCCTTATTCGGGAACAACCATAATATCCACAGCGGTATCCATGGACCATGGATCTCAGCACAGGTCGTGTCTGTGAATCCATTTCCACGTATTGGACACACAGCATCGTATGTGCACACGGGAACGGACATTTATGTCTTTGGAGGCATCTCAAAGAACTCGATCCAGAGGGACATGCATATCATTGATTTTCGTAAGATTTATTTTTTTTTTTTCCTTCTTGCTTTTCTTCCTTCCTTCCTTCCTTCCCTCCATTTGTATTACAATAACAGTTTTTGCAAAAATGGTTTTATCATCATTACCATTTTAGAATGATGCTCATCATCCATTCTGTAACACCGATTTTTTTTTTTTTTTTTTTTTTTTTTTTTTTTCATTCTTACAATTTGCAACGGTCTTTAATCGATGATTCTCTTTCATGTCCGTGTATTTTTTGAAACAGCATTGTGCAAATCCCCTTAGTCTACCTCTCTCTCTCCCAACCTCTTTATTTTGTTTTTTATTTTATTTATTTATTTATTTATTTTTTTCCCGCCCTTCCTGCAAATGTCAAATGTGAGAAAAACAAAAAAGAAAAACTTACCGAAGCATCATTATTTAATATTCTGACCAATGCATTTTAACGGATCTTTCGAAATAGAATCTTTGCACTGCCAGGTCTTACCAGCCATGGGAATGGACCATCCACCTCCCACAGCAGGTCATACCGCTGTGACCCTTGGTCAATACATCATGTGTAAGTTGGAAAAGTGAATGCAGTTCTTGTTCTTTTCTACACATGTTCATCTATTTTTTATCTGTTTATCTGTTTATCTGTTTATCTGTCTATCCGTTACATCTTTGTTCATCTATTCATCCGCTTTTCTATTTCCTTTGCTTTATTTTTTTTTTCTGTTCTTTCTAGATTTCGGAGGACGGGACACTAAAAACAAGTGCAGCGATGCATTGTTTGTGTTGCATACAGTCCGCAAGGAGTGGAATCGACCGGTGATCCATGGTCTATTGCCTGCACCCCGTCATTCACATGCAGCCTGTGTCATTGGCACGACCATGTTTATCTTTGGTGGACAGTTCAATGGATACTATCTTAGTGACATTGCCTCATTCGACATGAAATCCTGTAGGTCCTATGCCTCACAACTGTATTCTATTTTTTTTTTGCTTTTGCTTTTGCTTTTGCTTTTGCTTTTGCTTTTGCTTTTGCTTTTGCTTTGCTTTACTTTGCTTTACTTTACTTTACTTTACTTTGCTTTGCTATGGTCGATAACTGAACTGATAACCTTTTTTCTTTTTCTTTTTTTTGGTTTGTGTGTGTGTGTGTAGTAAATACCCCAAGTCCCAAGTGGAACCGTTTGGAGCCTACATCGGAGATCCCTCCCGCGCGTGCTGGCCATTGCGCGGCAGCTCACGATGGCAAGGTCTACATGTAAGTTGAAAATGAGTTGATCGCATTATCGTCCAAGTTCATATTTGTTCATTTGGTGGCGACTTCATTTATGATATTTTGAGCTTAAATATTTCGCCACCAGTGTACGGTGACGAGCGAATCAATTGGTTGTCAATAGACGACGTTATTTTGTTATATACTCATGACCAAAGAAAAAAAAAAAAAAAAAAAAAACGTGGTTCTTATCTTTCCATCTTATCTGATTTTTTTTTTTTTTAGTTTTGGTGGTGCTGATGACCAATTCTTCTACAACGACATTTGGTGCTTTGATCCACAAACAAACACATGGGAGGCAGTACCAGCATTCGGTGTATTGCCCACAAGTCGTCAAGGCCATTCTGCTTGTGTCGTAGATGATACCATGTACATTTATGGTGGAATGGATCATGAAGATCAACTCTTGGGCGATTTATCTGCATTCAAATTTAATGGTAATGTATTATATACAATTATAACGTGTGTTTTTTTTTTTTTAATGTTTATATTTATTGTATAAAAGCAATAGTCTTAATAACAACTTGATGCTCATCTCCTTGTTTTCCCTTCAATGTTTCCTTCTTTATAGAACGTCGCTGGCTGACCTTCCCAACTACAATCGAGTCACCATCACCTAGGACTGAGCATGCTATGTGTGCTGTAGGAGACAGGATTTTTATTCTTGGCGGTCAGCTGGAACTGAACGCTGATGAGGAGGATGCTAAATCCATCTACATCCTTGACACAAGTATGTTCTTGATTTTTTTTTTTTTTTTTTTTCCTGTCCCTCTTCTTCCTTGTCTCCATGTTTGTAATGTGAAAAAAATCTTTTTTTTTTTTTTTTTTTTTTTTTTTAACCCATTCACTATTTTTTTCCCCTCTCTTTATTTTATTTTAATAGCGAAAATTCGATATAACGAGCCTGCAATCACATCTCAACGATCTCCATATGATAATGAAAGTGCGCTGCGTCTGGAAGTCCCACCAGCTGAATCCTTGGATGACACTCCAAACCGACCCAATCTTAATAATGACCCCTCAATTAATAATAATCAACAGCACAACAACGATGGCATCACTAACACCAACACCAATAATAATGTCAATCCCAACACTAGTAATGGAAACCCTAGTCTTTCGCGCTTTACTGTAGATGACTCCATGATTGGGCCCTATTCGCAAACACAGGGACGTCCCAGTTTGGATGATTCGATTTCACGTCGCAGAGCCGCAGGCAAACCCGCTATGACTGGCTACCATGAAATCGAGCCACGTGCAACCCAATCCATTGATGAGACTCGTCGACCGAGTGTCGGTACTGGTTCCGACCCACATGAAGCGCGAGGACAAGTATTTGGATTCCAGAAGCCTTCGCAATTCCAACTTGGATACAGTCTTAGCAAACAGCTACAGCAACAACAGCTACAGCAACAACAGCTACAACAACAACAACAACAACAGCTACAGCTACAACAACAACAACAACAACAACAGCAGCAGCAGCAGGATATTGCTGAAAGGAGATCATTGGATAGCCGGGGAAGAGGTTCGTCGAATCCATCACCCAATTCACTACCCCGTGGATCAATAGATCAGACTGCTCGCAACGTCTTGGTTCAACAGCAGCAGCAGCATCAACAGCATCAGCAGGAACAGCAGGAACAACAGCAGCAACAGCAGGAACAACAGCAGCAACAGCAGGAACAACAGCAACAACAGCAGCAGGAAAAAGAAAAAGAACTTGAACAGCGACAGCAAGGTTCGCCTGATTTGCAGGACACTTCCAAGGATGCAGAGATCAAAGACCTAAAGCAACGTGAACAATGGCTCCTTGCAGAAGTAGCAATGGCACGAAAGCGGATGGGGGAACGTCCACTCAGTTTAACAGCTGCGTTGAAAGAGGACATGGTTGCATTCGATACAGAGCCAGACAGTGAAAAGTACAAGATCATGCAGGCACTCCTCAGCGTGAAACAAGAGTTGGAACGATCAAAGACCTTGATCGTTGCGCAGGCTCAAGTGGCCTCCAACAAGTTGCGTGAGGCTGAACGGGTCCGCACAGCAGCTTTACAAGAGGCTGCGTATCTAAAAGCCAAGGTTTCGGCCTTGCAGTCCGGAGAGGCCTCTAGTCTGGTCGCCACAGAGACTGCAAGAGCCTTTGATCTGGAAAAGAGGTTGACAGCAGCATTGGCCATGGTCGATAAACTCCAGTCCCAATCAGATCAACACGAAGCCATCTTGGAACGTGAACGTCACGCGAAAGAGGCGGCCTTGGAACGAGAACGACAGATGGCTCAACGGGCAGAGGCAGCCGAGTTGTCTCATACAAGGTCCTTGGCAGAGTTAGCCACGCTCCATGAGCGAGCCTCAAAAGCCGAAGCAAATCTTCGAGAATGTGAAGCCAAGAATGCATCCAATGAGGCCGGACTATCATCCTATCAACAACAATCTACAGCACTGTTCTCACAGATCTCGGAACTCAAGACGACGATTGATCATCAAAAGAAATCGCTCGAGAAAGCAAAGATCGCGTTCTCGCATGCGAACGAACGTGCGGAAGCATCGGATCGGCAGTGGAATCAAGCCCGTCAAGAGATTCATACTTCACAGTTGGTCTTTGCAGGTGTCCGTGCAGATCTCGAAAGGGCTCAACGGGAGGCTGAGCACTGGAAGGCGAAGGCCCAGGATACGGATCTGTTATGGCAAAAGGCCAAGAGTGAGTGTGAGGCCATGAGAGCTCTGTTGGAAGAAGACATGAGCACCTCTGCCTACACACCGGGCAACAGCAGTCGTAAGCATGACAGCATTATGGCCATCACATCCGCATCTCGAGTTGCAGAGCTGGAACATGAATTGGGGACGTTGAGACATCTGTTGAGAGAATCGCAAGCAGCGGCTGCACAGGCCAACAAGGATCTGGGCGAGAGCATGCTCCGAATCTCACAGCTGGAGCAGTCATCTATGGCAGCACGTACAGAAGCTACAACAGCTCAACGCCAGTTGACCGCTGCTGAGGACAAGGTCTCCTCGCTCGAGGCTCAACTGAGTCAGAAGGAGGAGGCTTTGGAGGAGATGGCGAAGGAGCAAGAGAACAACGAAGTTCAGTTGGGCGTGCTCCGAGGCGTGATGCGTGAGAACGGTCTGTTGGCGGATGATCTGATTTTGGAAGCGTTGAGTCAAAGTGCTGCTGGCACACAGACGGCTTCATCAGGAGCTCAGAGCCAAACTATTGATGCGCTCCAGAATAAGATCCAGGAGCTGGAAAAGCAGGCCAAGGATACTGAAGAGCAGCTAGAGCAACTTTACACACTCAAGAAGCAGCAGGAAGAGAGGATCCAGCAACTGGAGTCTGATTATCAGACGGCGCTCCATTATGTACAGGGATCCGAGAGTATGTTGCAGCGACTTCGTGATGAGCGAGATGCTGCGCTGAAAAAATTCGAGGAAATCGAGACAGCGCATGCGGCTTGTGAAGAGTTGTTGCGGTCATCTACAAAAGAGGCTGCAGCGTCCGCATCCGTGTCCTCTGCTGCATTAGCTTCCCAGTTGGAAGAGGAAGTTTCGGATCTTCATCGCCAGTTGCATGAATCCATGGGTCGAGCTATGGAGTTGGAACAAAATATGGAGGAGATGACAAGGGCACTGCAGCAATCTGAGGCTGCAGCTGAGGCGACCATGAATGAGCTCAATGCCTTGAAAGCTAAGCAACATGAGCACATGGATCAGAACACAACCACGCCCGAGGCTTTCCAACAACAATTAGAAACTATGAGGCAGTCCATGGAGGAGACACAGACAGCCCTTCTAGAGACTCAGCGGTTGTTGGGGGCCAGCCAGTATGAGCTCAAGCAGGCACATGAGCAGAATAAGCATGCTAGCAGAGAGCTGGAGGAGGCTCTTGCGGCGCTCAAGACCGCACAGGAGAAAGCAGCTGCCTCAGAAGCAGCGGCCCTTGCTGCAAAGGAGGCTGCAATGGCTGCAACAGCAATGGCAGCGGCAGCGGCAGCGACGGCATCAACTGGAGGGAGACGATCACCGGAGGAAGAGAAGAAGCAGAAAGAGATGGAAGAGGAGCAGCAACGAAAGATTTCGGTCGCATTGGCGGAGGCAGAAGAGAAGCGGGCCGCGACTTTTAGGGCTCATCAGGAGGAGTTGGAGTTGGTGATTGACAATGCTCAAAAGACCATTCAGGAACTTCAGTTAAAGAATCAGGATCTGGAGCAACAACTTCGGGTGTCTGAGAACAAGATTGCAATCCTGCTGGATAATTACCAAGGTCCGGATTCGGTCCGCAACAGTGTGGCTAGCGTTGGAAGTGGCAGTGATGATTTGATGATGCGACTGCTGGAGGCTAGCCAACATCAACATCCCCATCAATTGCCGCCCACTGTTGCCAGTTTGATTGCTCAAGGAAGAGCCGCAGCAGCAGCAGCAGCAGCGGCAGCAGCACAGTCAGGAGCAGCTGGTGGAGCTTCTGGCCCATCTTCAACATCACCTTCACCAGCACTAACCGCAGCAGCAACAACAACAGGATCAGGCCTCACAGGAGCAAATCGGATCCCCACACCTGTGTCTCACGGATCGCATTTGACGGATAGATCTTCAGCAGATTCCTTGGCTAATGAGTTGGAATTGTTTCGCTCTACCTGGGGTCAAGCCCACTTGGCAGGTGCAGCTTACAGACCTGTGTTGACAACTGTTATCTCTTCGGAATCTACATCCTTTGGCCCTGCACAAGATGATGATGATGAGAACAATGCTCATGAAGGCACTGCCGATATCAACAACACCAATACCGATGAGGATGCAGCAGCAGCAGGCATCAATTCGCATGCTTCGACTCCACCAGCATCAACTGAAGGGGATTCATCACTTGCTGGAGCTGATGGTTCAATGGCAACGGATGCAGATGCGGGAGAAGGAAGGGATGATGGGGTGAATACAAGTGACGATGCTACCACTGCAGAAGCAACAGTATCACCTACGTCTGTTGTGACTCACAGCAGTAGCAACCCTCTTCCAGCGGCCACCATGGGGCCTTCTGCATCGACATTGAGCTCTGCTCAAAAACTGGAGGAATATGAAAAAATGATTGAGAATATGGCAAACACACGACGAAAAAATGAGGAATGATGAACAAGCAAAAAAAAAAAAAAAAAAAAAAAAAAAGTCGATTCTAATTATTATTACCATTACTATTATTATTATTATTATTATTATTATTATTATTATTTTATTATCATTATTACTTTACTTTAAACGAACCCTTTATCTTTTAGACATTCAAGAGATGAAAAAGAAAAAAAGAAAAAAAGAAAAAGAAGCGATATTGTTATAACTTACTATTGCTGTCATTATTATTTTAATGAAGATTATGTCAGCCATTGTTTGAACGCAGTTTTTATCATCAGAAAGAAATACAAGTCTTTTTTTTATATGCAACTGAATGGGAAAATAAAAAGAGTCGACTCAATGATTCTGGCTGCATGGTCAGTTGGTTGCCGGATGGGATATACATATATATATGTCTATTGTGTATATTTATATAAAAGTGTCGTGTCAAGGTCAAGAGTGTCCTTTGCTCATTGACTTTTTCCCTTTCTCTCCTTGATGAACAAGCGGGTTCCCCCTGACAAACAACTGTCTGTTCCTTCGACAAGACAAACAAACAAAAAAAGTCAGGATAAAATGCTCCTCAAATATCCACTCCTAACAAAACCCCGTCACTCACTCGACGTTAACTGCCTGTGTTCAATTAGTTTGTACGTTTATGGACTGGCTTTTCTTTTGTTTAATTTTATTTAGAGTCAATCCCTCTGGAGCTACCAAATACGAACATGACGCCGTAGACGATGGTCTGTTGAAATGGTCTACGATGGACGGGACGACCTGTTTACATTGGCATGGGCATTGTGGACGTACACAGTACCTTCATCTACACCGCTCTTTGGCTCGAGAAGCAAGATGCAGTATCAGATTTCCAGGGCAGAGGGATCTTATAAAGTAAGCAGGCTATTTTTACCTTTCTTTATTTCTCGTCAGGTTTCCAAAGAAGACTGACACACATTCGTTCAAGGCTATAGTAATGTGGATCAGTCCTTCTTTGTAAACCATTCAGTAAATTTAATTCGGATCTACGGAGGGGACTTGACTTTTTATCTGGACCCTCATTCGATATCACTTTATGTAATTGAACAGGAGAACGCAATGACCTCTGTCTAAAAAATATATAAAAATATATATATATATATATAATAAAGGAGTCTATGCCTCTTTGTATCTCAATCCAGTCATGGCTGCGTGGATACTAGATTTCCATCCATTTCGTTGTTCGTTGTCCAAGCGACCTGATAACTAGATCGGTGCATGTGGTGATCATAATGAAAGGCTCAACACAATTTGTAAAGAGGGATGCAGGGTATTTTGGCATTCTTGTTAGTTGCACTAGCCTCACGTGTAGTATACATGTTGTAACATTATTATACATATACATGCTGTATAGATGTGGACAGTAGAATACATATATATATAAATGCACCATGCCATCCAGATGCCCCCCATCGCCCATTGCATTGCATTGTATTTGCTCCCGCTCTTTGTTTTCCTCTTTGCTTTTGCTTTTGCTTTTGCTGTGCATTTGTCCTTTTCCTTTTTTATATCGTTTCCCCCCTTTCCTCCTTTTCTTTTTCTACTTCTTTTCTACTTTTTGCTACAGCCTTTTTTTTTTTTTTTTTTTTTTTTTTTTCTCCATCTTCATCTCTCTCTTTCTTCTTCTTCCTCTTCTTCTTCTTCTTCCTCTTCTTCTTCCCCTTATCACTCTATATTATTAATAGACTTTGTTGCTCACACTTTGCCACTTGACTCACCACACTTCCCTCGCTCCCCCCCTTTTTTTTTTTTTTTTTTTTTCACATCCTTCAACTTTTACTATCCTCTACTCACTATATACCACTAAAAAGAAACAGAAACAAAAAAAAAAAAAAAAAAAAAACAATAACCATAGCTATGAATGCACCGAGGAATTTTGGCTTGGACAGAGGTGAGTAATGATAGCCATTGCATTCTCCCACCACAATGGATTCAACAACAATAACAGAAACAACAACGAAGAAGAAGAAAAAGAAAAAAAAAGAAAAAGAAAAAGAAAAAAGAAAAGAGAAAAGCTCATTTCCATTTGGTCAAAAGTGATGACCATCTTTAAGAAAAAAAAAAAAAAAAAAAAAAATTGTTTTTTTTTGTTGTCCACAACGAATTCAATGGCCCGTGCGCATTTCAGGCACAAAAAACCTCTCGAATCACAGAAACAATAATATAATATTTATACAGATAATCATCATCACCTTGATCATAACAATCGTAATAATAAAATGATCATTATGCCCTTATCGATTTCAAATAGAGATTGCTGCAAAGCTCGCGTCCAAGTATGACGTGGGAAGGGAAATCGAGGTATCCATACAACTGAAGAAAGGAAATATAAAAAAAGAAAGAAAAAAAAGAACTTGCTGTTAGAATGTCTTTAACTTTTTTTGTTTTCTCAAAAAAAAAAAAAAAAAAAGGCCCGAGAGTGGATAGAGACCGTTATAGGAGAACCGTTCCCTTATGAAGGGTTCCAAGAGTCCCTTAAAGACGGTGTCATTTTAATCAAGTAAAACAAAGCTCCTTTTTGTTTTCTTTTTCTTTTTCTTTTTCCTTTTCCTTTTCTTTTTCTTCAATTTCCACACAGCTAATAATACCATTCATTACTACATTGGTCCTCCAAACTTTTTACACATCTTCCGTCCTCCTTATTGGTGGTGTAAATTCTTTGGCATCTTAGGCTGATGAATGTACTTATTCCAGGGTTTTTCAAGATCAAGGCCTCTAAAATGCCATTTGTTCAGGTTAGGTTTTTTTTTTTTTTTTTTTTTTCTTTTTTTTTGAATGAAATCCACATATCATGAAATAAAATTAGTTTGCTTTTGCTTAGAGTAATAACAATGATATTAATGGTGATGACAATAATATAGATGGAAAATATATCGAAATTCCTAGAAGGATGTGTACGTCTTGGATGTCCTAAACATGACCTCTTCCAAACAATTGATCTGTACGAGAACAAGAACCCTGGTCAGGTCGTGGACGCAATTTGGTCTCTATCCCGTCATGCAGCCAAAGCTGGATGCGATATTCCTGTAAGTGGGCTATAAGCTTTTCTTTTTTTTTTACTAACCATCCAAAGCACTTAAAATATATTCCTAACTCACCTTTGTTTTTTTTTTTTTTTTTTTTTTTTTTTTTTTACATATAAAATAGGTTCTCGGTCCTAAACTTTCTGATAAGCATGTACGGGAGGAATAACTGACAACATTCAGTCTTAAAACTTTTATATTATATATATATATATAATATATATATATCCATATATTCTTATCAACTGTAACAGCTCGACTGACGACCTCCGTCCTTTCCCCCCCCCCTCTTTCGACTATCATTAGGAGGTTGAGTTCTCAGAAGAGGTTTTGAATGCTGGCAAGAGTGTGATTAATACATACCAATATGGGTATGCTGGCGGGGCAAATCTTTCGGGTGTTCGACATGGGTACCGTCGTGAGATCGGAGGTATCGACCCAAGGCGTCACAGCTCACTCAACTCCAACGGAAACAAATCATAAACCGAACCTGGGGCACCAAACCTCCTGCACAACTTTATACTATTTTCTTTATTTTAAAAACCGGATCAACAATAAACGATTTCTTGGGAAAAAAAAAAAAAAAAAAAAGGAAAAAAAAGAATAGTTGCATTGATATATAATATAGCCTGGATACATTTTACATATAAATAATATCAAAATCAAAATCATATATTTATGGGGTGGAGTCGAGACTTGAACTACCTAGCAACTCCCTTACACATAATGTGCATAAATATGAACATAAAGATAATCGTAAACATGTTCATTTTTAAATGATGGTGTTGTTTGTGAATTATAGGATAGATATAGATATTTTTGCTCATTTATTAATGTTTTTGATGGGTGTATAAAGAAAAGAATAGCTTTTTTTTTTTTTTTTTTTTTTTTTTTGCTGTTTGTAATGAAGGGAAGGCCTGAAAAAAGCAAAAGACATCTTTATACGTTGAGTATAAAGTTGTCCATGCAGAGAAAAAAACCCACATCCAAAGCCAAGATCCAGAGAGGAAAACAAAAAAAAAAAAAAAAGTAAAGGAGATAGCTCAAAATGGAATAATGAGCAAAGTCCTTCTCTTCTTTTTCTTTTGTTTTAAAAAAATAACACTCTCTGCTCCCAGCTATGGTGCTTTTCTCAGGATAGAACGTCGACGACATTTTTTTTTTTTTTTTTTTTTTTGGGACATTTTGTGGTTAGGGGAATAAGAAAAAAAATAAAAAAGTCGTTGCCTTGAGAACTTTACAAAGAAAATCTTCGGTTGACGAAAATCTCTATGCATGTCTCAAATATGAACGACAACAACTCACAGTATTCATTCTTGCTTGACCGACTAGATCCCCAAAAATAAAAAATAAAAAATCGAGAACTCGGACTTGAAAGGGCTTGAGGACTTGAAGGTGAGAAGGGACCGAATCAACACCAACAAATATGTATATTAATAAAGTACTGACAAGCAGGGGGGAGATCTCATCGAAGACATTGGGGGTCGCCATGGAGCACGTCCTTATTTTCGAGAAAAGGACTTTTTCATTTCTCTTGCTTGCTTGCTTGCTTGCTTGCGCTTCTGGACGACAGCTGTGTTGGAAATAGGAAAGAATAGAAAAAATGACGAAAATGGAGGGGGAAAAAAAAAGAAATAGGGAATTTATACACACACACACACACACACCGAAAACATTTTTTTTAAGCAAAGAAAAAAGGAAAAGAAAGAGAAAAAGAAAGGAAAAAAAAGTGTTTGTAGCAAATGTTTTTTTTTTTTTTTGCTTCTGTTGAAGAAACTTCCAGGTTAGTGTAGCATCATCATCCAGCAACAATCCAACATGAAAGTCAAAGAAAAAAGATAATAATAATAATAATAAAAAAAAATGTTCATGGAGTAGGGGAGAGGGAGGATAGATTCGGGATCTGTTAAGAGGTCCCAGGGGTGAATGCCGTTGAGGCACCCTAACTTTTTTACCATATCGTTCACTTTTGTTGAAAAGAAACGCATTGGCCCTAAGGCCATTTTCGAATCAAAATTCGAAAATGGCGGAATGGCACGGCAACGTTCTTAAGCCTCCTTGATGGCACGGAGGGCCTCGGCAACAGCAACCATGTTAGTCAAGGACTCACGAACCTCCTTCCAGCCACGGGTCTTGAGACCACAGTCAGGGTTGATCCACAGGTTACGGCGAGGAATGTACCTAAATAGATATAGGAAAAAAAAAAAAAAAAAAAAAAAAAAAGCAAGTTAAATCACGTTCCTTATCAACATTGGAGGACAACACAGCATTAGATAAAAAGACAAGACAAAAGATAAAGACTTACTTCAGCATGGCATCGGCACGCTCCTTCATCTCAGCAGTCGAAGGAACACGTGGAGAATGAATATCAAAGACACCGGGCCCGATCTCAGCAGTATAACCATGGGTCGAGAAGGCACCCAAGATACGCATGTCCGATTTGGAGTTCTCGATGGTCAAGACATCAGCATCCATTCGGATAATGGCCTGGAAGATATCTTGGAAGTCAGAGTAGCACATGTGGGTGTGGATGACTGTGGTATCTTGAACACCAGTGGTCGAGAGCAAGAAGGCATCGACGGCCCACTGAAGGTAAAAGTTAAAGTCAACAGAGCGGAGAGGAAGACCCTCACGGATAGCGGGCTCATCGACCTGGATGTGGATAATGCCAGCCTTTTCAAGATCGACGACCTCATCGCGGATGGCAAGTGCCAACTGGTTGCAGACAACAGAGCGAGGAATGTCATCACGGACAAAGGACCACTGCAAGCAAGTGACAGGACCAGTTAACATACCCTTCATGGGCTTGCTGGTCAAGGACTGGGCATAGACAGACTCGGCAATGGTCATGGGCTTGACACGGTGGACATCACCAAAGATGATCGGAGGTCGGACGCAGCGAGAGCCATACGAGGCAATCCAGCCGTTTTCGGAGAAGATATAACCTTCCAAGCGCTCGCCAAAGTAGGCGACCATGTCATTACGCTCTGCCTCACCGTGGACGAGGACATCAATGTTGAGCTTCTCCTGCTCGCTGACACAGTAAGCGATCTCTTTCTTGATGAACTCGTTGTAAGCAGCCTCATCGATCTCACCCTTCGTGAACCTGGCACGAGCCAAACGGATCTCCTTAGTCTGAGGGAAGGAGCCAATGGTTGTGGTGGGGAACTCGGGCAGGGGATGGGCCTGGTGCTGTTTAGCTTGACGCTCAGAAAATCCGCTTCGGCGACGGAGCTGATCAGGAACAATGGCCTCGAGACGCTGGCGGACAGCGCTGTTGGTGGTGTGGGATGAAGTGCGACGAGCATCGATCGAACGGGCATTGTCGGCCAACTCAGCCCGGACAGATTCCGCACCATGGTTAAGGGCGTGAACAAGGGTGTGAACCTCCTTGCATTTTTCCTCAGAAAAGGCAAGCCAGTCAAAGAGTTCGGGATGCTTGGAAGCGAGACGCTTCTCGAACTTGAGGGTCACAGGGGTATGCAAAAGAGAGCATGAGGGGGCAACGAAGACGCGGTCGGAACCGAGAGAAGCCACGGCAGTCTGAGCGATCTTGAGAGCGTTGGCGAGGTTCGTCTTCCAGATGTTACGACCATCGACCAAACCGAGGGAAAGAACCTGGGTCTGGTTGATGTTAGCAATGACATGCTCGAGCTGCTCTGAGGCACGAACGAGATCGATATGAAGACCAGCAACACCAGAGTTCTTGACAAACGAGACATTGCTGCCGATACGGCCAAAGTAGGTGGCAATCAAGAACTTGAGCTGAGGAGCAGCAGCGGTCAAGCGAGTGTAGGTCTCTTGGAAGTGACCGATGACAGCATCAGCGAGGTCAAGGGCGAGAATGGGCTCATCAACCTGGATCCAATCAGCACCAGCTTGAGCGAGCTTTGAGAAGAGCTCTTCATAGACTGGGAGGAGCTTGGGGAGGAGAGTGATAAGTTCAAGACCGACAGAGTTCTTGGCAGCCTTGCCGAGTAAGAGGAAGGAGAGAGGACCGAGGACAACAGGACGGGTGTGGATACCAAGGGCCTTGGCTTCGTTGAACTCCTCAAGAGTCTTGATCTTGGGGCCGAGATGGAAGGTTTGGTTAGTCTCGAATTCGGGAACGATGTAATGGTAGTTGGTGTCAAACCACTTCTTCATCTCTTGAGCCTCGATATCAACCTTCTCTTGGGTCTCGGTGGCAGGCTTCTGGATACCACGGCCGATGGCAAAATTGCGCTCATGACCGTCGGGGAGATGACGGAAACGCTGAGGAATGACGTTGAACATGACGGAATGGTCAAGCACATGATCGTAGAAGGAGAAGTCGCCCGAAGGGATCTGGGCCAGACCCTGAGCCTTCTGCAACTTCCAGTTCTCAGCACGCAGTTTGACGGCTGCCTCATCGAGGGCCTGCTCATTGACCTTGCCGGCCCAGAAGCTCTCGACGATCTTCTTGGTCTCGCGCTGGGCGCCCTATTGACGATCAAAGAAATCAGATAAGGAGGGAACGTGGGTTAGGCAAATAAATAAATAAATAAATTTAAGATTAAGACAAACATTGGATAGTTTAGGTTCAAATTTCGCACGCATTTTTTGATCAAACGACAAGACGTACGATTCTGGGGAAACCCAAGTTAGTAGCCTGAACCATGGTGATAGTAGTGGGTGTGGTAGAAAGAGTTGGATGTATGTGTATGCTTGTGGAAGGGTAAAAGAACTTGGAAGAGATCTTTTTTGGGGATAGGTCTGGTATGAATAGGATCTGCGAAGGAGAAAAAAGAAGAAAAAAAAAAAAAAAAGAGAGAGAAGGGAGTGCAGTAACGTTTTTATACTCATTGGGATGGGACTGTCTTTCTCTGTCGCCTCATCTGATTGGACGATCTATGTAGGCGCCAAATTGCTTCGTCTGTGGCGTGGAGGGATCACATCATTTTTCCAATTGAAAATGCCTCTACAGTAGACATGAATACATAAAAATAGCTAGAGTGAAAGCAATGCTTTTTTCTTTTTCCTCTTTAGCAATAGGTAGAGAGATGAAGCTTGGGTCTTTTATCATTCCAATACCACAGCTTGATAACAATAGGCCTTAAATGAGGAGCAATGTTGCAAAAAAAAAAAAAAAAAAAAAAAAAAAAAAAAGGTGTTGTAAAGTGACATGAACAGGATAGGAATGTTTTTCGCGTAAAGAAATATGTACAGTACATGTATATTTTTGAGTGAATGTGTACATGTTCTGTCGGCAGATGTTTCTCTCTTTTTTTTTTTTTTTTTTTTTGGCAAATATCACGATGACTCTTTGAGCACAAAGATTTGTGTGAGAAAATACGCCAAATCCTATCTCCGCTCGATGTGCTCACACCTGTCAAAAATTCTATAGTCCTATGGATGCATTTAAGCATTGAAGTGTTGACAATGATGTTTATGTTTATGAGAGAGATATCACACTCTAAATACCCACATTCCCCTGGACGCATCAATGCATAAGACGCGCTTTTGATTTATATCTATACTTTGGTCAGCCAAATACTATTTGATTATAGATATCCAAATACAAAACATACTGCACATCCATCGTGCACGTTCAGGACCTCAACAACAGCTCTGTCGCCTTTCTTCTCCTTCCTTTTTTCTTGTCTTTTTTTTTTTTATTTTTTTTTAGCAACTTAATTCAATTAAATACAATGGATGTTGCAGAATTGGCAGAGGCATTCAAGGAGCAATCCCCAAACCATGCACAACTGATGCAACGCATGCAAGCACTCATGGGACAGGGTATAGACGTCTCTTCTTTATTCGCGAATGTAGTCTCAGTAAGGATAGTTGCTATTCACATCCAACCTTCAGATATTAAGCAAAAGGAAGGAGCATCTTCATGTTTACATAAAGTATTTGTATTAATAAACAATACTTCCGATCTAAGCTTGCGTCCATACGCGATATACCCATCAAAAAGGCTGCCTACGCGTTCCTGACTATGTATGGCCGGACGAACGAAGAACTATGCTTCCTAAGCATCAACACACTTCTTCAGGACTGTGCGGATGCTGATCCCATCGTACGATCCCTTGCATTGCGAACACTTTGCTCGCTTGGGTAAGGTAGGGGGAGGGAACAGAGGGATCTGAAGGATATTGACCTTTATTCTGTGAATATGACCTAAAGGACTATCTAATCGATCATATTGTTCATTTTATTTTATTTTATTTTATTTTTATTTTTTTTATTTTTTATATAGACAGAAAAGTGCACTGCGGTTCATGCTGCAGCCCTTGAACAAGGGTTTCCAAGACAAAAACGCTCATGTCAGAAAGACGGCTGTCATGGCGTGTATTCCATTATTCGAACTTGACTCGGTTTTTGTCCTCGGTATATATATCATTTGTATTAATTTTTCTTTTTATATTTCCATGTTCAAATGTCCATCATCCTTCTTCTCCCGGTGTCCCACGCTAACCTACGATCGGTTTTTTTTATTGTTATTTTTATTTTTATTTTTATTTTTATTTTTATTTTTATTTTTATTTTTATTTTTATTTTTATTTATTTATTTTTTATGTTTTATTTTTTTCAGAAAGCGAAATTGTTGATAAATTGTATGGACTACTCAGAGATCGAGATGCTCAGGTGGTGATCAACTGTATTCTGGCATTAGAAACCATCCTGGTGGATGAAGGCGGCATTGTCATCAATCAAAACATTGCTCAATACTTGCTTAAACGATACAAGGATTGGAACGCAAGTCAGCTACAGATCGTCCTTGGAGTCCTCTGCCGCTACAGACCTTTAACTAGCGATGAGCTCTATGAGATCATGGTAAGAAGTAGAAGAAGAAAAAGAAAAAGAAAAAGAGCTAGTTTACTAAACCTCAGTCTGATTTACTTTTTTATCGTTATTTGGATACTCTTACTCATACTTGATATTTTGCACTGTAAAAAAAAAAAAAAAAAAAAAAAAAAAAACATATCCACTCATAGAATGATATAGATGATGGCTTGCAGCACCCATCGCAAGCGGTTCAAATGGCAACCCTTAGATTGTTTATCTGGCTAACCCAAGATTTGAATGAGGTTCAAGAGGATGTCCAAAAGACTATTGAAGGTGCTCTTCATTTCTTAATTTGATCCGCAACCTTTTATTGTTACTATTCAGTCACTAACCTCTTTTTTTTTTTTAAAAAAAAAAAAAAAAAAAAAAAAAAATTCCCTTTGCTGATAAGAAACCCTACTCAAGCATCTGGAATCACCTATACCAGATATTATATATGCATCGCTATGCCATCTTGCACTACTAGTAGAAAAGACTAAGGGACTTTTACAAACAGCACCTCAGCATCTCTCTGCTCTTTTCTGCAGGTAAACATAAAGTCATTTTTTATTTGGAATCAACGTACATGTATATAAATTATCTTATTAACCTTCTAACTTTCTTTACCTACTCTGGTTCTCTTCGTGCTCTCCTTCCTTCATCTCTATTCAATCAAGGTCCTATGAGCCTGTCGCGATTAAAACCCAAAAACTTGACCTCTGCACTACCATTGCTCGATCTTCTTCTGCAGCCACTACAGTCAATGCAGATACTGCTGCTGCCTTCACAGAATCAAAGGCACAGCTACAAAACTACATCTTGGACCATCTCTGCCAGGTTGCGGCTCTGAACTACTCCCCATCTTCTTCTACTATTACTGCCACCACTTCATCTTACCGTCTAGCGACAAAACTCGATCGACAAACATTAGCAGAGCAACTTCGGGTGGCATGTCATGCGATAGAATCTATCGGAATCATCGGATCTGCGCCTCATACATCACCATTATCTAGTTCAGCCTTAGGGTCAGCTTCAACCTCAGGAACACTGATACCCGACCATGAGTATAATCCCACCGAATCACCATTAAAATTACATCATTCGAGTGGCAAGCGTAATCAACCAAAAGCGATTGTTCAATCCTGTCTTGATCGATTATTTCAATTACTTATTCTCTTTTCGGGAATGGAGCATGTCTTGGATCCTAAAGCACACCGTGCTCGTGACCATAGTCGTGACAAAAAGGAGAAAACTATCTCTAATGTTTCATCGTCATCACCATCACCATCACCATCATCATCACCAACAGCTTCAACAAGTTGGATGCACTCAATTGATAAAATAGCATTTCAGGACCTGGATTTAGATGAAAGTCAGAAGGCCATGTTGTTGTCGGCTGCCCTAATAGCCATCGAAAGTAAGGAAGAGAAAGAGTACTAGGTCCTCTTTTCTGTATTGCTCTTTCCGTTTCTAATTTCGATTCTGTCTTTTTTTTTTTTATATATATACCTCTAAAAAACTTCCCCTCCGTCTTCTTCGTACTCTTCCTCTGTCCCTTACCATTATTATCACTGTCGTCGCCCATTGCCGTTTACTATTGCCATCAGGATGCTGGCAGCCTGAATTCAAAGCTCGGGTTTGGACATTACGCTCTGTCAACGACTCCTTGGATGAGTTACCATCTAAAAACACCGGGAACGGTAGCAGTGGTACTGGCAGTGTTAGTATTCTAAAACCATTCCAGATCAAAGCACTCGGCATTCTCCTTCTTCGACATCTTGATCAAGATGAACTGGATCGAAGAGCCAAAACCAAGAAACCTCTCCGTTTCCGATATGATGATAGCGCGAGTATCAGTGGGGGATGCGGTGGCGGTGGAGATCTGCTTTCCTCTGTGCATAGTCTATCAGGTTCTGGGAGCGGGATAGGGACAACGGTAGCAACAACAACCGAGGATATTTCAAGGCTCGCAAGGATCAATGGGATTCGGATTTTACTCTTGGAAGAATCTTTGCAACAACGACAGTTAATCCTACATCAGAACAAGAAGGCGCAATCAACGGAAAGAACAACAGCAGTCGTAACAGATGCTACGGCTATGGCTACAGCCCTTGCGATGCGATATCAATATGTTGTTGTTCTACAACAGCAAATTCAAGACATAGTACAGTCGATCCATACAAACAACAATGACAACAACAATAACAGTACCATGCATTCACTACAAATCAGAAATGAACAAATTGCTGCTCTTCATTTAGCCTGTTACATGGTTGCCTTCGTAATCGATCACGGTGGTTATTATCATTCGTTCCTCGACCTCAAAAAGGACGACGGAGGAGGAGGAGGGGGAGGAGGAGGAGGAGGAGGAGAAGGAGAAGGAGAAGGAGAAGGAGAAGATGATCGAAACAGTAACCAAGAAGAAGCAAAAAGCCAGAAATATCGAGAGTCTCTTGGAGAAAAACTACCTCGTGAACGTGATAATGAACTTTTGAGATCCAGCCTCGAGATTCTTGCACATGCAATCGATCAGCTCATTCCTCCAGTAGCAACAACGGAAGAATTGGATGATAATGATTCCCGCATAGACGACGCCTTCAGCCCTGCTGGTACAGGAAATAATCCGTTCAATGAACAAGGATCGCGACAAACTCCCGACATCCGTCCTCATGATCACAATCATAATCGCCATCATAAAGAGAATCTTCTAATTTCAAAAGATGTTGCAGATCGTGCTCGATTTATCAAAGCAGCTTTCCTTGTCCCTCTTTTAAATGGCTTATCGACAGTATCATCATCATCATCATCATCATCATCATCATCACCAGTGGCAACAAACCTTTCAAGTTCATCATCCAATCCTTTTGACTCTCCAATCTTCAGAACAGAGTCCTATTGTCGACTTGTGAAACAGAAGCTGGTCGCCCAGTTTGGTGTCACTGGACAACAGCAAGTATCACAGCTTCCCTATGCTGACATAACTAGTCTTCAGGAGATCAATCGGCAAATGCTCAATGACTGGCGTTTTCAGATCGGATTCAACACCTTGGCCATCCCTCAACCATAAAAGAAATTAAAATAAAATAAAAAATAAAAAAATAAAAATAAAAAACCAACTTTGTAGCTCATCAGTGATTAAAGAACTGTAAACATGTATTTCATGCAGTGATAAACAATATCATTAAAGTTATTATTATATTTGTTGTATGTTACTTTATGGTTATCTGTCATATTTTTAATGAGGAGGGAGGAAAAAAAGAAAAGAAAAAAGGATTATTGATTAAAAGATGGCAGTGGTGGCCCACTATCTTCTCGAAGAGATGACAGCAGATCCTGTGCTTTAACTGCAACAGATGCGGAGTGCTCCATACGGTTTTTCCGCCGGCGATCTCTCCGTGAAGCTTCATTATCACCTCCATTCCTCAGGCTCTCGAGTAGGCTGTCCATCATACCCTTATCATCACTACCACCATCTGCATCGGGTGTGGGGCCTAAAGCGACAGAAAGAAAGAAGTAAAAAAAAAAAAAAAAAAAAAAAAGGAAAAGTTGAGTTTTCTTGATTTTACTTAATCTTAGATCCATCCGGAGTATGAAAGTAGGTCTCAACTGTAAATCTCGAAAACTTTGCTTACCTTCCGCAGTGATGTTGGGAACTTGCAGGCGATTCCTTTTGGCTGCAATCTGCTCTTGACGTTGCTTGGCCGCCAATTTGGCTTTTTCGCGCTGCTCCTCCTTTTCTCTCTGCTTACGGTTGTCGTCTCTTGCTTTCTGTTGAGGCAAAAATAATAATAATAATAATAGAAAAAAAAAAAAAAAAAAAAAAAAAACTTTAGAATCCCGTATTTTTTTTTTTTAAAAAAAAAAAAAAAAAAAAAAAAAAAAGACCCATAACATAAAACTAAAGAGTTATACCTCAAAGGATGCCATAAATGTCTTGAATATTCCAAAGAATTCGTCCGGCTTCATGATTGTAGGCTCTTCGCCATAAAACTTTACACAATCCTTATACAGCTCATCCATCTCCGCCATGGCTGCCTCGGCTGCTACGAACTGTTGCTCAGCTGACTCAATAAAAGGCTTCATGACTTCATAAAATCGATCGTCAGGAGTGACTTTGAGGCCGTCAGGATAGTGTGTGTTGAGCTCCACTTTGATCTCCTTGATCTTGGTCTTAATCAGGTTGAAATCAGACTGAAGCTCAGGTAATGACACTCGGCATGCCTCACCACAGGAACTGATTTCAGATTGGTAGTTCAACAAGTCAGGTAATGTCGTCTCTGTGATATTGGTCAAGAAGTGAAGCAATGTCATGTTGGGGGTATTGGATGCTTTCGTGTCGACCAACTTGTTGATACTGGCAATCTTGAAACCAAATGCACCGCCATTATGGCCAGAACCGTTCATGTAGTTTCCGAGCATCAGAATTAGATTGAGTAGCTCCTTGAAATATTTGGCCTCCTTCAAGTTTCTAGAGGCAACAGAAATGGCGAAAATGGACTCGTTGACGCCCTCTAAGAGCGAATTGAAGGTCACCTTAAAACGAAGTCCTTCCAGACGTTGTTGATAGCGGTCGATCTTCAGGATTTCCACAAAGAATGCTTCTGCTCTACCAAGCTGCAACTTGACATCCTCGGACGCATCCTTGTACTCCAGCAACTTTCCAGTTTCTTCGGCATCAGGAACAAACTTGAGCAAGTTTGTCAATTGAACAAGGCTTAACTTTTGATCATCCATACTAACGATGGCATTACGGATTTCTGGATTTGTGTGCTTCATACCACCCAACATGATGTTGATCTGGTGAGCACGACGCTGCTCAATAACGAGGATTTCTCGCGCCTTCTTGGCTGCACGGGGCTCTATATATAAAAACAGAGAAAAGTTAATAACCTTTGATATTACAGTAAAGCACTATTACATGTACACACTTTCAAAATAACCTACCTTTACGCTCAAACACCTTGGCGACAAAAAGCTCCTCCATACTTCCAAAAATACCATTTGCACCGAGAGCTTGCTGAAGAGCCTCTTCGTCCACGCCACCAGAACCCCATACAGTATTTCCGACAGACATGTAATTGAGCTTCTCCCACTGTAATGTCTTAAGCTTGACACCCGCCATTTGTGCATCCTTCTTTTGGTTCATCTTTCCTAGCATAGGCATACCAGGCGCGCCAGGTGGGGGTGGTGGGCCTCCTCGACCGGGTGGTGGCGGCGGCGGTGGCGGGCCTCCAACACCTGGTGGGGGAGGAGGAGGTGGAGGAGGAGGAGGAGGAGGAGGAGGTCCACCGGCCTTGGGCGCTGCAAGTACTGGAGCCTTAGTTGTAGTTGGACTGCTTGTGCCCAGTCTCTTTTTCTTGGCAGCCAACATGGCGGCAAATGTTCCTGGTGCTGGTTCATCCGAGTCTGAGTCCGTGTCATTGCTGCTAGCTTTAGTACCACTTGTACCTTTGACTGCAGCACCTTTGGCCAACATCTCACCCAACAAACCACCCATTTTGGCTGATGGCGATGGGAGAGATGGTGAAGCAGGCCCTGGTGGTGGTGGTGGTGGAGGGGCACCAGAAATTGGTGGTGGGGGAGGAGGTGGTGGAGGAGCACCAGAAACTGGTGGTGGCGGTGGAGGTGGTGGAGGAGCGCCAGAAACTGGTGGTGGCGGTGGAGGTGGTGGAGGAGCGCCAGAAACTGGTGGTGGTGGTGGTGGTGGAGGCGGTGGTGGTGGTGGCGGAGGAGTACCAGAAATTGGATAGGTATCTGAAGCTGGAAGGTCATTTGAAACTGGATAGGCATCTGAAGCTGAAAAGTCCTTTGAACCTAGGTAAGCATCTGAAGCTGAAAAGTCCTTTGAAGCCAGATAGGCATCTGAAGCTAGAAGATCGTCTGAAGTGGAATATTCTTTTGAAACTGGAACTTCATCTGAAGCGGGATAAGCTTTTGAAACTGGGACTTCATCTGAAACCGAAAGGTCATCTGAAGCTGGAAGATCGTCTGAGTGTGGAAAGCTAACTGAGGCTGGAAAGTCATCTGAAATCGGATAGGAATCTGAGGTTGGAAGATCATCTGAAGTTGGAAGAGGAGATAGTGGTGATAGAATTTGTGTAGTAGGAAGTGGTGATGATGGTGCTGGCGCTTGCCCTTCAACAGGTAATGAGGCCGGTGGAGGTGATTCCGTATTTTTCTCAGGTAATTCCTCACCAATATCTACTAAAGAAGGACGTGGGTAGGGCACAATACCATTAGAATGAGTTTTTAAGGACCAATAAAAACAAAAATAAAAAATAAAAAATAAAAGAGACTATCATCAGAAAACCGCGTACCTTTTTCCCTTGATACATCTCTACCCCCTTGTTCACCCTCTGCTCCCAGGCGGTCACTGAGATTTTCTCGATCAGAGCCGTTCATGAGCGCATCTGAACGCTCTTCTAACCGGCTCGTTGAGGTCGTTTCAGCTGCTTGGTCAGTAGAAGCCAACCCAGGTAATTTAGCGTAGCGTTTCTGCAATCTGGCACCTTCAGCTCTGGTTTGCTCAAGCAGCTTGCGGATCCTTTCATTATCAACAACCTGGCTGCTACTTCCCGTGCTCTGAACACGTGCATTACCAGTTCCTGATCCACCAGTTCCTGATCCGCCCGTTCCTGATCCACCAGTTCCAGTGCTTCCATTTCCTGCAGCACTTTCTCCAGTACTTTCTCTGACGCCTCCAAGCTTTCCTCCAGTACCTCTTCCAACGCCTCCTGCGATGGCGCCCTTGAGCTCCTCTTTGAAATCCTCTCTGATACTCTCTCTACCACTCTCTCTGATATTCTCTCTGGCGCTTTCTCTAACACCTTCTCTGATACCTTCTCTGACACCTCCTCTGACACCTTCTCTAAAGCCTGCCCTAACACTTCCTCTGTTAGGACCGGTGCCAATGGAGATGCCAGTCTCCAGGCCAGCCTCAGCCATCAGAGTATTCGCATCCTCGAGAGACTTTGTCAAGTGCTTTATCTGAGCATCCTGTCTAGCCATTATTGCATGTGTCTCCTTTTCAACATTATTGAGCTTAGTCTGAAGGGTTTGGATCGTATGCCTTGAGACTCGGAGCAGATCCTCCAGCGAATAGATGTTTGATTTGAGCTGCGATAGCATTCCGTCTATATGGAGTTTTGTGGACGGTCAGTAAGGACTCTTATTATGGCGAACAAAATAAATAAAGTCCTTAAACATTAACATACCATCTTTCTGGCCTATTTCATGCTCCAGCTGGATCTTCTGCCTCTTTAAATTCTCGACCTCCTGCTTCAGTTGTTTTGATTCTTCGAGGATATCATTCAATCGATCTTGATCAACAAGTTTGCTAACAAGTTGGCTGACAGAGTAGCCAATCTTTTGTTCAAGATCATCTGTGAGGCCTCGTCGGTCCATTACAACCTGTGTTACAATGGCATCCATAAGCTGAAAGTAGCGGATCCTGAAATAAAAAAAAGCGTTGAGTTAGTACTGGCATAGTTCAATGGCCCAAATTTTTGAAATCCAAGTCTACATTGATGGCAGTCCATGTACCTTAGATCGCCCTCTTCACGAATGAGAAGCATATGTTGGAGGAGTGATAAGAAAAAGTCGTATGCCCTGCTGCTTTCTACAGAGCGAAGCAATGCATGGAATACATCGTACGGATCGGACATGTCATGCAGAATTTGATGGTTATAGAACTCCACCATGTCATCATAGTCATTCTCTGCCTCATCTTCATAAATGTTTAGCTGTCTGTCAATCAGGTCGTGATTGAGACTCCTCATTTTCTATTGCCATCATATCCCAAAGTAAGCATCCAGTTAATGAGATCATTGATATGTATTCTAGTGATATATGCAAAAACAGCACAACAGCAGGAGCCACTTACAGAAATGATCCGTGTCAATCCGCTGGTTGTCAGCTGACTTCGGAGGTGGATACGAAGCTCAATATCGTCAACAACTTGTAATAACGCATTGATCAAGATGACGTTTGATAGCTATAAAAAAAAAAAAAAAAAAAAAAAGCGTTACTGTAAGTGAAGGATATGTACAGCTTTGCAGTGCAAATATCATACTGAGAACTGTAAAAAAAAAAAAAAAAAAAAAAAAAAATTGTACAAGTGAACACGTACCACATATTCAATCAGATGGCTGTCAAGTGTTCCTGTCTTCTTCAGCTCCTCGCTCATTCCGATCGCTGTACCAAATCGACCACGTCCATCAATAGTGTTCTCCAGGATTCTCATCCATGCATCAAAGCGAGCGCTTTCCCTCCAGTACTCTTGTACTTGATCCAATCCTTCCAAGACCAATTTATGGCCCATTGGAACCTCACAGTAGCACAAAAAAGTCAAGACTTCTACAACCAGCTTCCTTGTCTGGATCTGAGGTGAAGTAATTGAGAAACAGAGAGCATATATACAAGGAGGGTGCTTAATTGCTTCCTGCGCGCCCCATCGGTTGTTAAGTAACGTCTTTAAACATTTAACAATCTCATGTTCCATCGCCAAATCCGCATCTCGTCTATAATTTGAATAAAATAAAGGGTTTGTCTGAGACGTCAAGGGAATTTTGGAGAATTACAGAAACTGATTCATCTCGTCTAATCTATTAGGGTAGGGCATAAAATGTTCATACCTTGATGGTCTATGGTTCAAAGTAGCTAGTGACGATGACAGGATTTGTTGTCCACGGTTTTGAATGAAAATCCGGACCCATCTTTAAAAAAGCAAAGAAACAGTAGGGTGAGCTTGACAAAAGTCATTCAACAAAACGATGTTGATGTGTGCCAATCATTCGATTAAATAAAGGGTAATTTGGAATAAGATGTGTAACGTACGATATTGGTTGCGACTTGAGAGACACGTGAAGGGCGACGAGAACTTTAACGTCCATGTTTCTAAGATCTGCATCCGACTGCATCTTTCTCACATAATACTCTGGCGAGGATTTGTCAATTTGACCTTCAACGCGTTTCTTAGCCTAGAAAAAATAAAGGGAGGACGGAGAGCAAGAAGGATAAAGAAAGGTAGCCGCAAAGCTTGATATGAGTAAAACTGACACGTTTTTTTTATATAAATGTATAGATTACCAACATAAAAGCTATATTGATCGTACCTTGTTCTGCTCCTGTGCTTCATGTTGACAAATGAGTTTCCATTTGATATCTAATGGAAGTGCTTCCATTTTCTTGCGCTTTTCACTTCCCTGCATGTCCATGTTATTCTGTTGGCAATAAAATTAAAAATAATTAAATCAATAAAGTTAGTGTCTTGAAGATCGCTGTTTTCTAGAATAACCTTTTTTTCCCCTCCTTGTCGTTATTGCAAACAAAAAAAAAAAAAAAAAAAAAAAAAAGATAGAGGGAGAGAGAGAATAGCATCTTCACAGAATGTATTGCCCAGGGTTAACGCCTCAAACCTCTCAGGTTTGATTATCTTTTGTTATTTGCACACATTCAATTGCCCACACACAAATTAAAAAAAAAAAAGAAAAAGGAAAAAAAAAAAAAAAAAAAAAAAAAAAAGTGCATGAAAGCCCCTTCTATATCCCCTTCGTTTCTCCCTTTCTGAGGGAAAAAAAAAAAAAAAAAAAAAAAAAGTTGGTTGTACCATAAAGTCAATAAAACGATCCTCGATTTCCTGGTCATTTCGAGGACGTGTTGGGGGCAAAGGTTCGCTTCGTCCAGCTTCACTGGCTGTCCCTGAGGTTGAGGTTCTAAATGAGCGTACAGACTGGGTGTCATAGTTATTGGGGGAAGTGGGACGGTCTATTCCTGAAGAGACACGGTGATGTCCTGCAGCGAAGGAGGTGATGGCAGCGGCAGCGGCAGTGGAGACGGATCCAAGGTATGAACCAGATGAGGATGAGTGATGGCTAGGATGACCTCTTGCTGATTGTGGTGGAGACGAGGTTGAGGAATAGTCTCCCGAGTATGAATGATGTCCGTGCCCTCCTCCGGCTCCATTGCCACCATTGCCATCACCCGAGTTTGTATTTGAATAAGCGTATTGTCCTTGCTCTCGGTCTGACTGCTGAAAACTTGTACGAGGCTGGTAGGTTGTCTGGGGTACAAAGGGTGGACTGCTTGGTTGATAATAGCCAGTACCCGAAGGAATTAAAGTAGGAGAGGAGATGGTGATTGGCTGATTATATTTTGTCGATTTCTTTTTGCCGAGATGCAGAAGCTTGTCCATGACGAGACGAGAAAGATGTGAAGAAGAAAAGAAAGGAAGGGGAAAATAAAAGATAAAAATATAAAATAAAATAAAATAACAAAATAAAAGTAAAAATAAAAAGGGAAGGGAGAGGAGAAGAAGGGAGAAGGAAGAAGGGAGACTTGCAACGAAGTAAGGACCGTTGCAAGGTCAATTGGTCAAGGTGTTCCTCTCACTCAACCCTTTGAAGGAGATGTCGTGGTTAAAATAAAAGGTATGATTGAGAGAGAGAGAGAGAGAGAGATTGAGAGAGATTGAGAGAGATTGAGAGATTGAATAAAAAAGAGATAAAAAAAAAAAAGAACTAAATGACGTTGAGCATAAAAAGAACGAGCAGAGTGAGCATTTTTGATAAAAGTAAAAAGTTATAATAAAAAAGAAGTAAGCAAGGGAAACGTAAAAATATAAAATTAATCTTAATACTTTTTGCTGGACTCAACTCACAGTCACTTTAATCCATTTCGCCCCTCTGGAGGAAAAAGCACTAACACAGCTCTCTTACCATCTATCATCTTTGCTGCAAGACATGATCTGCCTTCGCTCGTGACTCTTACCCAGGAATGCTTTCAGACATTCAGATATTCAGATATGTATATTTATATACTCTTGAACAACTCATTTATAACAAAAATATATATACTCTTGAACAGATCTGACTGGACCCAAGACTTATCCAACCACGTCCAATTGCCTTAACTTTTTGTTTCGGGGAACTATCCCAATAAGAAAACTGTGTTGATGTCATTGGAATCTGCAAATTACAATACCAGTTCAACAACAAAGCCAAAAAGCATTGCAATTGCATGCCATTTTGTTACTTTATTAACGCCTCCGATGCTTCTCTGATTTGATCATGCCACCATCCCTATCAGTTTTGTCCTTGCATCTGCAGCATCTGTTACTGTGAAGCCAAGGAGATAATAAATCAAGAATGGGTCAAATAAATTTATAACATCAGCTTGTCAGGTGACACGGCACATGAGAAAGATAAACACACACTGACCTAAACACAAATATCCAAATACAGAATCCAACCGTGTGAAAGTAAAAAAAATATTTCCATTTTTTCCCTTTTTTGATTTCTCATCCTTTCCCTTTTTCTCTCTTTCCTTCGCTCTTCTCTTTATTTCTCCTCTTCTTTTCTCACTTTCATCTTTCTTTTCTCCTTGTCCAAACCATCTCTCCCTTCCATATCCTTTCCTCCTGAATCTTAATCATGTCGGCTATTACTTGCACACTTCCTGGTTGCAATCAGATCGGATCTCATAGACACGAGGAACAGTATGTTCATGTGCTCTGTTATTCTACAATACCTCTTCTCTGTACCTTATTCAGGCACAATATTCTAACCCGCCTTTTACACACATTCAACCCATTAGCACTAATGAACCTGCTATCCTCAACAGCATCCTTGAACACATCGGAAACACTCCCTTGGTCCGTATCAACAAGATTGCAAAGACTGAGGGTCTTCAATGCGAGCTTTGTATGTACCTTTTTTTTTTTTTATTTTTTTTTTTATACAATATATAAAAAAAAAAAAAAGAAAGAAAAAAGTTGTTGACTTTGGAGATAAGTAAACTAAACAGGTATTTTTTTTTTTCTTTTCCTTTCTCGTTGGACCATTCAGTGGCCAAATGCGAGTTCTTCAATGCTGGAGGCTCTGTCAAGGATCGTATTGGAAAGCGTATGGTCGAAGAGGCTGAGAAGGACGGTCGCTTGAAACCTGGATACACCATCATTGAACCCACCTCAGGAAATACTGGTAAGCGAATAGGGTCAACTTGTGGTCTTTTATATATACATATATATGTGTGTCTCTTTCCACCTCCATTTTTCTCCTATATTGGCCTTCGCCATTTCATCTTGGACCGCTCTTTCCAGCAACTTAAGACAATTGTTGTTGTTCTTTTTTCCCATGTGCATGTATACTTTTTTTTTTTTTTTTTTTTTTTATTATTCCTCGGCACCTCTAGTTCGCTTGGTCACACAATAACAATAACCAGTTCTAGACTGAGTTGTAAAAAAAAAAAAAAAAAAAAAAAATTGAATTTGGAATTTAGTGAGCTAACAACAAAACAAATATCAAACTTTTGCGTGGGAATATTCCTATTAGGCATTGGTCTTGCTCTCGCCGCTGCTGTAAAAGGATACCGTACCATTATCACCTTGCCCGAAAAGATGTCTCAAGAAAAAGTGGATGTGCTCAAGGCTCTTGGTGCTGAAATTGTCCGCACACCCACAGAGGCTGCCTGGGATGCCCCTGAATCTCACATTGGAGTTGCAAAGCGACTCAATGCCGAGATCCCCAACTCGGTCATCTTGGATCAGTATGCTAACCCCTACAACCCTGTCGCCCATTATGACCACACTGCCGAGGAGATTTACAGAGCCTGCGATGGAAAGATTGACATGTTAGTCGCCGGTGCCGGAACTGGAGGAACCATCACAGGAATTGCTAGAAAGCTTAAGGCTCTCTGCCCCAATATCATTGTAAGTTTTTTCTTTATTATTATTACTTTTTTCCATCTGAATCATGTGAATGGTTTTATATTTTTATTTTTTATTGTTATTAACTGCTATAAACTGTTATAATACAATGCCGCATTAGATTGTTGGAGTGGATCCTCATGGTTCTATTTTGGCTCAACCAGAATCACTCAACACATCGACAGAGGGTTACAAGGTCGAGGGTATTGGTTACGATTTCGTCCCAGAAGCGTTAGACCGCAGCTTGGTTGATCGATGGATCAAGTCGGCAGACAAGGAATCCTTCACCATGGCTCGTCGTTTGATTCGTGAGGAAGGTATTCTCTGTGGAGGCTCCTCAGGTACTGCAGTTGTCGGTGCTATCAAGGCCGCCAAGGAATTGGGACCTGGCAAGCGCTGTGTTGTCATCCTGCCCGACTCTGTTCGTAACTACATGACAAAGTTCTTGAACGATGATTGGATGCAGACCAACGGCTTCACAGATCAGACCATGGTCTCCGAAAAAGAATCCAAACATCTGCAGTGGGGTGGTGCCACCGTTGGAAGCCTTCATCTCAAGGCCGCTGTCACAGTCACGGACACCTCTCGTTGTCGTGAGGCCATTGTGTTGATGGAAAGCAATGGATTTGATCAGCTTCCTGTCGTCTCCGCCAAGAACGGTCGTCTCGTTGGCTTGGTCACCCTTGGCAATTTGCTCTCCAGAATCGCTGCGGGCCGTGTCCAGATCGATGGTCAAGTTCAAGATGTCATGTTCAAGTTCCAAAAGTCTGGAGCCCACTTCACTGAAATTACAGACGACACTCCTCTTGAGGACTTGACGAGCTTCTTTGAGAAGAACTCTGCTGGTATTGTCACCGAGCGTGGAGGTTCCAAAGTCAAAGCCGTCGTTACCAAGGTTGATCTGGTTTCCTTCTTGGTCAAAAAGACTGCTTCCGCCTAAAAGTCTGCAATCAAAAGATTCATTTGCATTTTTTTCCCCTTTTTTATTTTTCTTCTTTGGACTTCATTGTAACATTCATAAACAGATATATACAATACAAATACATTAAAAATAATTTGTCTGATTTATTTCTCTTTTTTTGTATTTTTTATTTATATTATATTTTTTTTTTATTATTGAAAAAAAGGAAAAAAAAATGAATGACCTTGAATATCTTCAAAGCACATTGTGGATGCCTTGTACTCCTCTTCCTTGACTACGTCCTTCATGACAAATTAACTATGCAAATAATCCATCCAACACTTTCCACCTTTTTTTTTTTTTTTTTTTTTTTTTTTTTCCTTTTTTTTCGCAGTTCAATGGCAATCGTCCCTTGGCTCTACTTTCAAGTATAAAAAGAGAAAAGAAATTTTGTTTTGGCTCACCCCATGCTTTATCCAGATAAAACAAAAATGTAGATCAAAACTCCGTCGTCAAGATAAAACCACTAAGGAGAAACAGAGCGGGGTTTAGGAGAGATCGAGCGGCGACGAGGCGAGGGTGAGCGCGAACGAACGCCGCCATCAGCGCGCTCGTGGCCATTGCCAGCATCTGAGGCTCTACGCTCAGGAGAACGGGAACGTCTAGGTGACATGGCTTGATCGCCATCACGATCATTGTCTCCACGCCCACGGATAGGAGAACGAGAAGCAGAAGAGCGACGGCGGGCTGGAGCTGGGCTAGGCGAACGAGGACGACGACCACGAGGGCTAGGGCTACGACCCCGAGGGCTCAAAGAGCGTCGGCGCGGCAGAGGGCTAGGCGAACGACGAGGGGAGCGGCGGCGAGGAGGTGAACGTCCACGGCGGGGGGGAGATCTGGAGCGTCCACGGCCACCGCCACGTTCGTATCTCCAGGAAGCACTTGGTGCATTCTTTGCAAACTATAAGTACACATGAAAAATACATAAATTAAATAAGGTCAAATAATGAACATTTAAAAAAAGGTAAAAAAAAATAGCACACACTGCCCATTGAGTATTTATCGCGGTACCATGTTCTTACCTGCACGTCGAGGCGATATCCTTCAAATCGAACATCCCTCATTTCATGATAAGCATCACGGGCATCCCTATCATCCTCAAATTCAACAAATGCATAACTGCAGAGGTAGGCAGAACAAAGATGATAAAAATTCATATAGCAAATAACAGCGTTATTTTGCAGATCATGAAAAAAAAAAAAAAAAAAAAAAGGGAAAGGAAAGAAAATCAACACCAAACGTAATTTTGTTTTAAATATCGGCATCAGAAGAAGTAATTTGTCGCGAAGGAGCGGTTTTTGCGTAGAGGAAGGAAGACAAAGAGAGAGGAGTCGATTCAGTAACGCAGGACCTAGACATGTTTTGGAGGCTGACGGAAGGAAGACATCTTTTTTTTTTTGTTTTTTTCTCTTGCCGTCCGTCCCATTCGTGTAGCGGGTTGTTGACGTTTCTCATCGCTCGAACATCGATCGATCGACTCGAATCATGCATAGGCGCTTCTTTCTTTTTCGTTCTCTTTATGGTTGATTCGATATGACTGAGTGTTAGCAGGACATCACAGGTGGAAATTCACAACCCCTGCAAGGCGTTTCATAATTATTGAAAGAATCATCAGCCCAGCTTTTGGTAGTGATCAAAAGTTGGATGATCAACTCATTCTTCTGATGATTATAATGAAAAGTGGAGTCAGTCCGGCCTCTCGAATAGCCAATTAATAATTAAAAAAAAAAAAAAAAAAAAAAAAGGGAAATCCCATGCATATGATATGTCAAATTCCAATAGTTCCTATCCTGTTGCTGCTGACTCATCCTTGCAGATGCTAATAGTCTTTCCTGCCAGAAGATATATCTCCCAAGTTTTTTTCCAAAAAGAAAAGGCGTAATCCTGTTGTCCTTCTGAACCTAGGAAAAAAACGACTTTTGAAATGTGTACTTACGGCTTGGAGGATTCGTTTCGAAGAGCTGGGATATCACAGCGCACAAGTGGGCCGTATCTAGTATAATACATGGGAATAAAACATTGTAAAGACAGTGATAAGTATATCCTGAGCTGATACTTCAATGAAATATATCCTTTACAGCAGAAGAGTATAATCAAATCTAGCTTGTTTATGTACCTCTCAAATTCATAAGCGAGATCTCTAGCACGAGTACGGTGGGAGAAGCCACTGTTTGATGAAGTGGACAAATATATATTTGTAAAAATAGAAACAGAAAAAAAAAAAAGTGTCAATAGGTGTTGTCGTATTGTCGTTCTGCGAACCGATCTGATGTATTTGCAAAATGTGTGCTGTGTATAAATGGATGGGACGATTAGCTTACGAGACGAAAAGAGTGCGACGAGACATGTTAATGCGATTGAAGTAAATTGTAGAGTGAGAAGATAAAAGAAGTAAAGAAAACAAAAGAATGAAAGGGTGTCAGAATAAAACAAAAATGTTACGTCACGATCCCGTGCGCACGATGCACGGGAATGCCATCATTTTCTATAATTGCACGTATTATTTTATTTTCCACTGTGAACCACCTCAACAGCCATCCTAATCAGCATTATGTAAATTCTGTATGCCGGATATGGGGTAATTTAGAAAAGATACAAAAATAGAAAACAAAACAAGAGGCAAACGAATTACGACAACAAGTCATCAAAGTCATAGTTATTGACTTTCTTTGCTGGCTGGTTGTTGTTGGAGGCAGACATGCCTCCAAAATTACCAAATGCCATCGTGTTCTGGTTCGAGGCTGCAGGTGTCGTGGGTTTGCTGGCCCAAGCGCCTGAATTCCAGGAGTTAGCCGCCAAAGTATTCATGGACGGTGCTGCCTCCTTGGTCTTTGTCTTTCCAAGGCCATCCAATGAAATCAATCCTGATGCATTGGCCCAGATATCGTTAGGGTTGGAAGCCGATGCATTGTTGTTGTTGTTATTATTGGCCTATATGCACACAAGAGTAACTTTAGGTCAGAATCTGTCTTCACAACGATTTGGGGGTCATGAGTTTAGACAAATACATGGACATATAAAAGTAAAAACAAAAGTAGAATGGGGTACTGGAATCATACCGGCGCAGAGAAGGATGAATTTGGTCTTGAATTGCTTGGCGTCGTTGAATTCGCTGACATTGGAGGAATAGCGCCACTGCTGAAGGATGCCATTGTGTTGCTCTTAACAGGACTACTTCCAAGAAGGTCGAACGCTGCTGCGCCACCAGATGGCTTGGAGTTGAGGCCTCCAAAGGTGCCACTGATATTGCTCGAGGTGCTGTTTGCCCTTACAGGAGGAAGAGCAGAGGTCATGGTAGGGTTGTATGCTGGGAATGCAGAGGTCTGAGATTGCGTTTTTTGTTCAACTGGGGGTGCACTCTGGAAATCGTCGAAATCATCAGTAGCTGACTGTAATGCACCCCATCCATCATCAACAGGTTTGGATGCAGATGAGCCGAAAGCGTTCTGATTTGAAGGAGGAGCCGCAGCTGGCTCGTCGAAATCAAACAAATTCACCTCTTTGACAGGTTCAGGCTTTGGAACGACCTTTGGAGTTTCAGTTCTGTCAGTCCTACGAGGGTTACGACGAGCAGGTGGAGAACTGGGCGAATCCAGATCATCATCATCATATCGCCCGGATCTACTGCTGCTTCCACGATCAGTGTAACGGTCGCTGGATCTATATGAAGAACCAGATCCGCTGCCAGAATATCCGCCGTATCCACCTAGCAATTGATGATATGCGATGCGAAGACAATAATGATTAGTCATCCCCGAAATGATATGAAGCGTATGGATCACAATCTGAAGAAGTGACCCTACCGGAACCGCCATCGTAATAACTATCGCTTCCGAATCCTCCAAACCGGGACCCAGTTCCTGCAAAGCCTCCGCCCTCAGCTCCTACATATTTGTTACGGTTCGCCTTGGCCTTCTTACGTTCCTCCTTGATACGATCCACACTGCTAAGCATCTCGGCGAACTCCTTGGCACGATTGCGAACTGGTTATAAAAAAGGGCAAAGGCAACGTTAATGATAAAGTCAATAGTAAAGTATCCTGGTCGATCTGCAAATTCAACATACCATTAATGCCCTCATCCTTTCCATTGTCGTCGACATATTGAAAGTTACGGAGCACTTTGATAGTGGAAATATGGCCACGAGCCTCATCCACAACACGTTCTGAACCATGCGTAACCAGATATTCCAGGAGAACAAGAGACTGTATAGAAAATACAACATTATAAGTGCCAAACATCTAATGATAAAACCAATTTGATAGCAGCCGGCTGCATGAGCAATGATAAATCGACCATAGACTAACCTTGTAGATCTGACGCCACTCACGAGGCTCCTTTTCCGCAAACCGCTTGAAAATGGCCGGCATAATCTCATTAAAATATTGACTATATCATTGCGTTGAAAATGAATAGACAAAAAAAAAATGAGGATGGTTGTGGACCTCAGGACGCCCACGATTTTTTTTTTTTTTTTTTTTTTTTTGTTCATACATGTTATGAGTGGCCTGCGCCAATTCTTGCTTCAAAGTGCCAGATGCACCCCAGGGATCGTTGCTAGTGGCCTCCCTGACCTTTTGTTCCATCTCCGTGTAGTTCATAACCTTTGCGGTCCTGGTGACAGATGTAGATGCAAAGTATAGAAAAAAAAAAAAAAAAAAAAAAAAAAAAAGTTCAGGTAAAGAACAAATGTTACAGACATGGAGGGAAAACGAAAAAAGCGCGATCATAATGATGGAATCCCTACACTTTCTCGATGGCATTTCGGATATCCCACATGGAGTACCCAGATACATTTTCAATAAAGTTTTCCATGATGTTGTATTCTAGTCAACCGTTAAGGGATGCCTTGTTGTGTATCTTTTTTATTTTTTACGATGAAGAGATGACGTTTTCTTGAAATATAACAATGGCGACAAATGTTATTTCAAGCTGTTGCTCGCTGCACTGTATCAAGTCCCGCGTGTGATCAATTGTCGAAGAGAAAGTGCACCAAACAGCAGGCACACAATGAGATGATGATGATGAAGAGATTGATATGCCCCCTGAAGAAAGGAAAGGGAACGCACCTAATATTCATGCATCAAATATTAAGCCACTGCAATTGGTTGTAGACTCGGGTGCTATACCACAGCTTCTCTGTCAGGACAAAGGCTATATTTATCTAGTTCTTTAGCTCGACCTTACTCACCATCCTTCTCGCAGCATCCTTGGTGAGGTATGCATTGTCCTATGATTCCTCCAATCGGACTGTGATAAAACCCTGAAAACAAAGTATAAATGATCGGCAAGAAATATATTATTAGATTATTCAAACAAACTATTGCCCAAGGTTATTAAGCAGCGGTGTCTTCAACTCTTGTGATCGTTTTCATTGATTTATTAGTGTCTCCCAGTCAAAACCCTTTTCGACTGCTCCATCGTTTTGATCCATTCAGAGGAGTCACCAATATGAATGGTGCTATAAATATATATCCAATGCTACCCAATTGGGATTTAGAATCCTCAGCTTTGCCTCGCTCGCCCTAATATTTCTCACTCTACTCAAGGATTATATCCTTGCACACTTGCACACTTGCACACTTGCACACTTGCACATCTTCAAATAGATCCACAATAGTCTTTTTAAATTTGAAACAGTATATGATATTGAGGTCACCTAAACGGACATAGCATGTTGCCAGCAAGGGATTATAATGAAATTACTTTTTACTCAACCATGCTCAGGCATTTAAGTACGTAAATGAAGACTGTGCGTCAAAAGCGTTTTCCGTCCTTAAATCCTTCTCATCCTATAGAAGGCACCAAAGTGGCCAATTAGAGGCGGCATCATAAACCATTCAGCGGACAACCTCACAAGTTCTGTTTTTTAACATTTAACTCCTCAGTTAATAAGATAATAAAACCGAGATGACGGAATGGTGGTTAACGATGCATGGGTATGAAAATTACATTCGACCGGGAAAATCCTGAACAAATGCGACGTGCTCAGTAGCACCATACGTCTGTTGTGATAATTCTACTTTGAATGTTGTAAATCGAAACAATACTCATTATATTCTACAGACCTCCGTATCACCGTGAGCTATAGTCCACTAAGATGCTTAGAAAACTCCTCGTGGGTTTTCCTTTCGGCACTTTTATTTGAGACTAGAGAAAAACTGTTGGATTTGGAAAAGTGTTGGGACGATTTTTCACGTCCAGAACGTCCTAGATACTTAGAGTGGCTACCATGGCGTCACCCGAGCCAGGTCAACAAGAAGTATCAGCGGCCTATGCTATGCGTATGACAAATATCCTTGATCGCCACTTCCTAGTATTTCCGCTACTTGATACCATGTTTTGATTGATAGTGATTATGATGGGGACGATGATGTGGACGACAATGATAATGGCCAATGCTATCTCTTATATATCCTAAAAACAGCGGAATCGATCTTCATGCTACAAAGGTAAAGGATATTAATTATAGGTTACTATAGTCACCAGAAAGGAATTAGATAAGTCCTTATATACCTAGCACAATGTGGGGAATGAGGACAAACTATAAGAAGGAAGTAATAGGCGGTGATAGCTCAAAAAAATAAAAATAAAAACCTTTACCTAAGAAAAGTTTATTTATTGTATCATTGATTTGATATTGATAGAATATTTTACTTATTGAGTTGGTGATGCAAATGAACGTAGTCAGCTAAACTGCAGAAAAACGCGCCACAGTCCTCACAAGCATAGCTAAATGTGTGTCACCAACTGATATTCTTGCTGCTACAGCTGATACTGCTATCCCTGCTCCTGCTCTCCACGATCTTAATACACCTTATTTTCCTCCATAAAGCTTTTCTTTTTTCTCTTTTTTATCCCCATCTTTGATTATGATTTGAGCAAGTTCGCAGCGTCAAGCTCCCCCTACTTAAATGTAGATAAACCACATTAACGCCTTTTACACCGATTTGCAAATGAAACTGTGCAATAGTTGTGGCAATGCACATGGAAATCTTTCTTGCGCGCACAGTTGTTTTTGTGGTTACACAAGTAAGACATTTGTGCGTCTGTGCTCAATTGAATTTCGCGTTAATTTTTTACCAGTCGTATGGCCTTACTACTGACCACATTGTGATAACCGTATTCACTTCATTGACCCTGGTAAGTTTTTGTATGGGAAATAAAAGAGCCGTGAGCCATGATCACAAGGATATAACTGCTTAAAACTGCCCCCACTTTAGTACCTGTATGATGAAATGTCTATCTTGACGTACTGTTGCTGCTCGACGAGATTATGCAAACAGGCGGTGATCAAGCCCTACATTGAAGTACTTCCGCTGTCTATATGGAATGCAGCCAAAGGAGCGCAGAGTGTGTGTACTACGTCCGTCGTCAAATTTATGCCACAGGCAAGCAACAGCGACGATTTTTTATTACGATACACGTGTAGCTCTATTGTTAAAAAATAAAAAAAAATAAAAAAATACGAACATATGAAGCATCAATTGACCCATTATTACTATTATTATTATTATTATTATTATTATTATTATTATTATTATTATTATTATTATTATTATTATTATTATTATTATTATTATTATTATTATTATTATTATTATTATTATTATTATTATTATTATTATTATTATTATTATTATTATTATTATTATTATTATTATTATTATTATTATTATTATTATTATTATTATTATTATTATTATTATTATTATTATTATTATTATTATTGCTACTAATATTTGCTTATTTACGCCCTTTGCATAGCTGCATGCCGAAGAGCAATCTAACGGACTTCATGAGTGAGGAGTATGGGTGATCAATATGAATCATATGGATATGAAACTGAATGAGAAACGTTCATCCCTTTATTGAACACCTCCTACTGATTTAAATAGGGTAACTAATAATTGATAAGTGAAATTACTACTTACATGTGACTGATATGTCACAATGAGTTACTTTAGTGCTGTTGGATTCTCTGACTACTGACTACGTTTGTGCCCCGGCCACCAAGCTTTAAAATGATCATTTTAGTAGGCTTTAGTTCTTTGGCCTTATCACAGTAACTTGATGCTGTGTATTTGTCAAACGAACGAATTACAATAATAATAATAATAATAAGGAAGGATAACAGAAGCAGCACGAACAGGTCTATCGAGACTCTAGAAGTTTGTTGGTATTGAGCATTGATTATTCCGCATTCATGTCTATTTGTCGAACTGCCGATCTTTGTTTATCGGTTAATATGCTATCATCAAACCCCTCTTCTTACCTCACTCATGCGCCCCGGGTGCGGCTCGTGCTTACACAAATTACGCACACTCACTTGACTTGCTCAGTGAAAATTTTAGCAAGAATGATCTCAAAAAGGTCTTCCAGTAAAAAGCTCAATCAACTGCCGTACTAAAGATTCAGACCGAGCATTTGTATTTGCGTTCATTGACGATCAGGGCTACTTGAGCTTGCAAGCTACATCTCTGGCCATGTTCTACATTCCAATGGCTCAAAGATCCATTTCCATTCTTGAGTATAGACAATTTACAGTAGAATGTATATTACCAATAACAGTGATTTCTATTTGAGAAAGAGCCTGAACTCACAATGATCAAGGGCACTCAATTTATAATATTTCAGACAAACAATGTTTATTGCCAACTATTTGTTATTCTACCACGCCCAAACTGCGCACTATTCCAAGGAAGGACAATTTCTAAGGCAAAGGAACTTTTGTTTTTTTAGGAGGGAGCCTTGGTATTGGTGGATTATTAGTTGGTTGCTGGCTGTCTTTGGTTGTCTTTGCACTTGGCTGAAAATATTCTTGGTATATCCTTTGGCAGTGCTCTGATTAATTGGCGCTAGTAGCTGATGGTCTTTGGTCGAATGGCTTCGGCTACCTGTCTTTGATTGACTGGCTTCGCCTGGCTGATTTCGATTATGTGCCTTCGGTGGATTGGCGTCGGCTGGCTGGCTTATCTGGATTGCCTTTGGTTGATGATTGAGGCTAACATGTTTGATTTGCTTGAGGCAGCCTGTGTTTGGTTTGACTGAGGCAGCTTGTGCTTTATTTGGCCAAGATAGGCTTTGAGTGAGTTGGCTAGAGTCGCCTATGTCTGGCCTGGCTGAGGCCGCTAAGTTCGGTCGAGCTGAGGCTGCTGAGCAAGGCTGGCTTGTGTTAGCCTTATTTAGGGGATCCCTGGGTTGATTATGGCTATGACTGGCGTCGGCTTTGACTTTGACTTTGGCGGCGGCTTCAGCTTTGGCGTTGGAATTGGCTTTGACTTGGGCGCTGGCTTTTTTTTTTCTTTTGTTTTCGGTGGGTTTTTTTTGGAGGTTTTTTATTCTTTGTTCGTTTGTTTTTGTACTTTTTCTTTTTTTTTTATTCATTTTTCTTTGACTTGGAGGGTTTTTTCTTTTGTTCTTTTTTCTTTTTCTTTCTTTTTTTTTTTTTTTTTTTTTTTTTTTTGCTTTTGGAATGCTGTTTGATTTTTGTTTTTGGAGTGTGGAGTCTTGTCTTCTCTTTTGTTTTTGGAGCCTTGTCTTTTGTTTTTGGAGTCTTGTCTTTTTTTTCTGCCGTTGGGTGTGGGTGTTGACTGCTCTTGGCCTACGGCTGCTGTCTGGTGTCTGGTGCCTGTTGGGCCTTGCTCTCGCTTCTCCAAGCTGAAGTCTGATTGCAGTAGTCTATCGAACAACCAGTCAATGAAGCCTCGCTTTGACCAGAGCTCCCTTGGTTCAGACGGCAGGAAACAGGGTTACACAACATGGCAGTACAATTGCACGGCCACGCGCAGCACGGACGTAATCGTCCTTAACACCACTAATTGGCCTAATCCGGAGTGATTCGGCGCATCGATATACCACTCTAGACCACAGCCAACTAAGTATTTATACCTATATTTCCTACGCGAAATTACCAAGAGCGCTCCGATCAAAGTGAGGCCCAAAGACTAGTTACTTGATGTCGGCAGCGAGGGTACTTTGATGGACCGTGCTGCTGGCTTATTCAGGGTGTTTTCTGGCTTTGCTCTGTAGCTGGCTAGGAGTTTGTGTGGTTTGCAGTCTAAGGGTAGCATGAATAGAGGGAGAAGTAGACAGAAAAAAAGAAGGGACAAATAAGGACGATGAAGCATAGACTAGGAAAGCTGTGAACTTCAGTAGGAGTGGCTGTTTGGGAGTGCTGCTTATCTTTCATCTTGATCGGGGCCGATAGTCGAGGAGACCGAGGAGAAAGAGAAGAACAGCAGTGGTCGGATTCCAAGGCGCGATACACCAAGTACCTTGCTTGCTGTACGCTCAAAAGCGACCAATAAAATATCAACAACAAATAAAAAAAATATACGTGTCTTTGATATCACCTGTCATATTTCAATGAAAATGAGGAAACAAAGTATCAACGTTTACATGTCGACCCATAAAAAGCACACATATCGAGGGAATGACGTGTTGTATTATTTTGGCGTTCTAAAAAGGAAAAAGGAAGAAAAAAAGGGAAAAAAAAGTAAAAAAAGAAAAAAAGTCTGTTCGGAGAAAAACTGCCGCAGCATAGTTCTCACGATAATCTGTTCTCTTCCTTGTTAGAGATGAAGAGAGAGAATGGAAGGAGAGAGCCAAATAGCAAACTTGACTGATAAGTGCCTGATGGGCCCTATTACTAAGAACTAAAAGGTACTCGAGCTAAATACTAGTGATAAACAGAGTATGCGAGCTTTAACAAGTTTGTGCTCTGAATCTCGTTCTTTTACTGTAGCTGCAGCACACTGCTCACTGTTTTTCTTTTTTTCTTTGTTGTATGCCATACAAAGAGAGCAATGTGGCTCGTGCTCTTGTTGTGCTGTTGCATGTATGACCCTGCATATCTTTGAGGATAGAATGTTATTAATGCTATTTCCACCTACACCCGTGAGAGTTTTTTCCAAGCATATGAAAATTAACGAATGACATCACAGGTGCGCAGATTATCTATTATCAATCTTCTTCTTGAATAAGGCGTAAAAAAAGCAAAATGCTGAATATGTGTTTGTTATTCAGTCAATCCTTTAAAATCACAAATTGGTTTCAGGGACACGTCCAACAAATAAAAGCAAACCTTATTTGACGAACGACAGTTTGGCGATTTGAATCCTTCCTTAATGTTGTTACCGTCATTTTTTCTTTTTTTTTTACCAAAAGCCTTGCACTGTTGACAGCAAGAGTCCCATTGTCAAGTTCCATCATTGTCTCCATAGTTTCGCATGAAAAAAAAAAGTCACTGGATGTATAAATACCTCTCTTTTCCCCCGCCAAGCTTGCACCTCACTCAGGCACTTTACATGTGTTTGGTGCGTCTCCCCGCGGCGTTGCATCAGCCAGTAGTTCTGGTCCACCACAGGTGCGAACCAGGCGAAAATGTTGCTCCAGCGCTTCAACAGGTGTGGTTGTTTGTACTCGTTGATGATCGGTCGGCGGACTGTCAGAGAGTTGCGGGGCCAGCGGGGCGCATTAGTCAGACCACCTCCTCGTGGTGCGTCCTGGGCTGTCTGCTCATCTGCAGACAGGCGAAGAGTCTGACACTCTTTATAACTCTTAGTGTTATTATTTATTTATTTATTTATTTTTTATTTTTTATTTTTTTTAAAAAAAAAAAAAAAAAAAAAAAAAAAACTCTTTGTTCAACAAAGCATTAGCTCGTCTTGCTGGTGTACACCTTTCTTTCATCTCCTAGAGCAAAACTTCCTCGCAGCCATCTTTTTCCGAATACAGAAGCGAATGATTAGCCGCTTTGGAGGCATGAAGGTTTTGGTTGACTGTTATTTGTTAAACGATTTATTTGAGCAGGATTCAAGGAGTGAATGGACGATTCTGTAACAACGGTTGACGCTACGTCGGGCGAGCTTTTTTCTGAGCATAGTGGATAGGATATAGCTCAAATGACATTACTGTTTTATGTAAATATTGTAATAACTATATTTTCCAGCATCATTCTGTACTATCCCCCAACCGTCGCTATCGAAGACGGTATCTTGGAATCGACTCGATGCAAATTCCGCTGCCTTTTTATCCTCAATTATTGCAATCCTCTTGTTGAACGTGATAGGAGCTGCCAAGTCCTTTTTAATAGTGCCCTTCAAATATCAAAACAAAAAATGTCATGACTTTTCGACTATTGCGTTCGCCTAAAAATGGCAAATTACAATTTTTTGTTTTGATATTTGAAGGGCGCTAATAATAAAAATTTTGTTCTTGGCTGCTGATGGTGGCGCGTGTACCATGATCCATTTGCCCGTGCGCGGCGCTGTAGACCCTCTTCCTTCTCTATAAACTCCAGTTGATCCGCAAGAGTTTTTCTTTTTGTCAAGTTGTCACGAGTAAGACTTCCCAAGCAGTTGAGATTGTCGCGTAGTTCATAAAGTGTATTGATAACGGATTTAAACTTGGGTAGTGTTGTCACGGAGGTCGGAAGCTCAAAGCTAGCCTCTGGAACAGCGACATAGAGTGCCAGGGCAACAAGAAGAAGGGAGAATATGCATCCACTTAGACCAGCAGTTTGGATGCCAAATGCAGTGGAGTTATATAAAAGGTCTTTGTCGTCGGGAAGAATCTCTACCAAACAATTAGCGATATTTTTTGCCTCCCTAATAACTTTGGCACCATCCGAGTGAACTTTGCTGAGTTGTGGTGAGCGAGCGACCTCCATAACACAGAGGGTATGCTCTTGACCTCTAAAGTCAAGAATAACACGTCCATCGATTTTGAATGAGGTAGCATTGGGATCTTCAAACATTTCCTGCTTCTCTTTATTGGCACTTTCCATGGTTGTCTCGCCAGTTTTCAGTCGAAGCTTTGCTGGCGAGCCAATTAGTAGACGAGCAAGGAGTGGCTGCCATAATCCCGATAGGAGATCCATTTCTGATGATGTACCTTCGGAACTATCAGGCGAAAGAAGGTGTGGATATGAAATCATTGCATCAGTGATCCTATTTGAGCCGAACGGACCGAATTCGAATGGCTTCGAATAAGCCCTATCCTGGATCGATTCGAATGACGCGAATAGTTCGAATGGCTCGAATAGGAACACTGATGAAAGGTAGCATTGTTACGCGTAGCGTAAGCATGGTCACTATATTATAACACACAATCAAAATAAAAAAATATATATATATATTAATAAAATCACTACAAACACAAGTTTAATATAATCATTTCCTATTGTGCCAATGGTTCAAATGAATCGAATCATTAGAATCGAATTCGAACTTACCTTATCCGAACAGGAGCACCGCATTGCATCAATCATAGTCCATAAAAATGTAATGTTGTTGACACGAGACTCCGTTGCATTCGTTATCTGTTTTGTCAGATTGAGGAAGATTGCGTATGAATTTGTAAAAAAAGATCGTATTGGTTTTAGTATCAGGTGTCTAGTATGGCATACTAGTACTGCGTACCAAAATAACGAAAGTTTAGTATGACATACTCGTACTGCGTACCAAAATAACAAAAACAATCCCCCTTCCACAGCTGCAAAGTATCCAAATTCACCATCCCTCTTCACAAAGGCTGTCGTATAGAGCATCTGGTCTCTATGGCTCCTGAGAACGCGGATATACGTATATGGAGTCGAACTGTCACCAACTATCAAAAGACAAGTAATCTCTCGGGTTACAAATGGATGGGAGGATAGACATTCCACAAAATAAACTGAGGTCTATCCATTGTATTTTGGTGAATTTGATAAACAAAATTTAGTACCGAGGGCGCTTGAGCTCTTAATAAAGGGAAAAGAAATAGAGTAGTAACACAGTAACACGGCACGCTATGCATCGTAGCAATGTATATTTACCGAAACAAACTACACGTTAGAGGTCCCTAATTACTGAACTCATCGTTGTGTGCTTAATAGTGTACGGAAATACTAGAGATGTATGCACGCGCTAAATGAAAGAAGTATCGGGGAACCATCCATAATCTATAACAACACGGCTAACAAAAGTGCGAAGTAGAGCGGCATAGTATATTTCAATTATAGATAAATCATTTGTAATTCTGTATTTAGTCCCAGAGTCGCATAAAGAATGCCAGCATCTACTCTGAGCTACGTACGACCTTGATAAGATAAATATTCTGGTCAGTATTTGATACCTGGGTATCGACTCTGGATCTAAGCTTGTGTCGTGGAAGGCTTCCTGGTAGTGGTATTTAAGACTGAAATAAAGAGCACGTACAAATGAAAAAAAAGATTATTTGTACAGGGGAGCAGTGTAAATAGGATTAATCTATTTGGCAGCCTAGTTGCTAAATATTATTTGGCAGCCCATTGCCAAATATAATCAACTTTCAAGACTCTCTTTGGCAGCCCAGTTGCCAAATAACATTCATTATTTACTTGGCAGCCTACCCAGCGTTATTTGGCCTCTAACTATTTTTTTTTTTTTTTTTTCATTCCTAGGAACCGTATGTGTGTATAACGCTCATACTTTAAATTAATAAAGCTCCCATCTTCTACGTCATGGTTATGTGTAGTGACATTGTCTTGTCTCATTGAAAACTAATGACTTTTTTTTTCAAGTAGGTCGCTCATACAGTTTTGGAGGTGCCATTTGGAGATCAATACCTATGAGAGGTTTTCGCTCGGAGCAAACGCGTCTCACCTGCTACCTAGACGTCTTCAATAAATCATTCCTTAACCGTGTACATTGAAGGCTGTTTTGTGAAGATATCATCGCCGCTGCCCTTAGTACCTCCGGTGGCATTAGCTGTGCAAGGCAATGTATCCACAGAACGCTGCCTGTTTTACCACTGATGTTATGACCCTGTTATCAAAAAAAAAAAAAAAAAAAAAAAAAAAAAAAGGTAATGTATTTGGCAGCCCAGCTGCCACCCAAGAGTGCGAAGTTAAGTGGCAGCCCCCAGAAGTAGGCTGCCAAATAGAGGCAAAAATTACTATAATTGGTATGGGCTGCCAAATAGATTAATCCTAGGCTCGTTCCCAGCCCCTTCACTTTAGGTGACTCAAAAAGGAAATGGAATTTCCTGTCACCTTTATAAAGTGAAGAGGGATGGGTACGAGCCTAGATTAATCCGTGTAAATAAGGCGTGAACGGTGGCCGTGCAAATATCCTTCGGCTGTATCAAAAGAGACGTTTATGCAAAATAATCGCTCCTGGGTGGGCTTGAACCACCAACCTCCTGATTAACAGTCAGACGCGCTAACCAATTGCGCCACAAGAGCAGATAGCGAACGCATGCATTAATTATCTATATTAAGTTACTTGCACCACGTGACTAGCCGAGAAGCCCTTAATGAGCTGCTGCTAACTTAATTTTTATGATCAGTCTGTGGTGTCGCTTTTTGATCTGAGGGTCCTTGTTATCAAAAAAAAAAAAAAAAAAAAAAAAAAATGTGGTGTCGCTTCAGGTAGAGTCGATGGGTATGCTTCATCCACCAAGGCAGAGCTAGTAGGACTGTACGCAGCCATTCTAGTCAGTCCCCGTAACGTTCCAACGACTGTCTACATAGACAACATGGCGGTAGTGGTTCAGTTCAAGGACCTTGCTCAAAAGCGAGAAGCAAGCACTGAACGGCAGCGATTGCGATCCAAGTACGCAGTGTGGTGGGCAGCCATTTCGAGAGCGCTCTTAAGCAGGGCGGGAAGGTAACTGTGAAATGGATCAAGGGCCATGCTGGGAATAGAGGCAATATAAGGGCAGACCAAGCCGCCAAAGATGCTCATTTTAGCGAAATGTGGACAATCAAAGTACTGGAACACAACGATCTGCGCTGTCACGCTATTTTCGAGAACGAGGTGGTGGAGGATGATCTTAGACACCTGCTAAAGCTCCAATCAGCAGTGAGAACACATTACTTGTGGGCGTCTCAGAACAGAGTCAGGAATTATATTGCAGACTGGCGAGAAGTAGAATGGAAAGCAAGCCTGCATATTCTTCACGATGGCAACACGCCTAGAGGCCTCTTCACCAGCCCAGCAGATTGTCACAAGAGAGCGCACAGAATAAAGAAGGTCCATGGTATGCTTCCTACACTCACTTATATGAGGCAATGGCGACCGGACCTGTATGAGACTGACATCTGCAGGATGTGTGAACAGGAGCAGGAGGACATAGAACACCTCTGGCGATGTCCCATGACACTGGACGAGCAATTGAAAGGTTGGAAGCAGGCCATAGAACTCATCACGAAGGATGGCAAAAGAGCATTAGTGAAGGAGAAGAAGCTCTGGGAAGACAAACAAGGGAAAACACAGGAGCCAAACCTGAATAAAGGAGGTCCCTCGTTTACACCTGTAGCCGACAACGTGATTTGGGGCTCTTTGGAAGCGATGTTCAAGGGCGTCAGAGAGATTCGACATGCGAGCACTCTGTTTGGTGAGGAAGAGGTGGATATGGGGCGGAGGAACGAGGGTGAGGATGCTCACTGGACTGTCCAAGACTTGTACCACGGTTTGGTGCCGAAGGAACTGATACAAAAATGGAAGACGATCTTCAGAACCACAGCATCGATCTCAAGGTACATTGTTTGCCGCTTTGTCAAGTCAATCGAGGAACTCGGCAGGACTGAAATCTGGAACAGACGCTGCAAAGTCACCGTCAACTGGGAAAGAGACAATGGTATCACCTCTGTGAGCAAACGCGCCAGGGGACGCAACTGTGTTGGGAGGCACAGACGTAGCAGAGGTGAATTCTTTGGCTCTCACCAGGGACAACGACGAACAGCAGATGTGAAGGCGATCAGGACTGAGGCAGACCGGCGAGTGGCGGCAAGCTACCGGCAGCAGGTGGAATTGGCGATTATGGAGCGCCTGGAAAGCTGTAAATTTTTGATGATTGAAGACAGCGGCTAAAGGATGACCTTCGCACACAACAGGCCAAGTAGGGAGTAGAGCCGTGCCACAGATCCTCTGGGACCAAGGAAGTCTACTCAATGCTGACGTGGTTTATGAACAGGATGTAGTACTGTGGCAGTATGACGATGCGGCTTCGGTCGATTATTGGATACCGCTTTATTTGCGCCCCTAATAATAGGGCAACCCATTTACAGAGTCTATCTCCAATAAATCCTCATGACCTCGTGGGTCCCAGTTATCAAAAAAAAAAAAAAAAAAAAAAAATCATCACCTCTGCGAACAGGTCAAGTGAGGAGTAGAGCCGCTCCACGGGTTTCCAGGGGACCAAGGAAGCCTAATTAATACTGACGTGGTTTATGAACAGGACGTTGTACTGCGGCAGTACAACGTTACAGCTTTAGCAGATTTTTAGATATCGTTTTATTCGCGGCCCAGTATTGGGGCAACCCATTTAATGAGCTAACCTCTTAATGATTTCTGCATGGCCTCGTGGGTCTTCGTTATCAAAAAAAAAAAAAAAAAAAAAAAAAAAACACTAATGGACATACCACTCACCCAGACCATAAAGCAAGAAGAGTCGTGCCATCACGCACGGCGGCTAAAGCAGCTTAATAAAAAAATGAAGTAGAACGCGAAAAGGTGCCAATCAAAATTAATAAACGAGAGAGTATAATATGTTGGAAATACAATCCCAATGACAGAAACCAAAACCATCATAGTTTAGAGCGCTCCATCAATTTTTTTTTTAAAAAAGAGACGGAAGACTCCTTTTTTCAGCCTAGGCTCACATAGGAGCAAAAGAACCTAGGCTTGAATTAAAAAACAGCTTAAGGATCGAGGACTCGAAGAACGACTGGGGAGCTAAAGTAAGGTCAGCCAAGAATTGAACACATACAATCCATTGGTTTACAAATTGCCTATTTGCTTCTAGCTCTATCCTTTGACAAACTACTACCTCAACCAGAAAGAGGGTAGTTTACAAAGCTATAAGTGCCGTCCATCCAGTCTGGCTATGCCCGACCAAACTCTCCAAGGATATTTCTGTGACAGTTACTATCATGAATCAATCCATTTACGTTCACGATTCCTATCCAATTAAATTATTAATTGTTGGTCAGACTAAAGTGTCTTTGTTTGCTATTACGAGGTAAAGATCTCTGCAAAGCTCTTAATAAGACCTTGATGCCAACTTCCCTTCTGTTCATTCGTTACTATTCATAAAGATACTCATAGTCTTTATCGGATTTGACAAGATCACTACTTGTTATTAACTTTATCAACATTTTTTGACATCCTTGTCTATTTTATTTATTTCTTATGCATTGTCCTGGTATCTACGCCGACAATAACAAAGGCTACCCAGCCACATAACGGGAAGCTAGTCGCTTCTCAAGGTGTAGTGTCGAGTCCTAGGGTAGTTGTTCCTTTTCTTAAGCTGCCTTGAAGGTGGTCAAGACGAAAGCTAGCAGGGAGTTATCAACAACCATTGGGACTGATGGCAACGTGAAATGGCTTACGGAACATGAAAACAAAGAGGTCAATAGCTGCTTTGAATTGTCCCTAGTCGTGTCCCTTTTAATGAACTTCGTCATAGCCTTCACGTAGTATTCTGATTTTACGAATGGAATGAAGTGGCCCTGGACGCTCTCCTAAACCCCTGGACGTGGCATAATGGGGAAACTTGAGACTGTCGTTATCTAAAGGCTGTGAAGTGTAGCTAGAAGATGGCCTTTGCGTACAACAGGCTAGATAGAGGGCTCAAGGTTCATCATAAGGTTCATAGGGATCAAGAGAGCTACTGTTCATCTTGACATAAGTTTGTGAATAGTGTGTTACGTAGTGCGACAATAGAATTAAGGCAGTTTACAATAAGGTATTCCACTTTAGAGCCCGGTATCCATACGCCTTCATGACTTCGTAAGATCTAGTTATCAATTTGAGGCGATGGAAGTTGTAGTGTCATTTTGGGATTTGGGGCAGCAAGCCACAAGTCTACACTACACGAGCAACTGCGCCACCTGTACAAGTTTTTTTTTTTTTTTTTTTTTTTCCCACAGACATTCAATTGCTGCCACAGACATATTTTTACCGCCTTACTTTTTAACATAAAAATATATAGGACAGGACAGGACAGGGCAGGATAGGGTAGGCCAGGATAGGGTAGGCCAGGATAGGATTGGACAGGATGTTTCTTCCCACAGCGATGGAGAATGTGTTCTCGGTGCCCGAGTTATTACATCATATTCAGTTGTGGCTCTCAAAGACTGACCTTGCGAATTGCATCCTTGTCTCGAAAGCTTTCCAAAAGACCTTTACTCCGCTTCTCTGGCATACAATCTCACTCAAGACATTAGTCCAACACCGCCGATTTACAGAGAATCCAGAAGTGCAACATGCCCTTGCTAGGAATATGGTTCACATTCGAGTCATTCAAATTCAGAGCTGCAAGAGTCTGGAGCCATTCTTGATGGCCGATATTTCTCAGCTGAAGCACTTACACACACTCGAGTTTCCATGGCCCGCAAGGGCCGATACAGACTACCGAGGGTTCTTGAAGAGGCAAAGGTTAACTATAACGCCTGATGGGACCCCTATATATGTGAACGCTACACCAGCACCTGACAGCATTGGAAACCCTCCAATAGACTCTACTCTTCTTGGGCCAGTGGACTGGATGGATATGAAGTCTGTATTTTTAATATATTATCAAAAGATGGAGTTGCATAGTCATCTTCAAAGGTGTGAGCGTGAAGTGATCCAACAATTCAAACAGGAGTATCATACCTGGGTCGTTGAAAACTTCCAAAAATATCATCAATTAGCGGAGCAGTATATGGCGGAATCGCTACAGGCAGGGGAAGCTGGCTATCCGGTTTTAGGGACAACAGCAAACGGCGCCGCCGCCGCAACAGCAGCGGCGGAAACAACAAAGCAGTGGATAGGCATGCTCTTATGGGAAATCACACACTACATAAGACTAGTGGACTCCTTCCTCATCATGCCACTCAGCATTCGTCCTACTACACTTGAACAAGAGCTTTTAGACTGGTTTCGACGTCTCAAGGAGCAGAAAAAAACACTACTAGATATCACTGAGGTGCTTGAGGAACGATATTCCGCCGCTACACGGATACGGACAAGGCAGGACCAGATAGTTGAGCAGCAGGCATCACCAAAAGACAAAAGCGCACAAAGGAAGCCCCTGAATACATCGGAGCAGTTGTATCGGCTCCACTCGACTCTAAAGACGCAGTGGGAAGAAATCCCGCAGAACACATGTGTCATTCAAAGTCGTCTACGGATGTTGCGGGACCCGACCTCATTAAGCTCATCTCAAGTTGTAGATGGTTTTGGCATATTCCCGCATCAAAGCCGCCTCCAATGCGAGCAGCAAACTGAAAGCCAGCGCCTAAGAGATGAAGTAGAGAATATGCTGCTACGACTGCAGGGTGGAAATAATAATGGACAGGGGAAACTTATTGTTCGAAAGCAAGTCCCACGCGATGACCTTGACTTATTCCTGGACCAAATTTATATATTTATTCGGTCATTAGCTCAGGATGAAAGATCCGCAGTTATCGATCGGATACAACAACAAGTTAGTTTGACTTCAACCGAGCCGCCCTCATCGCCAGATCGTAGGAGGCCCCCAGCATCTACGGTACCAAAACCATTACCATGGGACTACGATACCGACCAAGATCGAAACCACCTTGTCCAGTTCCTTCACCACGCTCCAAAAATTACGGCATTTCATTCAGCCCGGCCACTGACTTGGGATTGTGGTCTATACCAAGCTCTATCAACCCGTCTCAAGACCTTCTCAGAAATGACCTCCATATCCATATATACTCAGGAACTTGATCAGCATTGGTGCAGCGGTAATTTAGAACACCTTTTAGATGCCTGTTCTCCGCAACTAGAGGCCTTAAGGATAGCCGGGCCCCAGACCTTTAGGGCAGAAGTACTCGCACAAAATGTGGGTGCTCTTCAGTCAAGCCAAAACTGCAGTCAGGCTAAAAAAATGCGTCAAATAGAGACCAGTAGGACAAGCCTAAGGCGATTGGCTCTTGAAGGTGATTGTAAGCACTATTTCCGACCTTCATTCTTGAATCGGTGTCCCGAACTGAAATCACTAAGCTTGAGCGACTGTCAAGATTCTCTAGTTGAAGACATAAGTCGCTGGATCCAAAGTTGTTGTCCACTGCTAGAGGAGTTGGCAATATCCAAGGTCACAGAGCCTCGTGCAGCGGGTGCATTAGATGCTATCCTTGGAGCTTGCGTAGGTTTATCCTCCTCAACCGACCTCCGCAGCTGCACAGTGCCCCTATTGAAAAAAGGAAATGTTTATGTCAATAGCCAAGCTGGACAAACGACAAATTTGAAAAGTCTACTTGTCTTTGGCTACCAGTTTGCAGAACATGATCCTGCGATTGATGCAATATGTCAGCACGGCCGAAAGGGACTAAGGTATTTCGCGCTTAAGAGCTGTGAAGGTCTTTGGACAAGACGACAGCTCGATCTTGCTACCCATGAAATGAAGATCATAGAAGGAGATCCGCCACAGATCTACAGGGTTCTAGAAGCGTTAGGCCCTCAATTAGAATACCTTGATCTTTTACATTATGGTGGGGTACCACTTCGTAGTCCAGCTTATAGTCGGTTTGAAGCCACCGATTTCGCCAAGTACGCTTATGCAAATAACAACTTCAACAGCGGTAATGGACACCACGATGATAACAGCAGCGACAATAGTAACGGCAGTGCCAGCACCGGAAATAGAAGTATGACCAAGGACCAATGCGGTAATGGACAGCGGCTGATTTGGGTGTTTATTCCAACACTAAAAGTGCTCCGAATCTGCATCGGCGGCTTCTATCGTCCAACTTTGGATAATCGTCATTCAACTACAATTTATCCATTTAACCCTAGGATAAAAGACCCCATTATGAGTCGAGACATTGAGATTCGTGTCTGTCAAATCTTGGGCTCGTTCTCTGCACTAGAGGAGCTACATCTAGGGCTAGATGAAGCAGACGGTCCATATTGTATTGGGGACCCGTCAATGATGTTCCAGAATACTTCGTTAGCCTTGTCCCTAGATCATGGACTATGGGCGATGAGTGGGCTGAAGCAGCTGAAGGTACTAAAGGTCACCAGAATGGATCATCGAATAGGGTTGGAAGAAATTCAGTGGATGTGTGAGCATTGGCCAAGACTAGACATTGTGCACGGGCTCTTGAGGCAGATGAGTACAAAAGAGAGTATAGGGTTGCAAGAGAGATGGGAGCAACAGAAGGCAGAGAATGAAAGGATTGTAAAATGGCTCAAGGCGAACAAGCCTTTTTTAAGATACACTTAAAATGTAGCCTTCTCACCTTCTTCTTTATATTCTTTATTCCTCTTTCCTTCTACCATTTATTATTATTATTACTATTACTACTGCTATTGCCATTGCTATCGCCTTTGGTGTTTTTGGAAATATTGGTAATGACATTATAAAGGAATAAAGCGAAATAGACGCTTTGAATTTGGGCGTAGTCAATCTTTCTATTTGTTTTATTAATTAGACATTTAGTGCTTCATCGAAAGACCGTATCGCTGTAGAATCAAAGGAAGGAGGATTTCCCCTCGAGTTTATCTGAGTGCCTCTCCTTCAGCCATGTTGCACTCTCTGACTCAGTAATGCCTGTTCTACGCCTCAATCCTATGACCGGCTTCTGGTCCGGTCTATGCTCACTCATCCACTTGGTAGCGTGAGGTACAAAGCTTGCTTACAATTAGGGCTTCCAGCGCCGCGAATTCTTTCCAGAGAGAAGGCCCTGTACTCGAGCTTAGACACTGATGAGCGCTGGGTAATAAAAGATGTGTCCGACTTCATACAGTAACTCCTGGGTCACTAAGACGCAGATGGCCCGACCTATGTGGTTGTGGAAGCATGTATGGTTCTTTTAATTATCAACTTTTTGCCAGTCTTCCATTGACGAAGGTGAGTCCATAACGGTTGACATGGCTGGTAGCACCTCTTCTTTTCCTGGCATACAAGAGTCAAGAGCCTTATTTTGTTCTATTTTTTTTGTTTTTTTCTCAATCTTCATTTACGATTATTCTACAACCTAACAGTGCCAGAAATTCTTTTTATTCTTTTTACAATAAAATTGGCAAAATAGTTGAGGTTCCTTGCAATGGAAATGAACTGTCTATGGGCTGATTCAACAAATTTCAAATCGCTTTGTGAAATTGAAGGTGAAGACTATTCGGAGGTGCAGCGCGATCTTTTCATTAGTGGCATCTGTCTAGATGACTATTATCGTATCTTTGGCAACATATTGACCTATCAATCCATGGAAGCGACACAGTTTTAGTGGCCACGCTGAGCAAGAAGGCGATCCCGTTGAGCTGTAGCTCTTGGAACGTTGTTCCAGGCAAGGAGATGTTTCGGTCGAGTGAAGCCATTCCTTTGTTCATACAAAGGCTGAGCTTTAATGGCAAGATATTGGATAGTAGGAGGGCGAAGAAGCATACAGCATCACGGAGGGATCAACAATTTACTAAGTATTAGCCTTAAAGGGCGGATAAGGCGTTGATCAAAGTGCCATGGTATTTTTCGGATGTCTCTGATCATTCCAATACCGAAACCGTAGAGTCCCCTCTCCTGGCTCCACGAAGGCAAACCGTCTTCCCGGGGACGAGCGTTGAATGCGACTGCATGTACACCCCAAAGCATCAAGCAATTTGCCGTATGCGGTTTGGGATGCTTGAGTCCTCTACTCAAGCAAAGTTGTTGGAATGCCCTAATTGTTATAAGAGCGGCCAGATCACGCCAATTACTGCTAAGTTTGTAGGATGCAAATATAGGATTTTCGAGACCCAAAGTCTCAGGAGAACAGTACTCTCGGCTGGACTTGGGAGTGGTGAGAGTAGAGGATTTTTATCAGCTTTTCAACCTGAGCAACCAGATATCGTGGCAGCGATTGATTACCGAATCAGCTAGACTTGATGCAGTTGACGATTGCGCTATCTGTTTGGAGCCCATGGAGATGTAAGATAAGCTTGATTGTGGGCATCGGTCTCAGCGTGGTTGTAGCTATAACCAGTATTTAATCAATGGAGCTTTTCTTTAACCCATACATGTCTCCACTATGGGCTGATTTCAACAAGTTGATTATTAAGGGGTAACAAACTTAACAAATGATAGATGCTTGAAAGATCCGTTTCTTTCTTCACCAGCAACGTAAAATTAATTACAAAGAAGCAAAAGTGGATTCAATGGCATCAGAATATGAACTCTTTGAACCGCCAAATGATGCCATCTCAGCCGTTGTCTTCCATCCTTCTAGACCCGAGACGCTGATGGTCTCGTCATGGGACAAGGTATAATTATAATTGCAAAAATGAATTATTTATTGTTGTTATTATTATAGTTGTTTACAGTCCTTATCCAATATCCTCTTTCGACAATTGATACTTAATAGACTGTGGCATTGTACGATATAAACAAGAACCAGCAGACAGGGAAATATCAGCATGACGCAGCTGTGCTAGATTGCTGCTTTGGCGAAGGAATGGAGGCTTACAGTGGTGGTTTGGATAGAACTGTCAGGATGTAATGTCTTGTTTTCATCTCTTTGCTCCTGTTTATCTTTTGGTTGAGTTTACATGTTACTGGTGTTTTGCGTAGTAGGAGATCTTGCAATTCCCATGAAAAATGTGTATCTGATGATAAAAACCATTTATCAATATGTTTTATTAGGCATGATTTTGCCTCAGGGAAGGATATTGTGTTAGGATCGCATGATGATGCTGTACGTGCTATGGCATTCAGCACAGCTAACAGTAAGTTTTACTTATGCCCTCTCTTTCATCGATTATAAAAAAAAAAAGCACCGCATTAACCACATTTCGGCTACCCATAAACAGATTTTTTGGTGACAGGATCATGGGATAGGACCATCGGAACATGGGACCACCGCGCTGGTGGCGTGGAGCATGGGCACAACTTGGGCAAATACAATCAACCAGAGAAGATTTTCTCATTGGATGTCTGTGATCAAAAGCTGGTGGTTGCTATGGCAGGGCGATTGGTATTCATTTATGATTTACGCAATATGAAGGAAACACTACAGCGTCGGGAAAGCTCATTAAAATATCAGACTCGGATGGTTCGATGCATGCGTGATGGCCTTGGATATGCATCCTCATCAATTGAAGGCAGAGTCGCGGTCGAGTTTTTTGATCCTAGCGCGGAGAGTCAAGCCAAGAAGTATGCGTTCAAGTGTCACCGAAAGGTCATTGACGGAGTTGAGACAATCTATCCAGTCAATGCATTAGCCTATCACCCAATGTAGGTTTATTGATTTCTTGCTTAAAAAATTGCGCTTGCTTGTAAGAGCGCTATCTTTTTTATTGATCTCCTTTTTTTTTTTTTTTTTTTTTTTTTTAAAATAATGTTATGTAGTCATGGAACGTTCGCATCGGGTGGATCGGATGGTGGTGTAACGCTATGGGATGGGTTTAATAAGAAGCGATTGAAGCAATACACACCGTATCCGACATCGATATCTTCTCTGTCATGGTCATGCGATGGCAAAACTCTTGCTATCGCTAGTTCATACACTTTTGACGAGGGTGAGAAGGACCATGCGCCAGATCAAGTTTTTTTACGCTCAATATCAGATCAAGAGGCTAGACCAAAGATCTTACCGCCATCATCAGCCTCATCTGCAGCAGTGGCGGGGTTCGGCAAATGAGTCCTATGAGAGAAATCATTCCCTTGCGGCATTTTGTAGACAATTTTAATGCCATGTTGGGATGGACATATGTTAAAAATAAGACATATCAATATACATCGCTACATGTATGCAGGCCGTTCATGCATTTATTCATTCTAATGTACAAATTTTGCTCATGATGAACATTAGCAATAAGATTGCTTCAATCGCTATCTTCGATTTCCTGTAAGGATGGGTCTTGATATTGTTGATCACTTGCTAACAATGCGTCTAGCAATAATTCGCGTTCTACCCGCAGCCTCGTCAGCTTCTTCTTCATATCCTCATACTCACTTTCAAGTGACTCACGTTCGTTATAGATATAGCGAAATTTAGCCTTTAATATCCCATATCGTTGCTTGGGTGTCTGGCCGTTATCAACCGCAAAATCAGAATCCTCTGCATCATCGTCCTCTTCTTCATCTTCGTCTTGGTTTGCACTACTAGTGCGGTCGTCATTCCCAAGATATCGACTATGAAGATGACGACCCCTTTCGCCCCCGCCCCCACCTTCACCTCCTCTTTTCGGATGGTCCAATTGCTTCAATATCAATGCATCAGCAAAACTTTGGTGGTAGTGTCGATGGTCTCCATCAAACTCACTCCCTAGTTTCCTGCGTTTTGAAGGACTCATAAGTCTGGTGGAAAGCGTCGATGACATTTCCGGATCTGAGCGAGAAGATTCATGGTGCCGCCGTTTTTTAGCCCCAAAAGAAGATGAAGGCAGTAATGTTGAAGAGGCAGCAGGGTCTTTCATAGTATAGCGCCCTCGTGACTTACGTCCTGTAAACCGCTCAGGAACATCACCATGTTGGCATTTGAGATGCTTCGCCATCGCACTGTAGATTAAGAATAGAAGGTCCGGAAAAAAAAAAAAAAAAAGAAAAGTCCCACTTGATTAGTGCTGTCCGAGAGAATATCAACGCTTCATTGTTTTTAACTATTTAAAGGTAGCAGCAGAGAAAGTACTGACTCTGAACGGCTGAAGCTTTTATCACATTCTGGCACAGGGCAATCGTAAGGCTTGTGTTTGGTATGGCTCCTCATATGTGAGATTAATGCAAACCGCGTTGTCTGTGCAATCGGCTTCCTCGAGCATCCTGATCCAGATCACGCCATTGAAAGACACAAAGATATAGAGGCACAGAGAAACAAGAGAAAGAAGTTAGTTCTTTGTTGTATGTTACTATTGTGTCAAGGGCTGGTTGCCTTTTTGTAGACGGGATGCTTTTCTTCCTTCTTACCTTCCCATTCACATGTGTATGATGTTTTCTTCCATCCAATGTGTTCATCCGAGAGATGAATTACCAGCGCTGATAAAGAAGGCAAGACTTTGCCACAGTCCTTCCATCGACAGACTGTTTCCTCGGGCATGTTGCTGTATTCTTCATCATTTGGGTGGACGGATGCCGCTTCTTCTTCTTCATCATCATTATCAGAGGATAATGACAAGTCTGCATCATCGGTTGTTCTGGTTGTCGCCAAGTCGTTGGTATCAGTGTTATTTTTGCCGTTGGCGTCTGATTTTTGATCTTCTCGATCCTGATCTGGATCCTCGTCCTCACCATCATCTTCTTCATCTGCATCTTCATGAGGTGCATTCCCTGCCTCAGCTTCACTATCTTCGTCATGGTCTGTCTCAGGATGTAGGTGTACTCCATTCATTTGATGATTTGAACTGTCCTCTTCTTTTTTAAGACGCGGTTCCTGAGAACCTACAGATAAGTATTGCGAGTTTGAAGAATGAGTAGTATATTGCTGTTGTGATGGCGTCCCTGAATGTGATATCGTGTCTTGGCTCTCCGGTCTTGATACTGTGGCAATTGCGGTATTAGGAGAAGACATAACTGTCTGTATATTTCTCAAAAAGTGTTTGGCGGGTATAAGTCGAAAATCGTTTCGTCACTTCTCTGGAGGTGTAGAAAAACAATGCTCTGTTTATAGCTTATGCAGTCTTCCGAATGAAGAAAAAAAAGAAATCCTTTGTCGTCTAAAAATCTGCTTCCTGATGATGAGATGTCGTCCAGGCAAAATGAGGATGCTGTGGTGGTTAATGAAGGAATAAATTGACGATGACAAAGTACATATTTCTAAGGGTACCAGTTAAGGGGATGGGAGTGACGTCACTATCCACGTGATGGGATAGTCTTTCATGGATTTAGTGCGACGCCAATTCTTTTTGTTTATTCCACCAATTCCCGATCAGTGCCTAGCTTTTTTCTCTTTCCTCATCCATCATTTCATCCCCCCTCCTTCATCGTATTATCGCAATGTTCGCCGCTCGCCGTGCCCTTCAAGTAATTGTCATTCTCCCCCATTTGCATCAATCGTTTATTTATACATTCGTCTACCTATATATAACACCTGCTCTTAATCACATAATCCTCTATCCGATCACGTTCTCCACCCCACAGAACACGCCTCTACAACAATACTATCTTTCTGTGCAATAAACGACACGCCATCACTACATTCATGATCCCGTCTCATTATCCACTACCTAGAGTTTAATGCTTCGATCCACAATCGCATATTCCATTCCTAACCAACCCTTCAACTTATTTTACATTCTTTTCATCGTTTAGGCTACTCGTGGCTATGCCACTGCTGCCAATGTTCAGGTAATGACGTGATCCATTACAGATTTTTTGATATCATTTAGACAATTACAACATCGATCGCGACATTAGAAGAAAAGTCTATTGACATTTGCATCCAGAATTATGTTTTGACAAAGATGCAATATATTTCTCAGGATGTTTTCTTGACATTAATATCTATGCATATACTCGTTTGTTGCAGAGGACGATTAGACGATTAACGTTTTCGTTTCATCCTGCAAAACTGTATATTTACATTGTCTATACAGGTTCCTGTTGTCCTTCACGGTATTGAGGGTCGCTATGCCACTGCTTTGTACACTGCTGCTGCCAAGAAGCAGGCCTTGGACACTGTTGAGAACGATTTGAAGCAGGTCAAGCGTGTTGTCGAAAAGGACTCGAAGCTCCGTGAGTTCCTCGAGAACCCCACCATTAACCGCATTGAGAAGAAGAACGGTGTCCAGCAGTTGCTCAGCGCTGGCAAGTACAATGAGCTCACCAAGAACTTCTTCGATACCTTGGCTGAGAACGGTCGCCTTAATGACACTGTCAAGATCATTAACTCTTATGGCTCTCTTATGAGTGCCTACCGTGGTGAGGTTCAGGTTACCATCACCTCCGCTAAGGTAAATATGAATGGTTCTTAATCGTGCAAGAATATTGGCCTTTTTTTTTTCTTTTTTTTAAAAAAGCACGGACAGTTAATTGTATCGCGCATAAACCTGACTTGAGTAATGTTTTTTTTTCATTTTAATATTGATGCATGGCACAATGACAGGAATTGGATGCCAAGGAGGTTGCCAAGATTAAGGGCTACCTTGCCAAGTCTGCCTTCGTTACCTCCAAGCAAACTCTTGTTGTTTCTAACAAGGTATTGACTAGATGCTGGATAAAAAAACAGTAACTGCGTGCTAAAATCAAGTTCAATTAACTCAAAAGACACTTGTTTTCATGACACATTAACTAGGTGAACCCCTCGATTCTCGGTGGTTTGGTTGTTGAGTTCGGTGACAAGACTATTGACTTGTCTGTTTCTTCCAAGATCAACAAGCTCAACCAGTTGCTTCATGGTTAGTCATGATATAACTCATAAGACAGCGAGCTCATGATATAAAGGAAGTCATCGTGCTAATTATCTAATTGTACTGATTCTTTATTTTATTTTTTACAGAGTCTGTCTAGATTATCCCGTTTCACTTGATTCAAATTTCCCTGACAGGAATTATTCTCTTGGACACGGAATAAAATGATAACAAAACACGGATTTCAAAAGAAACATATAAACGACTATTTTTCTTATTTTTTTTGAAAAACACATTTCAACATGCTCTTAAGCTCGCTCCTCTCTTCTCTTTTTTGTCTATCATTTTTTTTTTTCTCAACCTTCCACTTGACATCCACATATTAAACTCAAGAATAAAATTAAGGCGGTACATATCCAAGTTTGGATGGCGCGTTGCGTGACTTGATTTAATAAATTAAAAACAAAACATTAAGACGCGACTTGCTCATTCAAGTAAAAACACTTTCTCTTCCTAATCTGTCGCGCCTCCACTACCAATTGATAAAAGTATTATAAAGAGAGCGAAGACGACAGCCATGGAAGATATACCTCTGGAAGATGAGCCCTTTGGGCCTTTTGACGATTACGATGACAACTTTGACGATCATTTCATGCAACAGGTTGCTGCGAGAGAAACTAATGTGCAACATGAGGCAATTGGTACAGAGTCAATATCAACAGCGGCAGGATCAACGGTAACGAAAGTTGGAGTAGCCTCCCCAAACTCACATCCTTCCTCCTTTTCGTCTTCCAACGTGGATAAGTCTCCAAGTAACGACCATGATTCTGAATCTTTACCACAGCAAACCGACTTTTTGGGTATGTTGCAGACTCAGAAACGACAGGCTGAACGAGAGGCCCAGCAGCAACAACAACATCGACAACAGCAATATCAACAGCAAGAACGCAGTCAAGGACGACGTGATGGCCGTGGCGGCGGTCGAGCTAATGGATTTACAGGCGGTGATGCTGGTGATTTGGCCACTGTAAGCGTTACTAAGAAGAGGGCTAGACCGGTCAGACTAGATCACGAAAGGTAAAGCCTTAGAGCAATATATATATATATATATATAAATATATAAATATAAATATAAATATAGGAGAAACAATTAACACTATGTTACTGGCCATTAATATCTTTACCTTTTTTTTTTTTTTTTTTGACTATGATATCATATGAATAGGTTGTTGAGTGAAAAAGGCTTCCCGATGCTGTTGAACCATGCTAAGAGATTCAAGATTCGAACTAATTATAAGGATGCTGCTGAAAAAGACAATAATGCTGTATGTATAAACAAGTTTTTAGTATACTTTATTATTACTATTATTATTATTATTATATGAACAATTATGGGTCGTAGGATCGTAGGATCGTAGAGCGTACTTGCTTGAGTACCCAAACATCAAATATTGAAGAAAAAAGAAATTCTTTTATGCTTAAAAATAGATGAAAAACCTTGAGGACTTGATGCGCGTGTATCAAATGTGGGCCCATAACTTGTTCCCAAAGGCGACGTTTAGAGATTTTATCATTACGGCGGAAGCAAGATGTAAATCGGAGAAAATAATGAAAGTAAGGAAAAAAAAAAAAAAAGAGGTATAGCATTTTAAGCTATATCATTATGAAACGATGTGATGTTGATTGTTAAGGATATTATTTATGAAGAAAAAAAAAAAAAAAAAAAAAAAAAAAGTTGCTAACAATGCTTTTGATGCTGCCATGATCTTTATTTATGTTAGGCGACAATGGATGGTTGGCGTGATGCATACTGGAACAAACGATTTGAGGAATCAACGGCAAAAGAGGACGCGGAATATGCAGAGCAAAGAGCACAGACAAGTCGGGAGAGTGTTTGGAATGAACACGAGATGGAAATGGCAAAATCTGCATCCATGCAGGACATGGACCGGGATCCTTTATCATCGATAAGCGAAATTGACAAAAGATCTCGGGATAATGAGACTTCTACCTCTTCATCCCATCTAAAATCAGTACAGATGCAGAAACAGCCGCGGCCGAGGCCGATAACCTCTCAAAAGGGGAAGGGAAAGGCTACTGACGATGTGTCAGCGGCGATGCATCTGACTGTGTCTGATGATGGAAGCGAAATTGAGGATGGTTACGAAGAAGCGTTACAGAGGATGAGGATTTCCATGGACTCGGGTCTTCAAAACAGCTCAAATGATTACAACGTATCTGCAGGGTCATCGAGTAGGCGCAGTTATTTGGGCAATCGAGAAGCAACTGCGCAGAAAGAAGGGGCTGGGCAAGCGCCTAGGCATGATTTTGAAGGAAATGAGGATGAAGGAGATGAAGATGAGGAAGATGAGCCACTATTTACACACCGTGCATTGCGCATGATGGGAAGCTCTATCAGTAATGATATTCTTGGCAAGGATGTACCCTCCCACACCATTACTACGCCGAAAGATGGGACTCAAATGAATCATGCATCCTCGGAAAAGTCAATAAAACCACCTCCCATAGAAGATAGCATGAATAGTATTTCGAATCCGGCTCAAGCTTTGGTCCAGTCAGACCCTGTACTAGCCAAAGATTTCGATTTTGATGCAACATTACCACTTCCTCTTCCTGATGGCAACAGTCCGAGTATGGGTATCAGAATTAACAGACTGGGCCGGTTAGAAGATGGGGATGAGGATGAAGATGAAGAGGATACACTAGCACTGCGGAAACCAGTAAAGGGTAGACGTGCCATCATGCTAGATGACTCTGATGATGAATAGGCCAAAAAAAAAAAAAAAAAAAAAAAAAAAAGCCATATTCATGTATACATACAAATGTCAATTGGGCTTTTTGAAGGAAGACAGCACACCATCTAGCCTATTGAAAACTAGTCGAAGCAGTTGTACAAGAAACAAAAAAATTTACTTTGCATAATTCTGTGGCTATTCGAATCATGGAAAAAAAAGGGAAAAAAAAAAAGGCAAAATACAATATAATAACGACATCAATAATAATAAAAGTTTAAGGGATGGTAGCATAGCAGCATGTAATAGCAGTGCCAGCCTTGTGTTTTGTTTTATCGAGTCTCATCGGAGGTTCTCGCTGTACCATGAGAATGTCCAGTAGTTCCATTTGAACTTCGTCGTCCACGAGTGAGTCGCTGAGATAGAGTCTTTTGAGGTTTGGACAATGGCCGGGGTTAGAGAACAGGTCCATCAGCGCGTGATTATCAGGCCATTCGCTATCAACTGTAAGCTCTTCTAATCGTTCCAAAGCAAGTAGCATGGGGGTGTCGTTGATGTTATTGTAATCGTTACCGCTGCTATGATTGGTGCTTTCTTGTTGCCCTTTATCATCGTTTATCAAAAATGTATCGAGCCCCTGGATTCCTTTCAATTCAAGCCTTTTCAGTGTCCTGCGATTGTTCCTCAAGACTATTAATAATCGAACATGAGCTACATCCCATGACTGTAATGTCATTTCTTCTAGTTGCTTTAGTCCCTTCATTTCCTCGATTTCCAGACCAGGCAGAAGGCCGCAATAAGGAGCTGTTCCTACCCATGTGAGACGCTTAAGAGTCGGATTGGACTGGACCAATTGACATGATTGAGGACAGGTTCGATAGAGAGTTAGATCAATGAGCCGTCGACATTGGAATGGAGCAACATTGTTATAAGGTGTTAGGGTATCGTTTAAGAAGAATCGAATGTATGGGCTATGATCAAAGATGAGACGTGCAAGATCATTTGAGTATTTTTCTTGAGCTCGATGTCGCTGCTCTTGTTGCTGGTGGTTGAGTAGATAAAGAGTCCGGTTTGCTTTCCTCATCAGCATTGCTTCGCCATCGTAAACAGTCCATAAACAAGGATAAAAGATCTGGTACCAAAGCCGAGAAACAAGGGCACAAGCTAATATGGTTCGAGGTGTAAAAAAAAAAGATGGCCTGGAGCGAGTGTAGTTATGATTGTTATTATTGCTGCTACTGATGGGTGTCCAAGCGGAAGAAGCAGTATAATAGCTAACACGGTCCAGAATCTCATGAAGAAGCAAAGGATTAGGTCTATGGAACTCCATTTTTTTTTTTTTTTTTTTTTTTTCTTAATAAAAGACAATGGATGCTGGGGTACCCGTGAAATAAATTTTAGAATTATGGTAAAGCAGAGATAGCAGAATAAAAAGCAACCACAGCGCCCTTTTTTATTTTCTTTGAAACTAAAGACATGGCTTTTAAGCCATATTGTCAAAGAGAGAAAGTTACAGTGCCACGAGAATTGAGATGCATTAACAACATGGTTTGGGCGCAATCTGGATAGGTGACGAGCTATCAGGGGATGGGCTGTGCAGTTTAAAGCATAGCTTTACTTGTTTCAGGAACTTTTTTTTTAATTTTTTTATTTATTGCTCAAAGAGGAAAAAAGGGTTGTTCTTTATTTCTTGATAAGAATCATAAGATGACTACTCATCTTTCTTCTCTTTATCCTTTCCCTTGGTCTTATCTGATCCTACTACCTCAAAGTTGCGTGTCATCAAGTTAAACATGGACCCGAAAAAGAGTGCAATGACTGTACATGTCAATGTAATCACATTATATGGCATCGAGAAATCGGGGGTCGGAAGACTTAATAACAAAGTTTCAGTGTAAATCCGAACCTTGTCTGTTTCATTATCATCATCATTACCCTCTTGTTGTTGTGTGCTCAAACGGCGACTCTGCACAAGACTAGCATCACGTCCTTGGTAAATCCTCAAGTGATCTACACTTCCATAGCCGATCTGTCCTTTTTGTCTCGCCAGCGGGACCGTGATCACTGCATAACCAATATCAAACCCACGGTTTGCATCTGGTGGATGCTCCGTGTACTTCAAGAATACTTTGTCAAACGAGATTGAGAACTTGATCTTGGAATGTGAAGGAAGGTTCAAGGCTAGTTCCAATACTGCAGGCCTGGCGCGATCAACTGCCTGCTGATAGTACATCTTTTTGACGATATCTTTTATAAAGACATAAAAGGAAGATTAGAGGAATGTCAAACCATGGGTTTACTTCAATTTTTTTTTTTTTTTTTTTTTTTTTACCTCGGTAGTTTTCAAGTAGTTGATCATTAAGATGAACAGTAAATGTGTGAAGGTATAGCTTAAGATACCATGGCAACGTATCCAACAGAACAGCTTCCACGTCCTGCGAATCGTTATTATAAATCTCAATCGAAAGTCCTCCACGCTCCTGACCATATCCTGTGAAGTATCTGTGAGCCACAATGCCAGGTGATATAGGTTGGACTATGGAGGGTTATGGCCGATGTTGAGCAACAAAAAAGAAAAATGAGCCACTAAGCAAAAGATTCCCTGTCTTTTTTTTTTTTTTTTTTTTTTAAATAGAGAGACATACCTGACTTGGGACGTGAACTCTCCCACTGCATTGAAAGTTTGAATGGTTCCGATGACGATGACGTGTCTCCACTATAAGCCTTTTTCAGATCATAGACAGCAATTTCTTGCTTATTTTCGTCAGATCCAATTGTATATCTCCCTTCAGGCAACATAGGCGTCAATTCATATTGCTTATCAAATTGAGTTGTCTGTGGTAAGTGAACAATGATATTGGAGGTCGAAGCAAGAGGACAGGCCTGTGTGATCTCGCGTTCAAATAGCGATGACAGTGACCAGTCATAGCTGCCGTCTTGCCTTGCTACATCAAAAACTGTCGTGATTGTTTGTACCAATTCCAGACTTTTGACTTTGCATTTATCATCCTAGCAATGCATTATAAAAAAAAAAAAAATTAATAAACTATTAAAATGTCTGCAAACTTTATTAAAGCAATTTTTTTTCCTCATTTTACCTCGCACACAGGCCGAACATGGATTGCCATGGAATAAAACCGAGTATCAAACAATTTGTGGGATTTGAGCAATGAGGCGATGCCGGATTTTGATTTGCAAGGTAGCAGTTTGATCCATGGTGTCAAATTTTCTGTGCATACATTTTCGTGTGGTAATGATCCGTAGCGCAGTTTCCTTGGGGTCGTTGATGTAGTGTTTGACGGCGATAACTTTGAAGAATGGACATTATAGAGGCCTTCGTTCCTGAACGAAAGTTTGGGCTCGATACTGATTGTGTCATCAATAAAGTTCAAAGACGCACAAAACAATCCTGAGAGTGTGTTGGTCAATCCCCTCCAATTACCTTCGGCTCTATATATTTAGAGAAGAAGCGTTAGTTTCAATGTTGGGACTCGGTCCTGCCCTACGCTAAGGTAGGAAGGGGGTTCAAATTTTTTTCCAAATCCACATTACTGTAATCTGTTGTTGTTCAACCATGCCCAAAGTTCGACGCCTGTGCCAACAGATGGTGCAAGAGGATATCCCCAATCGCTATATTGCCATCTCCCCTGTGTAAATGTTAGATGTAGTTCTTCCACTTCAAAGCTATGCAGAATCTGTCCGATCGATCGAGGAAATAAGTTGTAGTGGCTGACTAAATAACAGTGGTTAAAAAATCTTGCTTTAGATTCAATAATTCCAATGATAGAAGGAAAAAAAATAAAAAAGTGAATTCTCCCGCTTACAAAGATTAGAAGCAGCGCCATCGAAATGCTCTTCATCCATCATTGTTCCAATGTGTGTAGTGAACTGAAAATGACTATAAGCGCCGCCATCGTTCAAAGGTTTCAGAACAAGTTGCTCATGGAATGCCTCAGGAGCTTTAAGGATAGGCACCGTCTCCTTCACATGAAGTGCTTGTTGTGATGCATCTGCAATTGTTGATAATGAAGAAGCAATGCAGAGCAGTACTCCAGTTGATAGAAGCATTTGTCCTGAGATTGGGCGCATACTTTTGTTGCCAGTTTCCTAAGAATGAATGCTGGAAACAAAGATGAATTACAAAGTTGCTCTTCAAGACTGTTTTAAAAGCACGAGCAGATTTCCACGTCACAACATCAGCGTCCAAGCGACGCGAATGTAAATAACCATATCGGGCCGTGCATTTATTCATTTATTTCATCTTACTTCCCTAGAACTTCACAGGGGTTGTTAAGTCTAGCTTTTATTACTCCTCTGTTTTCTCCATAAGATAGTGTCTTTTCCTTCTGTAAACTCTCGCTCAAAAGGATCTATTCTTTGCTAAAAGCCCAATATCAGTAATGATCCTTTGAGTACTCCGCAGCTCGTCATCCATCATAGCTTCCACAGGGTTGCCAGGTCGATCATCATGTAGAATTCTAATGGCCCAATGAAGAAGGAAATATGACTAAGTACTATGCATGTTATGACCCTTAAATCCTGAGACTCTAGTGTAAGGGCAGGGAGATCATGATGGCAATAATGGTACTGAAGAGAATGTGGAAATTGTATGGTAACGATACAAGAATGCGGTATAAGTAAGCAATTTGAATTACTAGTTTAAATGCTTTCATGTTTTCAGTGCTTGGTCTTAAAAGTATTAACAGGAATCAGACTCAGTTTCCTGGTAGTGTAACAGGGTTCGTATGAGGATGTAGGGAAGCTCATGGCGAAAGCAGCATGGGAGTGTAAGTTGTTCGAGCTGCTTCGACTACAACATCTAAAGCTCATGAAAATAAAGTTAAAGATGGGTTGAGTGTATAAATATGAAAAATTGAAAATGACTAAAAAAATGGGACCGTTGTGCTTATTTGTGGTATGCATGCCAGTGATTACATGTGCAATTTCTTTTTCATAAACTAGCGTCACTTTGGCATCATCTCGATGCAGTGAATTGCACCCTCGTTTTTTTTTTTTTTTTTTTTTTTTTAAAAAAAAAGATTTTGTTTGTTTGAGTTAAAGAAGCCTTGAGTTTATGATGAATAATTAGACACGAATTAGGCTCTGGGAATATTATTGTCACCAAGACTTTCTAGACAGCGCAAATCTTTTCTACATTTCAATCAAAGAAAAGGTTTTCAACAAGGTTAGGGCCATGAATTTTGAACTGAGCGACTGGTTATCTCCAAATGGTATTTCATGTCTTACCAAACCTGTGGTACAGTAGTGTCAACAGAGAAATAAAATGCAAGCATGAAGAGATATGAGCAACTAAAAAAGAGCGCCGAGAGCGTTCGGTGTGAAGCCTAAATCACCCACATGCTAATGTTTACTCCATTTGTTGATCCTACTGAGCTTACGGACAATAGGAGTTGCATCTATTTCAACCAACGCTTAGACTGACATTTAGAGGAATGCAGGGGCATCTTACACATACAGAGTGGTAAAACACGATGTGAACATGTTGCGAACGAAGCAGCCAAGCGGCAGCAGTTAACGAAAGAAGTTTGCACCGCTTGTTGGTAAAGCGGGTGTTGAGGCTTTTAATTTATTTTCCCTTTAGATGTGCCCTTGCATCGTTTTGTTGCAGGCACCCTGGATGTTTTTTTTTTTTTTTTTTTTTTTTTTTTTTTTGCTTATTTGCATGTTCTTACAAAAGCAAGGATGGAAAACTATTCTTCGTTAATTTGTTAGCACGCGCGTAACAGTCTTCCAAATGTCTTTGGTTTATATTTGTGGTTGATTGGCACTTTGCTCAAGAATTAAATTTGATCCGATATTGGGGGCGAGGAAAAGCAAAGAAAGAAAAACGGAAGGAATGAGAAATGATGATGTGTGTATAAAAAAAAAAAATAAAACCAGCGACGCGTATGGCAACAGGTTCAGATCAATCAGATCAGTCAGGGCAATGCAATGTTTTCTTTCAAGACATGACAATATTACAGAGTCGTAGTCAAGGGAATATAAACAATGAAGTAGCCATGACCATGACCAGGACTGTATCTCGACCACTTGTGATCATTACCAGTCTTCCACATGTAAATATAGACATGACATGTTGTGTGCAACAAGCACAGTGGTGCAAACTGTTTAGTAACTGTTTTGCAACTGTTTAGTAGCTGTTGCAAACCATTTTAGTCTGGAGAAGAGGAGGAGAGAGTATTAATAGCTTAAGCGATGAATAAATGAATAAACGCTGACTTCATTTGCATTATAATGTGTAATGTTAAGAGGCAATAAGCTTTGCGTACCTGTTTCTGTTTCTGTTTCTGTTTCTCAAAAATGTTGGTATTTTTCTGACCTGTGCCTGTCTCTGTGCTTCTCCCTCCACATCCTTTCCCTTCCCATCCTTGCTTCCTTTCCCCTCCCTTTCTTCCCCTTGCTCGTGTTTTCTTTTTTTTTCTTCTTTTTTTTTCTTCCTCGGTTCACTTCATTTCACTTCACTTCATTTCACTTCACTTCATTTCACTTCACTTCATTTCACTTCACTTCACTTCATTTCATTACTTTTCATCAGTCATCTCATTCCACTTGTTGCATTAGCACTTTTTTTATTTTATTTTATTTTATTTTTTGAAATAGATATCAGCTTACTATTTGTAGGCAGCATAGACTCGAGCTTTGCTTCTTCTTTTTGCATTCAACCTTTTCTTTCTCTTCAATCTAATCCTTCATCTTCCTTTCCATGTAAACTCAACATCGTCCTTCCTCTTTCTCCTTCCTACCGAAAATAATTATTCTCTTTGTATTATATTTGCACAACTCTTAATATTACCATACCATGGAAAATAACAGCACCAACAACCCACCACAACCAGACAATGACAGGAGTAGTCATCCTATTCACAATGACCATTCACAACAACAACAACAACAACAACAACAACAACAACAACAGCAACATCCTTTACAATCTCGCGTGAGTCGAAAACGGTCTTTAACCAAGCCAGAACGATATCGACCAAAACAAGGTATACTCAACCGTACACCCTCTCAAAAAGCACAGGATTCTTTATCCTCAACCTTCGTTGACAAAAATGACTCCACCGGAAATCTACTCCAAGGTAGTGGTGAGTCCTCCTTGGCTGGTACCCTGACTCTGTCCTCTTCAGCTGCCGTTGTGGCCGCACAGGAGCAACAACAACAACGACTTCGTGTCCAACAAATGAATGCTCGGGCTCAGGGGCAAAATCAACAGCATCAACGCCCTCGACCGCGTCGCATGTCGACTCTGCGTCGTTCAGGCAGTCAAAGAAATAACCCAGACACAGGAACAGGGGCAGGAACAACAGCAGATGTGCAGCGTCGTCCTTCTAAACCTACAAAGAAGAAAGTAATAGTTGAGAGAGAAATCGAGTTGACACCATGGGTGATTACCTCGAGAATCTTGACATGTTGTATCCCTTCGAGCATGCTTCGATGCTGCAACGGTAAAAGGTTCTCGAGGATCCAGGTGATCCAGGCTTGGCGCGAGAAAGTTTCGTTATGTATGATTATTTTCTTGATCTGTGGATTGTTGGCCTTTGTGATCTTTGGCCTTCAGCCCGCTTTGTGTCCCGATGAGTCTCGTGTCGCCATGTCTTATTCAACACAGCCTACTAATGGAAAGCCAGCTGCGAAAGGTAAAAAAAAAAAAAAAAAAAAGAGCGGTTTGCCAAGCGAGGGGATGGGAAAGATCAAGGACATTGTCAGTTTTTTTTTTTTTTTTTTTTTTTTGGTCTGTTTGCTGAATAATTTACGCGCCTACAAATTAACACGCGGGATTGGAGCATGGGAATGAGACATCTGCAGTCTAGACAAAGCATGATCGTAGGAAGCGTGATTAAGGATGGGTTGGGAAAAAAAAAAAAAAAAAACGCGTGAATAAGACAGCCCAGGCACAGCTTGACTAGATCAACGATCGAAACAACATTATTTGATGGATTGATATGACAGCGCACAGGTCGCCCCTGAAGCTTTGTGTGATTGAACAATTTTTCTTGAACAATTGGCATCTTTTTCTATCTGAGGTTAGAGCTGCGAATTTAAAAATAGAGATGACAAAGAAAGGCGTTCAATATTGGATATGTGTCGGTGCAGTGCTTTATGCTATAACAATGTATTGTGGTGAATCAGTGCTTATGAGTGATCAGAACCACTCTCATATACAACACACACACGTTCATCTTTTCATCGAAAAAGATATAGGCTGCCATACAATGCGTATAATATATACGTGTTTTGCTGATGCTTGATTAATATAACTTCATCGGATGCAAAATGTTCCAGAGAAGGTGCTTACTTTGTCAGATAAATTTATTAAGAAGAGTGGAGATCGTCATGATAGAAAGAAAAAGAATTTCATTTTTAAATTACTATCAGACAGCGAGCCCTTGTGTTTGTTTATTCTCCGTTTTCTTTCTTTTTTCTTCAACGTCCAATTATTGATACACCGCGTGCGAACAGCCAGCCATGAAATTTGAATTTTGTCAAAAGCGGGCTCATACACTTTGTGACACATGCTGGAAGCGAACTGGACATGGGAAATTTGGGCAGGGAATCAAAATGAATTCAGAGCGCACAGGCAATATTACGGACACAACAGCCAGTGGTCACACAAGGCCACAGCAACTGGCCACTACTAATGCTTTACTCGATTGTTTTTTAATATCTTTCCTCAATTTAGAAAATTATATTGACTCTGTCATCATCCGAGGAAGTGCTTATCCATTTGACCAGGTGCAACGGTTCCTCAACAGCAAGGGGGTCGCTATGTCTGTTGATTATCGTTCGCAGGATATAACAGAGCTCTTCTACGATAGCTCGATGCCCTGTGCAAGATTTCCAGGCGTTAATGTCACTAGAGATCAATGTGTCGTCCCAAACCCATATAAAAACACACCATTGGTTGCCAAGCCCTGTATAACGTACTCAGAGTTGGCCGCCTCAGGTATGCGATCAAAAGGCAAGCTGTCCTTCCTCTGGACTGACTTGAACGATTATAAAAGACGCGAGTTTGATAACGTCATCATCTACGACGGCAAAAGTAAGTGCAAAGGATCAAATGAATCATTGAAGCCTAATTTCTCACGAGCATATATTGATTTTTTTTTTTTTTTTTTTTTTTTTTTTTAAAAAAAAACTTAGTCTTTAATGTCTCAAGATTCATGGGATCAGATCAAGTATTGGGTCCGGAAATCCACAGTGTACTTCAAAGAAGCCTGCGCAAAGACTCATCTCTACTTTTTCAAAGGACAGATAGCCGTAAGAGGGCTATCAACTGTTTAGCGGGGATGACAGAGGTTGGAGTCTTGGAGAACACAACAATGGGATGTTTTGCGGCCAAGGTGATCATGTTAACGACCTTGATTTGCGTCTGTATGGTGCTCGGAATCAAGTTCCTAATGGCGTTGACGTTCAGCTGGTTCCTGAGTTATCGCTTGACAGAGAAGCCGAGGACAATCAAGAGCAAGAAACCTTCCCCAACGTCCAAACAAGAGAAGGATAATAACGATAAAGACATGGATGGTAGTGGACTGGATTTGGCTCGTGCTGGAAAGAAATCAGCTGGTAGAAAGAATTTATACACAGTTATGTTGGTAACCTGTTATTCGGAAGGAGAAAGTTCAATCCGGACAACATTAGACAGCTTAGTCAACACAAGTTATTCTGCGAAACACAAGTTGATGATGGTGATCTGTGATGGTATTGTCCGTGGACATGGTAACAAATTTACAACACCAGATATTGTAGTCAACATGTTGGAGTTGGCACCGGGAAGCGAGAATCCGAAGCCTTGCAGTTATCTTGCAATTGCTGATGGTGAAAAACAGCACAATATGGCGAAAGTTGTAAGTCAACAAGGACAGAAAAATGGGATTAATTGGAGCGTAATTCAGGGAGCTTTGCTGATTTTTTTTTTATTACTCTATTCTCTCTTGGGTCTTAAATGTTTACAATAGTATGCTGGCCATTATGTCTACAGAAAGAGACGCGTGCCTACTATGGTCATTGTCAAATGTGGCAACCCTCTGGAGAAGGATGCAAGCAAACCTGGAAATCGTGGAAAGCGTGATTCACAGCTGATTTTGATGTCATTCTTTCAGCGTGTACTCTTTGCAGATCGATTCACTGAGCTGGACTTTGAAATGTTTCACAAAATACATCGGTTAATGAACATTTGGCCGGATCGCTTTGAGCTCTGTCTGATGGTAGATGCGGATACGATGGTTAAGGGTGATTCCCTCAGCTATATGGTGACAGCGATGCAGAATGACCACACGATCATGGGGCTTTGTGGCGAAACCAAAATTGCTAACAAGACTGCTTCCTGGGTCACCGCCATCCAAGTGTTTGAGTACTATGTTTCACACCATCTTGGAAAGGCGTTTGAAAGCGTTTTTGGAGGAGTGACATGTTTACCTGGATGCTTTTGTATGTACAGGATAAAATCACCCAAAAATGAAGCCTGGGTACCGATCTTGGCGAACCCGGAAATAATTCAAGAGTACAATCAGAATATTGTGTCGACACTACATCAAAAAAATCTGTTGTTGCTGGGAGAGGATCGATATCTGACCACATTAATGCTGAGGACTTTTCCGAAACGACAGATGGTATTCGTACCCCAAGCACAATGCAAGACGGTGGTTCCAGATACATTCAGTGTTTTGTTGAGTCAGCGTCGACGATGGATTAACTCAACCATTCATAATCTATTGGAGCTAGTGCTGGTCACTGATCTCTGTGGAATTGCATTTCTCAGTATGCAATTCGTAGTTTTGCTGGAACTCGTTGGAACAGTCGTTCTCCCAGCAGCAGTCTGTAAGTGTTCATTTCCTTGATTTGGCAGACCAGTGTTTGGACTATCACTTTTTAATTGATTTTCGCTAATATTTGTGATACTCATAATATAATTAGTGTTTACAATTGGTATGATCGTCTTCGCCATTGTCAACCAGTCTCTTGCAGTTGTGCCGCTCATCCTCGTTGTCGTTATGTTCGGGTTACCCGCAGTGTTGATTGTACTGACATCACGCAAGTGGATCTATGTCTTCTGGATGCTTAGTAAGTTGCTCATTCTATAATCACTCGGCCAATTTGTGCAATTGTTTTCTTATGAATCAATAGATTACTGACTTTTTTTTTTTTTTTTTTTTTTTAGTTTATTTGATCTCGATCCCAATCTGGAACTTTGTTTTGCCTCTTTACTCGTTTTGGCATTTTGATGACTTTAGCTGGGGCGAAACCCGTAAGGTTGCGAATCAGAAACGCAAAGGAGGTGCGCAGGATCATGGCGATGCGGAAGGAGAATTTGAAAGTGGATCAATTATCATGCGCAAATGGGAAGAATGGGAAAAGGAGCGACTTAAGGCGATGGGTTACAGGATTCAAAGACGTCACTCTGCAGATCGTGGAATCAATGACTTACCTCCACCTGCCGCTAGTACATTGGATCTACCATCCTCAACAGCGCCTCGAAAGGCAAAATCTAACACAAATTTGAATAGGATCTTTGGTAGCAATAACAATAGCGCCAGTACGTTACCTATATCAAGACCGATGTCAAATCACCCAATGCAGCAGTCTGTACCCAACCTGGTAGCATCTCAACCGCAGCAGCAACAGCAACACTCACTACAACCTAGGCAATCAGTCCGTATGAGTAGGCCTAGACCTCTACCTCCCCATATGATGCCTCGCCCGCCACCAGGAATAGCTAAGGGAGGGGGAGTAGGTCCTGATAACCAGTCTTTTGAACTTGGACCCATGTCATCGACACCAGGGCCCTCCAGAGCATCCTATATACCCGCAGGACCGGGACTAGGCCGACCTGCCATTGGCTTGGAGGCGCGCAACTCGATCCATGGTGGCTCTGGGCCTGGATTCCGTCCTATGGGATCACCACGACCTGGCTCTATGCGACCCCCTTTTGGAGCCCCTGGAAACCCAGGTGTTGGCGGCCCATATGGCCGTCCTCCACCACATGGATTCTCTGGACCAATGGGTGGTCCAGGAGGGTTTGGAGGACCTGGATCTGGGCTTCGACCACGCCCACCGCCCAACTTTTCGGGACCTCCTATGCATCATCCATCGCATCAGACTCCAAATCCCCAGCAGCAACAACAGCAGCAACAACAACAGCATCAACAGCAAGGAAATCCCCAAAATGCACCCTTATACCCTCTTCCTCCACCTTCTCTTAATAATTCTTCATCGTCTTCTTCAACACCACTGTCGTCACAGCAACTCTTGATTAATGATGATAGCAATGCCCCTATTGATACTATTAATAATGAAATAGAAGAAGCCAAGGATAGAGAAGGGAGTCACCAGCCGCAAACTGGGATCATGACAAGTGGGGACTTTTCTATACCTGCTTCGACCCAAGAACAGAAATAGATTGATTGAAATGAATAAATAAATATTAAATAAATAAAGAAGCCTGAATTACTTCAATTGACGAAGAAAACCTTGGACGTTGGACATCATGTTAGATCTACATCCATTCCTACCTCTCTTATTTTGTGTTTTCTTGATTGAAAGATGCAGTCCCATCCGCAAGCAGCATTTCTTCCACCATTAGTCAGGGACCTTATTTGCAATAACCGATCTCAACCCCAATTCGCGGTAGTAGATTCACTGTCAACACTCCCGCTGTTGAATAACGGCACTAAAAAAGACATTGATGGCGCCAATAACAGCATCAGTAACATTAGTGGTAGTGGTTGTGATGGTGACGGATTTTTCTTATCAATTGAGGCAATACGCCCATTCCTGCCTCAAGTAGTCCCGGAAAACGTTAAGAATCGTGCTGGTCCTGATATTGATACTGTTACAGCAACTCCTGACCTTATCGACCCACGAGATCTGTTACCGTTTAAGCGAGCGTGCATCATTTTGCTAAAGGAGTTTCGAGAACAATTGACGCAAAAACAGAAGCAGAACCGAGCTCAAGTCAGCGCTAACACAGTGTTGGAAGAGATATATGCAGATTCATTGGACTGGTTAGGACCAGCGGGCAAACGAGCCAGTCAAATCTGGTTTGAGTTGTTTCTTAATGGAGAAAGATATGATCAAGCTTGGCTTGTTGGATCCACTGTCTTGGAGCAATTGCTTGGGAATGTAAGTTACATGATCTTGCACAGGACAAGTGTGCCAGCTGCACTTGCTTGAAATACTGAAAATCACAATTGATATTTTTTTTTTTTTTTTTTTTTTTTTTCGTTAAGATCATCTACACACTTCAAGGACCGGACATATTTATTCCGTTCCTAGTTCGAGATTTGTTTGCAGTCCCTTGTTTAACGAGGTGTGTTGATTGGACCCTAGTAAGTTGCTTATACTTTTTTTGATAAAAGTGTTGAGTAAAGAGCAGTAATTTTTAGTCGATAAGAAATAGCAATCATCAACGCAAAACAAGAAGTTAAAGATAAGCCCTTTGCGCCCACTTTATATATATAATAGCTTAGGGTACTCAAGACGATGATGGGATCACCACTGACTCTGAATATTCGAAACCTGCTCTGGCATGGATTTATTCTTCCTACTGATGATATACCTCTGGATGCGTATGGTGCAATGTTAATCGTCACGACCATGACGCTAGCACACAACGCCAAAACAAAATTGAAAGGGAAAATATTGGACATTCGGCATCAGAACCCGAAGCAGTACTATTTCTGCCCGCAAAAACAACAAAAGGGTCGACAAGGGAAACAGGGGCAAAAGGGGCAACAGGGACATTTGGATGATAGAAATGAACAACCTGAGAATCCTGTAGATTTCGATACAATATATGAGGAGCTGACATATGGAAGGTGTCCTGAAGTCGTTGAAGATGTCTCGAACTTGCTCTTGGTCATGTATTCCCTAGTGAATAAGAGCTCGTTCATTATTCCGGGCACACATGAACAATGGGTCTCTGCTCTTCAGCACCTACAAAATAACAGCAATACTGATGACAACAACAACACTACTAGCATTAGTGGCGGTTTCAGTAATAGTTTTATGGCTGTTATGACAACTTTACCCTTGATAGAACATGCACTGCGGCTGATTTATGTTCAAGTCAATGAATGTAAACAAGATCGCAAAAGTGCCTTGATCGCAGGTGAATATTATTTAACTATGGATGTGATCTTGGATCCTTTTGTGCCAGTGGATTACTATGATCCTGGGTCAGCTGTAATTCAGAATATGGACCATGCTGCGATTCCGAATCGATTATACTTGGAATTGGGTCCTCAAGTTATGGTAAAGAATAAGAAAAAGAAAAAGAAAAAGGCCTCTTTGAGATTTTCAATTTTTCTAATGAAGCACCTCAACCTACATTTGACAATAATCCTAGAATATACTCAACGACCTGTTTATCCACAGCTTTGGTCCCCGTCTCCGTGATAGAACCAGTCATGGAGAGCTTAATAGCTACATGACGACCACCACCACTAGGGCGACGAAGAGAGGGGATATCACTACTGAACCTTGGTTTGCCTATTACATTGGTGTGTTAATATTCTTGTTGAACAAATACATGCCACCGTCCGACCGGCCTGATGTATCGAAGTTCATATCCTGGATTGAAGAGTATAAAGCCTGCCGGTTTGAGAAATGGTCTACTCTAGTCAAGGAAGCTGTACGTTGTATCGCATTGTTGAAAGACTATAGTGATTTTGCCAACAAGATCCCAGATCCCGGCTCTATTTTCAGCTTAGCGAGTACTAGTAATAGTTTGATGGACGACGACGGCTCTTCTGAAGGCGCCCATCATGTCTTGTCTTCACCAATACCAGGATCTATATCGTCATCATCGTCTGCATCACACCCACCTCTGCCCCCTGTTTCTCAAGCAATAGATGTTTTCTTTAAAGTTAACTCGGCTACTTCAGTATTCTCAACGGATTCCGCATTCTCCAGAGGCGTTTCGCTTCAAGAGCTTATTCGCTCAGGGCTCGTTTCCTGGCCAAGTCCTTTATCATCGTCGTCGCCGTTGCTGTCATCAAACTCTTTTGCAAATAATTTGCTTGCATGGATTCAAATAGTTCAGAGCATTCAAAAAGCAATTCAAAAAGTGACCATGAAGGTTAGGACATTGTCGGAACAATTAGCGATGCGGCAGCTATCATCTAAAGCGCGGAAGCAGTTTGAGAGTATCAAGCCTATGGTCCCAAGGCTCCTTGGGATGTTGATGGGATGTCTAGCTCTGATCGAACGCTTCGTACTGACAGCGCCCTTTTCCGCCACATTAATTGCGGAAGCAACGACCACAGCATCCACAGCAGAGGAGGATACTATAGATGCAGTAGTATCTGATCAAGGGTCAAGAGCTTTGTTAGAGGAGTTAACTGGGCCATCACTGCCATCAGCTTTTTCTTCAATACTCTCTACTTCTATGCCAAAAAATGTTCCAGTAGCAGCGACAACTAAGACGACAAAGACGGCAACAAAAACAATAACAGCAGTAACGGAGGGAGCAACGGATAAATCAAGTTTATCTGAGATCCAGCTTCGATTAAGGATAACGATGTTTATTGATAAGTTTGTGTCAAATTTTGATCGCGTCAAATTGAACATGATAGAGCCAGCATGGGAAGACTTGACCAATTACATTGAGATGCTTCTAAAAATGGCTGCAGGAAATAGTTCTTGCATATAATTGTAATAGTCATAGTAACGGCTTGTAATAAAAAGAAACCTAAAGTCCCGTACACATGCTTAAACAATCTCTTGATACACCCATCTTGATTCTCCTTTATACTTACAGCTTGTCTCCCCTCAACCAACATCTCTTTCGCCTTTCATTTTTGAGCTCTTTTCACTCATTGTTCGCATTAAAATACATTTATAAACAAAGACATTCCCCTGAATAAACAGGCCACGGCTGAAGCTCTGTTAAAACTCAAGATATAGCGGAAAGAGTAACCATATCATCAATTACAGCCTCATTCGCAGGATTTTTAATTAAATCCAGGTTGGAAGAGGAAATCCATTAGTCGACTATAGCTTTGAGTTTCATATCCCCCCTACCAAGGTTCATTACACCACAAGATGATTCTACATATCATTTGAAGGGTATATGGGCTAAGATTTGGTTTCGATGGGATCTATAGCTTGGAAATGATTCTGTCACAAGCTATTGATTCTAATTATGCCACGTGGTGGCGGACGGTCAACGCTGCCCGAGCCAAGTGAGTCTGCCTCTCATTCCAAAATAGCCTATTGCTCCGAGAAATGTCCTGATTCTACTTGTATCACATTGATCTTGTAGGGTGTGGTCTGTGCATGGAAACAAACCTCGGATTCGTTTTTAGATACAGCACAACATGTCTTTATTTCCTTATTTTCCAGCAAGTCCGCACCTGACTTATATCACAGCTATCATTAATTTTTATATTTTGTATTGATGGGCGTGCTAGTTATTACGTTTTTGAGAAGTTATTGCAAGAGTCAGGCTAAAGACAAGCAAGCAGCTGGCGTGGAAATTACGAAGGCCTGGGCTTACTTCATAGGTTCATTTGCTCATAAAAGCTGGCTGACATTTTTCTGTGGATCTACCTTGAAAGTTTGAAGACACAGTTGTGAATTCCAGATTGATTTTTCTTTACAACTTTAATTACCCCAAAGGTAGTGCCATGGTTTGCATGCCAGGACAATAGTAGAAACAAGATTAGACCTAAACAAATTAGGATAGGCCAGCCTGAAAGAATGCAGGAACAAGTTGGCGCCTTAGGCGTATTTAAGCAGATTGAAGGCTAGTATAATGACCACAAAAGCCGTTGATCAAAGTATTTTTCTGAATTTGGAAAATGGAGGATAAGGGGCTGAGCAAGCACAAAAAAAGAAAAGACCTCACAATCTAATTTCTCCATTTACTTTCAATCTTTAATCTGTCCAAAAAAGCTCATTGAAACTGCTTTCATTGAATTTCATATTCTGTTTTCCCCATGGCGGCGGTCTCAGGAGCACCATTTGCATTCAATCCTGACCAAGGTACCATTAGGTGTGAGGAAGAATGAGTTTGAGATGATGTGACCCATGGGATTCAATGAGGAATGAAAATATGAGTTAAATAAATATTTTTCAAAGAAAGCTGGAATTTACGGGTGTTCGAACCGAGCACCGTGGTTTGTTTATGAGATTGAAGTTTTTTGTATTATAGAGTATTTAATCCGCGAGCGTCGCCTGCCATTCTAGACACTAAAAAAAACCATCACTGACTATCAGTTCATGTTCTTCACCTTTTCCAGATGTTACGCCTAACGCAACGCCTCTCCCACAACCAACTCAAGTCGATGGTCGTAGCACGCGAACAGGATACATCTATGATCCACGAATGAGGTACTTTATTTGACGCATTCAAGCAACAGTAATAGTAATAATAATGATAATAAATAATGTTTTATCTTACAATCCATTTTAATCTTTTTACTTCTATATAAAAAATATAAGACTTCACAACAATGTACATGGGGACGATGGTCACCCTGAAGATCCGAGACGTATTTGGAAGATATTTGATGCAATTCAGGCTGCAGGATGCACGAAACGCATGGTTCGTATTCGTTCACGCGAGGCCACAGTCGAAGAGCTCAGTCTGATACATACTGAAGACCATATTAGCCGTATAGCAGGGACCTCTGGTATGATAAAGAAGAATAACAAATAGTTTTTGAAGAAGAAAAAAAGAAATTGCCGTAGTATAGGGCTATCGATTATCAGATCAAGCCTCAAAGATGCACAAAGTTTCTTATTGCATCATGCCTCTTTCTTTTTTTTTTATATATCAATAATAGAAATGTCATTAAGCGATCTGTTTGCAGTGGCGGAGAGTTACAATAGTATCTATCTCAACAACTCGTCTTCATATTGCGCTCGATTATCATGTGGAAGTTTGCTAGAATTGTGCAATGCTGTTGCAACTGGCCAAATTCTGAATGGTGTGGCGATTATACGACCTCCGGGGCATCATGCAGAGCCTGATGAGGCAGGGGGGTTTTGTCTATATAATAACGTGGCCATCGCAGCGCGCTATCTCCAAAAGAATCACGGATTGAAAAAGATTTTTATTCTTGACTGGTATGTATGTATGTATTTTTTTTTTTTTTTTTTCAATCGGCACTGATTTTTTTTTTTTTTTTTTTTTTTGCCACTGGACTCAGGGACGTTCATCATGGAAATGGAACTCAAAAGGCATTTATCGATGATCCAAATGTCGTATATTGCTCTATTCATCGGTACGATAAAGGAACCTTTTTCCCTGGAGACCCGGTTGCAGCGGCCTACACAACGGTAGGAGAAGGCGCAGGACGGGGAAAGTAAGTGGAAGAGAAAAAAAAAAAGTAAATAACTATTGGTGTCCCAAGTTCAAAACAAACCGTCGTTAATTTATCCGCTTTGCTTTAAAATCACTTCACCAGGAACATCAATATTCCTTGGCCATGCCCCGGAATGGGCGATTCTGAATATATTTACGCATTCCACAAGATCATCATGCCGATTGTCTATGAGTTTGTACCTGATTTTGTTCTTGTGAGTGCAGGATTTGATGCGGCCAAAGGTGAGATTACAACTATACTTTGCACACATATACATATATACTTAAGGACTTTCAATATAGTAGTGTTTTGGCTTGCTCATATTTTTTGTTCTGCATGGATCATGGCTACATAATTTAAGGTGACCCGATCGGAGAAAATTTGGTAACGCCTGCAGCCTATGGCCACATGACACACATGCTCAAGTCTTTAGCAGGAGGAAAGATTGTACTAGCATTAGAAGGAGGCTACAATCTTAATTCGATTGCGGTATCAGGACTGGCATGTACAAAGGCATTGCTCAGCGACCCTATTGAGGCACTACAGCCAGTTATTCCCAACGCAGCGTGTGTACAAACTATTCATCAAGTGATTGAAATCCAGTCTCAATATTGGAAAAGCCTTACGCCTACGTATAGCAAGCCAAGTGGTAAAATCGCTTTGAATAATATAGTTAAGTCCCTTAGCTATAATGATTTATTGTACTTATTGTTTTGCTTTGTTTTAATGGGTAGAGGAGTATCACCGAGACAGTATCGTACCATTGGCCAAAGTTCTTAATGTATACAGAACCGAATTTTTATATGAAAGGCATCGGATGATTAAATTACCCCTTTCAAACCCAAATTATGAGGCCGAGTTTATGGATAGTGTGCACAGCACGTAAGGCCTATTGACCCTCTTTGTCTCTTTGTTGTAGAACTGTAGAAAATTAAATATATAACTGACAAAGCAATTTTTACTTTCGTACACAACTATCTAGGCCTGACATGTGCTTCACAGACAAACCACTCTATATATTTGTTCATGGCCTGTAAGTCCCTTGCACACACATATACTCATCGAAGTTGTTCATACTCAAGGACTTGGGCATTCATTTTTTTCTTTTTTTCTTTTTCTTCAAGTGGCCATTTCCAGACACGAGCTTTAGGAAATAGCAACAATCTTCGGATTGACAAATGTGCATTAATAGATACAGTCGCGCAGTATGTGGACGGGATCATAGGCTCTGATAATGAGCTAATTGATATCATGATCCCACATTCACCGGCCACGGATGATGATAAAGAGCTGCTCAAGGAAAGAGTGGCAGCTTTATTGGCAGACATTTGGGACAACTATGTGTCACCGACAGGATTGAAGCGCAGAATTGTGTTATTAGCTGTTGGTGGAACCATATGTCAGAGTATGGTTGCTTTTATGAATGAACGACAAAAGGAAGTGGCCCTGTTTGTATCATGTATTGTTCTGATCCCTGGAGAAGACGAAACGATTCCTTTGGTAACGAAACGGCTGTCGAAGTGGTACATGGAGCATTCATTTGTAGTTGTTGCCGACGATCATCCAATCTGGGAGCGGATACATGAACCCATAACTGCAAGAGTTGGAAATGTTGTCCGATCAGGTAATGAAAACAACCAGTATTCATTTTCCTTTATTCACGTTGCATTCTTATTTTACTCATTTTACTCATTTTGCTTTGGTAATTCTAGGGAAACCGATGAGCCCGCTCTCAGATCAATTGCTTTATTTGTACCCCATAACATTCGTCCAGATCGAAGACAAGCTTAAATCGCTACCACCACTCCCATCCTTGCAATAAAAGAAAGCATTAGAGTATCTTTTGCAATTACTACCCGATAAAGTATTAAGCATAAACTGTGGAGAAGGGGGATTACTTTTGATAATCTGAGCCCAGTGCTCTCATATCAACGGATAAAATAGACTGTGGCGAATGCTGTCACACATAATAATAGATCCGTTGCCTACTTTTTTTTTTTTTTTTTTTTTATCTCCCCCCTCTCTTACTTCTCTTACTCCATTATCAATCCCCAGACTATAGCGGCAATATGAACCTATCACCCCTCGACATTCCTCACATTCGAGACAACATCGCCCAATATTTATCGCAACTAGACTTGAGGCAATGTATCAGGGTCAGCAAAGAATGGAGTCGTCATTTTAGCTCCTTCTTCTGGAGCGAGCCTTTCAGAGGGCTTTCAACTGAGTCCGAGCTCGACCAGTTACAAAGCCATCAAGAACATGTCCGTATACTTTCAGGGCTTGTCGTCAAAACTGTCATGCTCGATGACATTTCCTCGTCTCCTCGTCATTGGCATTTTCCCAAGCTCAAATCTCTGGCCTACTGGGTGGACGAATTTTCAAATGATGAACTGGTTAGAGCCTTTCAATGGTCCTCTAAGCTAACAAGCGTCAGCAGAGTAGCATTGTATGATTTACAGGGGGATAACGATGAGTTGCAAGATCAATTGACAAATACCCTTTCCACTTCGTTGCCCAACCTGCGTGAGTTTGTGCTCTCAGGAAGCGACTATTCTGTACAAGGCATTCAGCGAATCTTTAAAGCGGTTTCGAGGTGCGAGCACGTGAGTATGGATGTTTTTTCGGGAAAGGTTGAGGAAGTACGAAACCAAGTATGGACTCCAGAGGCAATGGCCGCTAGGAAAGCATTAGATGAAATGGAACCAACAAACATCGAAGTACTCTTTGTATCTTTTCGACCAAGTTTTGAGCTTACGGTTCTGATCCCTTTACTGAGGAAATGCCCAAAGCTACGGGAGCTGAGGATCCAAAAGCTGACCGATTCAAGTACCTTGACAGATTTCAGCACTTTGGTCAAGTCAAGGGCGCTTCCTCAGCTCAAACGGCTACACTTGCAGCCGTGGATAGGAGCGGAGAGTGGACAGTTTACGGAGCTTATCAAAGCCTCAGGGCATGGGCATGGTTCTCTTGATCAATATCATGGTCCTAAGGAGGGTAGTAGTGGCAGCTATAATGGAGGTCTAGAATCTTTGGTTGTGTCAGCATTCGTGCCCCTGGAGAAACAATGTATATGGGCTATCATCAACCATCATTCCTTAACGCTCATCAATTTTTCGAATTTCCAAAAATGTTCGATCAAGACGCTTTCCCAACTTGCCAATGGTCTTCCTCACCTTAGGTCCTTAGACATAGCTATTGAGATCAACGGCTCAGACGTGGACGGCGAAAATGAACACGCTGGAGCTGACCGGGACCCCTTAAATGACTCAAGCTTAAAGGTAGAGGGCTTGGGAATGAGGCAGTGGACTTGTCTTGGATTACGAGAACTCGGGCTGGAACTTCGTGCGACAGGCTTTGATGACCATGATGACGACGAAGGAGGCGAGGGAGGCGAAGAAAGGATCAACATTAGTAGAGAAGGCGCTTGGTGGGAAAAGCCAAAGATAAAAGAGGATCTCAACGAGATGTTTACGCAGCTTGGAAGGCTTGAACAACTACAGGAACTGTTTATTCAAGCCCACGACAACATTAATGTGGATATTCTCGCATTAAAACATGGATATCTAAGCCGGTTATGCATGCTGAAGCAGTTGAGAGGACTGTGCTATGAGCCGGATGGACACCGAATTGAATGGGGCCAAGAGGAGGCCCAGTGGATGGTAGAGCATTGGACTAAGCTGGTCTGTATAGAGATGGAGGACCAAGAGGGGGGTTTGTTCCAGATGGAAATGCTCACTCTGCGACCTTGGATAACGATCTTGATATAATGTGGCATAGTACAAATAAAATTCTTAATTTCATGTGATCATGATATTAATAACGAGACGACAAGACGAGTGCCTTCAGTTTTTATTTTGTTTCTTTTTCTTTTTCTTTTTTAGGGAAGAAAACAATGAAGGTTGATCAAAGCTTATTATTCCTGCCCTTGAGCTCGGAGCTCTCCCCTGAGGTCTATTAGAGCCGCTTGTAATTCTGCTTTTGTCCTCAGGTTGAGTTGAAGGAGGAATCTCAATTCTGCCAGCAGCCCCAGCGCATGATCTAGCTCTTGCTGTCGTTCGGCCGTGTTTGGGTACTCTCCTCCGCCAGGCGCGCCTGGTATCCCTCCAGACGCTTGCTCTTGGCCCATCACATCGTCCCAGATCTCAATCAGGCGCTCGATATGCTTTATCTGGTCGTTGCAGGCGTCCATCAAGCGAGTGGTGCGGACCAAATCCTCAGAGATGTCCGCCCTTTGAAAAGCAACAGTTTCAGGCATATTTGTTATCAGCGTTATGGGCCCGATGCCGATGTGTAGGCGTGCAGGCAATGTATAGATGAATGCTAAGGTTGCTCGAGCCGAGGAGGGGAAAAGCAGTTGGTGACAAATTCAAGGCCTAGAGAGAGAAAAAGAAAAAAAAAAAGGGAAGATACCAAACATTCCGACTTTTATAGAAAAGTTTAGAGTGTAGAGAAAAACCCAATTCCTCAATTTCCTTTAATTTTCGCGTTATTGCGTTCCCTGTGCCTCGAGTGACAATCTTGTAATCATCTCTATATCAAGGATCTATTACAAGGCTGGCGGAACTAAATATCAGCCTTTTTTTTGCCCTACCATATTCTATTACTGATGGTGGTTATTTACCATACCTCTTTCTTCCCCACTTCCTATACTATAGCCTTGTCAATGGTCGCCAGCCTGCATCACCGTTTATTTCAGCCTTTTTTCTTTTTATTTATTTTATTTTTTTCTAGATATATGCAGCCCGCCCTTTCTTTCAACTGGTTCGCCGCAGTACATTAACGTTACAGCAAACTTTCAGCGTAATTGTAATTCACTCTATATAGGAGGAGCATCGTAGGTTTTCAAAGGATCGTTGCTTAGAGAAGCAGAAAAATAATGAAGCCAGGGCCGAAACACGGTAAAAATCCATATGGACGCATAGCATCCTGCCTTACAGCATACATGTATATGAAATAATAGCGATTTTATTTTATTTTTTAGCTGTATTAATATATAGCGATGTACTCAATAGCTTTCGTGGCTGGTTCTTCACTTTTATTTATAATTTTGTGGGGTGAGTAAGATTGGTCATTCTTGCTAGTCTTGGTGGTTATTCTCAAGCAAGAGATCTTCCATAGTAGCCAGGAGGTCCGACTTGATCCTTAATTGAATGCGTAGGCGAGATCGCAGGTCTTCGAGTGCTGTCAGCGATTCCTGTCGATCGAATGAATTCGGGTCTGCTGTTGGATCCAGCAAGTCATCCCACATCTCGATCCAGCGCCTGAGTCCTTTGATCTGCTCGTCACACTCGTTAATAAGGCTTGAGATGCGAGCCAGCCTACTGAAGAAGTTGTCTTGGATAGGCTCAGCCTCAAGCTCAGGCCCAGGCTCGGACTCGGGGACAGGCACAGGCATTTACTTTACTTTCTCCAGGGCTTCGAGGATCAAGGGAAGAATGTACGGGTATGAGAGCGATGATGAAGAAAAAAAAAAAAAATGGAAAGGTTCAAGCGGTCGCAGTAATAAGTGTGTAGCCCAAGGCACGCTCAAATAGGAGAATGAGCATTGCGGCTTTTGCTATTTAATGAAAGCCGTAAGATTTCCCTTTCCCCCCATCTTTGCTTACTTGGCCCTGTGGTGGCCGTATTGGTTCTCCCTAGGGTAGGGAAAACACAACGCCGGGTCAAATTCTGATCTTTTTTCTTCGTGGCTTTTTCTTAAAGTATTTGGAGCTGTGAGATTATCTACAGCCTCACTGCTTCTGATTGTAGAGTATCGCCACCATAAGGAAGGGCTCTTTTGTTATTACCACTGTTGCTGCTATAGTTCTTTATCTATCCTTCAAAATGTGCATTCATGTCAATAAGCCTTTTTTTTTTTTTTTTTTTTTTCATTCCTCTCCCTTTTTGCCAAGGCCATATCCACAGTTACCACTGATTAGCCTTTATAATTTTATTCGATTATCTACTTTGAGCATAGACCTTCCCTCGCTTAAGAAAATGAGGTAAAAAAACCTAAAAAAGCATCGGCTTCCTCCGGTCTTTACTTCCTTTATGTTAGGGCGGCATAAGAGCTAAAGCAGCTGTATTCCTTCTTAGAGAGTGGACTTAAAGATCGAAAATGAGACTTCCTTGGCGTGGCTAGCAATCTAAGGACTATATTGAGGCGTATGGAGCTCAGCTGGCTATTAGTGCAATATAGAGCTTGGGCCAAAGACAGTGGATGGAGCTGGGGCGAATGCAACCAGCTCGTGAGGTCTGGTTGGTCATTTTACGTCTGTTATCTTCAGAACTCAAGGAATTGCCTAAGTTTTCTGCGTGTATCGTATTGGGGGATGATGCGTGAGGAAGGCTGCGCCTCCTACGGAGCCTAGAGTTGCCTTGCCATCTGGTACAGGTGAATAATGCATTACCCGTAGTCTCAACACGTCACAGGTGATGATATACGGCTCATTGATGTTGCAGGTACACTTGGGTAAAACTGTAGTACATTCCAAAGAGAGAGGAATACAAGGTTGCCACTAGGCCGGGACTGCTTCTTGGTGAATGCTTGTGGGAAATGTGCCTATTTAGCACTTGAAGGCGCATAGGTGTGTCATGTACATGGCACTATTGATCAGATTTAGAGGCTAGCTGTACAATAAAAACGATTTTCTGTTTTTAGAAAGGATAAGGCTTTATTATTGTTCGTACTCTCCTAACCAATATGGCCTCAGCGGTCGCTCAAGACTGTTGCTTAATAGTGCTTCCACCCAGGCTTCTGCCATATCTTCAGAATCTGTGCGGAAATCTAGTCTCACCAAACGCTTCTTAGTGTTGCTGGCAGCTGCATGAGCCACTGCATCCCTATATTTCTCTCCTGACCCTTTCGCTAACATTTGGAGACAGAAACAATGTTTATCTATGGAGTCCTGCTCGCTATCTATACTCCCATCACCCTCACCGCAATCTTCATTGTCATCGTCCTCTGCTTGGCTGTACCCTTCCTCGTTACAATCATCGACCAGGTTCGCATTAAGGGAGCTTTGTTCATTAACAGGTCTCTTCCGGCCCCAGGGTAGTTGGTCTTTTTTACCAGTGTTCACCTTGACCACTCCTGAATTCGTCACGATAGAGCACATGTCATTCAAGTTCAAGCAACGGATCCTATCTATTTTCGACATTGGCTGCGGCAATGTTGGATCTTGGGGCAAGGTCGAAGATTGAGAAGAATGTAAAGGCAATAGTGGATCCCGACACTGCCAGAGCCTAGGTCCAATGATCTGGAACCACCCATCTCTCCAGCATCCTTGCTCCGTCCTATAATGCAACCTCCCTTGAAACAACAGGCGGTTACACCACTCAAAGTACCGTAGACCCATCTGACATTCGACTAAATTTTGAGGTTCTGTCGGGATATGGTCTTCATCTTCATAAATAGCATCCTCGGGGTCCATCTCAGGACCAGGAATGAAGCATACGGATGCCAATATCTTTGCGATGATGCCTGAATCTCCACCCTCTGCAGCGTTGCCATTGTTTTTGTCCTTATTGTTGCAGTTCTCAACATTCAAATACGTGGCAGTGTAATCATCAGGGAGAGAAGAGGGATAGGAGTCATAGTCCGTCAAATCAACCCAGTCATTGACAGTTTGGAACTCCACACTGATAATTTGATTCCTACATGACGATCGGATCATATTGAAATCAATAGAGGATCGCGAGATACAGAGTTCATCTTCAAAATATATATAACGTGACAGGATTTGAAGGGGCGTCTCCTGTGCGTAGAGCTCTTTGATGGTCAATTCCCTGCAGTTAGCTGGATCACTTTCCCGAGGTAGAGGGGGGAGAGGAGGCGAAGACAGTGGAAGAGGTGGGAGAGGGGGCGAAGAGCCAAGCGGAGGATCCCTCACAACACAGCCCTGATTATTTCCAAGCTGAGGATGGAGGGGCCTTACACATTCGATTTCACTGATCACCATCATTGGACTCGTTTGTTGAAACAGCCTCTTTCGATGATGTCGGTACTGGCCCAGATAGTCCTGAGGATGCTTTAGGCTATTGGGTATACTCATTATTCCTCTCTTCCACCGCCCCAATATGCTCCGGTTTTCTTCAGCTCTCTCTTTCCCTCTTCCTCCACTGGAGGTTATGGAGATTGATATTGATGCTGGTGCTGATGGCGATGGAGATGTATGGATAGGTGTCGATGGAGATGTATGGATGGGTGTCGATGCTGCAGACCAGGTAGATGGAGATTGTATATCCAACTGCAGTGATGACACTGAACCGCAGGATGGGCTTGCAGCAGACATGGTATCCGACGCTGAAAGGTACTGTAAATCAGACAAGTCGCTGGTGCTGCTGTTGCTGCTGCTGCTACCTGATACGCGCTCTCTTAGATGTCTTTTTAGAAGTGAGTTATAATATGGTGCTTTCCCCTTTCCTGTGAGCACAGTTGTTTTAGGAGATATGTCGGTATCCAAGCTAGGTTGTGAGGAACCCATGGCACCATGGAAGCATGGCAATACTGGTGGGCATTGAGGGCCGGTAGAGGGCTCTACCGCAAAGGGGGTAAAACGGGGTTGCAGATGGGGCGCTTGCATCAAATGCGTTGTCAATGTAATGTTTAAGCCTTCATAAACCGGCCTAGAAACAATATAGGGTACAAATGAGTTAAATGATAATGCTGATAGTGTATATAGTGAATCATCGGCGCGGAAACATCATAAGGGGTTAAATGTTGTGGCTAAGGCAGTCAAAAGTTGACTTACAGACAAAACTCTTGGTTAAATAGAATGCTATCGCTCTTCCAGGGCATATAATCTGTGTCGATCTTCTCACGCCCAGTATCGATGCGGACAGAGAGCATGGTATCCTCATCTGGAGCCTCCAGCACAATATCTTCAATTCTTTTAACTATTTTACAAAGTGAGAAGGGATCATCAGTCAATTAAATGAGTATAAGCTAGGTGAAGAGGGATGCAAAAGATATCATACTTCGAAGATATAGTATCCCTGTGTTGGTGGCTGAAGGCGAAGTACAGCTGGAAAGGGTCATTCGTTCGGGCTCGAGATTAGAAGCATACGTCCAGACACTGCTGCTGGATGGCCGCGTTGGAGTAGGGCCCGACGAAGGGTGGGTGGCGCCTGCTTCAGGTATCCTGCTTTCGTGTGTACCTAAATCCTGAACTACCTTTGGTTGTCGGACTGTGAAGCTCTGCTCCTTATAAACAATCACAATAAAAAGTAATGGTAACGGTAAGACATTATTTCTTTGGTACTCATACTAGGATTACGCTGTCATATTTTTTTTCCCAACCTTCCGTTCATCGAAAGTCCCATGGACAGCTGCCAAAGTTGACTCCATAAAAGGAAGTTGGTCCGAAGATCTCTGTGCATCATCGCCAGAGCTTCCCCTAGTATGCTGATACAGTAGCGCAGAAGGGCTCGTATGGGCGCGCTCATGCACACGCTCGGCTTCCTCTTCCAAACTTACAGCTTTCCTGGCCTCCAGTCCAAGGTGTGGCGTACTTTCATATATATCTCCTATCAAAAGCTGTTTCTTGGGCTTCGAAAAAAATATATAATAAATTAATAAATCAGTATCTCTACTTCCAATCAAGCGATATATATGCTGCAAGTATACACTTGGGAACTTGAATTACGTCTTGTGCTTCTGAGCAATCCGCTTGCGAAGGCTCTAGCTGACCTTGGGCTGGACCACTGAGTATTTCCTTTGAACCTATTTCAGTAGCCTTGCCTGGCAATGTATTAACAGCATCCTTTGCCGTGTTCGATAACATTAGTGTTGGTGAAAGGCCTTGTGATGAAACTACAAGCACGACCTCCTTGCGCCTCCTCCATTGGGATGATTGCTTGGATACAGCCTTTGGTATGGGCAATAATGTGACCGAGCTCTCTCCGCTGACAGCAGATAGTGACAATCGATTTTTGTTTCCTTCGCTATCTTCTACATCATCGCCTGCTTTATGTGCTGGCCGGCCTACACTATGGCTACGGGCGAGCATAGGAGGCTTGAGTTGCTTGGTGAATGGCTTTGGGCCAGGAAATGTGAAGTTGTTGGCAGTAACTTTTGCTGAAGGGGCGAGAACGGGGGTAGAAATATCTAGAATCAAATGTGATGATCGAAGTGTAGGACGCGGAGGCAATGGAGGCCTCGCCGCCAGGTTTGCCACATTGTCCTTTATTGATGTGATATTGTTCATTATAGGCTCTCCTTCAATCAAGGTTTTCAGTCGAGGGTCACTTAGCCTTGGCGTCTGCGTTGCTGCTGTTGCATCTGGCAATCCTGATGCTGGTAAGGCGCATTCATAGAAGAAAGAGGGGGGAATCGGCGGCTTTGGGTCTTTGCTGAAGGATGGTGCTAGTTTCGCTATATTAACCATTGTCGCCTTGTCGGCCTCCAATTGCGACTGTGTAGTAGCTTTACTGCGGCAACCCGGTTGTAACTTTTGTCGAATGCGCTTAGTGATGCTACCATTGCTATTAAAAGTCGAATCAAGCATATGATTCCTGTTTCTGAGAAGTCTTGTCATCCATGATTGTGATTCCAAAATAGGCGGAGAAGGAATTCGCTTAATTGGCGATGATCTGCCAACAACAATCATTGGCGTTGACTGTAAGCCGCCCATCGAGGAGGCGATCAATGAGGACTTAAGCTTGTCAAGAGGCGAAGTTGGTACAGGCACAAGCTCCCTATTCAAACTGTTCTTGATATCCAGCGATGATGGCAGTGGCGGGAGAGACCGATTGGGGTTCGCATGGGTTATACTTAAGTCCTTTGCTTCTTGATCAGTTGCACGGGTTAGTGGTAAAGGGGGAATGTATTTAGGGAATGGCAGTGGCTTGTCCATAGAACCAGCATTCAAGTTGCTGGCTATGGTAAGATGACGGAAGCATCCGCTCATAGTTCCATCAAGACTGGAATCTATTGGTGGAGACCCCAGGGTACCGCTAAATCGATTAGTCAAAGAACTTGGTGGCTCTTCATAATCTATGACCTGCTCATATTGGTCTAAGATTATGGAGTCAACATCCTCATTTTCATCTTCTATCTCTGAGCCAGCCTCAGGAACCATATGGCGCTGAAAGATACGGACATTCTTGACCGATTCCCATTGGACGGCTTTGGACTTCTTCAGAGCTAATACCCGGCCATCGTCAAATCCAGAATCCGTCTGATTCTTTAAAGCTTCCTTTGTATTTGAATTGACTTGTGGTGTATGGCAGTGTGTTTGTATCTGCAATTTAGCGATGTAGTCGTCATAAGCCTTGTATGCCGCGATCTGGGCTTCCAGGACAGGCTCAGGCCCTTGTTGTCGATCGTTGCGATTCTTCAAAACTGACCGGATTGGCTTGGGTGCATCCATTAGGGGACGCCGAACGATGATTCGTTGATAGCAGGTTAAGTCTTGGTAAGGCTCAACGGCTTCTGGGTCGATCGCGTTAAGGTAATCAAAATCATCGTCATCCTGAACCTCAGATAACTTTAACAGTCCTTGTTGATCAATAGGGTATTGACTTGTGAAGGCTAAGGTCTTGTTAGCTTCAGATATCGCCCTTCTGTCATTAAATACCTCATCATTAATGTTATTGGATAGTAAATTGTAATACTGTTCAGCTGTATCGTTTGGATTTAGTAAAGATATCCTGGAACCAACCAGTTCGTTGCTAAGACTACGGTCCTTGAGCCCAATGTTGTCATCCTTTTCTGGTCTGTTTAGGTGATGCGGCCTCGCCAGCGTTATAGATGGGATATGATTCCTAAAGGATTCTGCATCTTTTCCAAGTCTTTTTTTGAGACTGTCTACACCAGGTTGTTGTCTCAGCAATTCTACTAGTTCGCGATCATCCAACTTGACAGCCTCCAAAATGTCATACGCGTTGAGGCCGCAACCGTTTTGTAGTCCAAGGTCACCTCCCTTTGAGATAAGCAGGTCAAGAGTGGACTTCATTCCCAGAAATGCAGCAAGGTGGACGGCATTGCTTTTATCACCAAAATAGTCTTTGTTAATCTGCTCAGATGAGAGCTCCTAAATAACACAAGGATCGACTCGTTAAAGTGGGATATTGAAGCTTACAAAAATTTGCTTTATCATTATCATTAGCTTACATTTACAAGCATTTGAACGATGGTCTCTTGCTCGCTTGCGTTAGCAGATTGGCCTGCATTTTGGGATAGTATACTAAATCCAAGTACGGTCATAGCTATGGATCCTGGTGATGCCACAGAAGGATCCGCATACACGACTCCAAGCAAGATCGCTGCCTTTGCTTGCAGCTCCTTAGGAAAGTAATCCCTGTCAACATGTAGCGTTGGCAATTGGATTGAATGCTTGATGGCTTTGAGGCGACCATCGTGTTGGGTCGCTGGATGAACTCGCATCTGTGCTGGTATATGTGCCTGTGCTTGTTTTATGTTGTGAATTTGTGTGATGAGGAGTTTGGTTTGTGCTTGTTGGATGAGCTCTATCCAGAGGGTCCGCATGGTAAGCAGCTCTTCCATGGTACTTGTCCTTTAATTTCAAAATGAATATAGCACACTTTTTAGGAGTCAGATTGATACTCTGTCAGTACGACAGCCTAAAGAGCAATATTCAATCTGAAACCCTGTCTTTTCTTTGAAAATAAAGATGGGCAATAGGATGGCAAACGTGAGCAAAAAAAAGAAAGTGTGAGGAGATGAATGAAGCGTGTATAAGAGAGAAGAAGTACAGCAAAGAAAAGGAGGGAAATAGAGAGAGAGTGAAAGACGAAGGTGGATAGGCATACCAACTACAAGTCGCTCAAGGATCGGAGTAATAATGCAATAAAGCCTTTCTTGAGAAAGACCAAGAGAGACAGCACACTTCAATGACCAGCTTTTGCTTTTTTCAAGTCAGCAAGCAAGAGCTTTCTAGGTCCCCTGAAAGATAAAGATATGAATAGTCCACACAAAAAACAATATGCCCTTCATCTTAGTCGATCCTTTCTTTAGGATACATTGGTTAATTTTATTGCGAACGCGTTCTTTCTGATGTTTCATGTGTCTGTGCAACTGAGATTAAAGCTATTTCAAGCATGCATTGTCATCCACATCATTAAATGACAAACAAACACAAGCATGCATCATTGGAGAGAAGTCTTTTAATTGTTTGATTTAACAACTTAATCAGCCTTTTGTTTTGAAGCCTCGCTTGAACTCACAAGGACACTGCCAAGCACAATTAGACAGGCACCAAACCACCATTGCAACGTCAATGGCTCAGAGAAGAGTGCATATCCTAGTACAGCCTAAAAACAAATGTCGGATGGAATACAATTAATCTAGGTAGATGCCTGCGCGTATCAATTTATTTTTATCATAATGTTCACTTACTGTCAAGCAAAAGTTGGCAGCGCTATTGATTACAGTTACGGTTGCTGAGGACTTAGATCGGTTCAAGGCCTTTGTGAAAAGAGTCCACATGACTGCATTACAGATGAAGATCAGAGCAAAACAAATGGTTCTCACAGCAACTACTACCTATAAAACAAATATTATAGATGGTTCGTTTTGATGATCATTCGAGCACACGCGCCTCTTGCCACTTTCACTTTGCCAATAACTCAGGACATATTTGTCCCAATTCACCGACTTACAGGACTCGTCTCCCCTTCCTTAGCAATGAAAAGTGTTGTACAATATGGAGTTGTGGGTGCTATAAAAGAGTTGCATGCATACTGTAAAAAATTGATTGTCCTGACATCAAGGGTCAACTTCGCAAAAACAGATGCTAGAGCAGCGAAAGTTCCTGCCAGAATAGCTGTAGGGATGGCGGTTCTTAATCCTCTTGATGCGGATACTGCATTTCGTTTCCTTGCAGTCGCTGTGCTTTTTCTGGGACGGTATCCTGACATGGCGACGGGGTGTAAGCGATGTGCGCTTTGAAAACGCGCATGTTGGTCATGTTGTCGACGTCACTTCCGCGAGTTTAATAATTTTTTTGCCTTTACTTTTTTCAGCTCGATTAACTCCAAAGGTCCACGCCCAACGCTTCACATCAGCCCAACACTAGGAGACATCCACATCAAGGTTCGGTAGCGACACAGGATTCACTCAGATCTCAGGGATCATCGGCGCTTCCTCCATTCCAAAGACTGAACTCTTTATACAGCTAATCGAACTACCTCCCTCAGCTTCTCACAGGATTCTGATCAGGCCCAAAGCCCACCTTTTTTTTGACCCATCATAATTCACTATAATGTCTGGTTTCACATTTGGAGGGGCAACAACACCTGCTGGAGGATCACTGTTTGGAGCTACACCAGCTGCTTCAGCAGCAGGAAGTTTGTTTGGGGCCAAACCCACAACACCAGGATCGAATAACCTTTTTGGTGCAGCAGCACAACCCGCAACACCCGCATCTGGAACAGGACTCTTTGGGTCAACGCCAGCCTTGTCTACACCAGCATCTGGTGGCTTGTTTGGTGCGACGGCCACGCCTGCCACAGGGCTGTTTGGAGCAGCTACTACATCCGCCACACCAGCGGCTGGTGGATTATTTGGTGCAACTACTACGTCGACTGCGCCTGCTGCGGGTGGATTGTTTGGTGCACCTGCCGCATCTGCTGCACCGGCTACAGGAGGATTCTTTGGAGGTACGCCTGCGTCTGGCATAGGGTCAAATCTCTTTGGAGCAGCTTCTTCGACAGCGCCAGCATCAGGAGGATTTTTTGGAGCAAAGCCAGCCGCCTCGGGATTCTCATTCGCAGTACCTGGGACCTCAACGGCACCAGCAGCAGGAAGCTTGTTTGGCGCAGCACCCAAACCATTTGGGTCAAGTGGATTTGGTACATCAACCGCTACAACCGTCGCCCCAACTATCCCTGGGTTTGGCGCCTCTCTTGCATCAGGACAGAGACAGCAGTATGTAATTGGGAATGTCAAACCAGAGATACCAGTTTGGTATAATCTTATGTATATCAAGAACTCATGGGACCCTACACATCCCAATTGCCAGTTTAAAGTACGTCACTCTACAAACAGGAGCTTGTGATATTGTTGAAGAGCGGATTTCTAATACATTTTTTTTTTTCTCTTTTTCTCTTCTAGTATTTCTTTTACAATTTCGTACATCCTGATGATGTGAATAAATATGGACCACCTCCAAATGTCGATCCTTTTGAATGGCAGCAGGCGGTGAGAGAATGTCCTGATAAAGAATGGTGTGTCATTGGTTTTATAAATGTGTAGAGATGTGATTATTGCTTTGTATTTTATATTCCAATTAACAGGTTTAGTACCGTATCTGTTGTAGTATGGTACCTGCTCTGGCGATTGGATTTGAAGATTTGAAAAAGAGAATGGAGACCCAAAACGACATGACAGAAATGCAAAGGATAAAACTTGAAGAGATTGAAGTCAAGATGAATGAAATCATGCAGTTTCATGTAGTCCAGACAGCAACAAAGGTTCGGGAGTTCAAGCGACGTCACATTCAGCTTGCTCAACGTGTTCTAACTGTAAGTCCTGGACCATTGTTATAAGAATCTGGATGGCTGAGTGCCTTTTCTTCGCAATAACCAATACTCCTGTTTGATTTTCTCGAATGTTTCGCTGTAGCTGATGAAGCGTGTTCAGATATTGCGAAACAGAGGCGTACCAATCCGGGAAGATGAAGAGCTTTTGAGAGTCAGACTTGAGAATGCGCTAGAGCAACTTCGTAATCCTGCACACTTTAGAGGCAAGATAACAGAACTATGGGCGCAGCTGCAGATCCTAAAGGATTCCAAAAGACTGCATCCTTATAGCAGCCACGGCGTCCCTGACGCATCACAACTTGAGGCTGTTGGCAAGGTACTTGCTTTATGGCCGACATTATCATATTATAAGATGTTTTCAAGAAAATTCAATTTATCACTAAGTTGACTCATGCGCGTACTTTTTCTTCTTTTTTTTACAGGTTTTACAAGAACAGCAAGCAGGTCTAGCGCACATCACTTCGATTATTCAGCAGGACATGGAAGACATTGAGATCTTGCAGCGCAAACTAGAGGAAACAAAACGAGCATGAAAGTGTAAACGTTGCTGGACAATAATAAAGATGTGGTTTCTCAGTGTTCTCTTCAAATAGTACCATTGAGAAAAAAAAAAAAAAAAAAAAAAAGTGACTGCTGACACTGTGCTTTGATTCCTCTTGAAATTATCACTGTTTTTTATTTTTTCTCTTTTCTCATTCAATTCTACGCGATTTAGTTACTCATCAGCCAAAGGTTCACTCATTTCATTCCCTCTATTTATTACACAGTAGACAGGTCATGTAAGTTGTACCGATTTAATAACACACTGTTAAGGACATGTATGTCTAGTATACATGACATACAGCACGTATTCACTCTATTACATAACATGGTATCGCGTCAAAAGTAAAAAGCGGAGGTTACCATTTACCTTCGTTCCAGTGTTGCCTCGAAAATTGGCGGCAATACGCAGGGGCTACAAATTTGTTCTATTATTCAGTCATTCAGTCATTCAGTCACAGTAAAATATAACCTTGTGGGCCAAACTTACCCACAGCTCCTGTGGTCACCTCTCAAGTGCAACCACCGTCACCACTACCACTAACTTTCCGTCATATTCCCATGCATATCTGATATATCAATACAGCATCAATTCTTTATCTCTTGGCAACCAGGCTTATCGATTCAGCCGGCGCAACTGCTGTCTGCTTCAAAAGAATCAACTGTTCTATCCAGAAATCCTGCTGCTATAATCGTCTACTCTCATTCACCTGAACTAGCTGCATTCAACGTAGTCATAAACACCAGTTCTACCGATACTATCTTTAAAATTTCAAAAACTGCTTCCAGTGAAGTTCGGATAGCACCACCAGAAGCAACATTAAAACCAAGTCTATCTGTCGGAGGAAAGTTAGTTAACCAGGATTTAGTCATGGTGATACCCGAATTATCAAGCCAGCGTGGCTCTAGACCTACTAATTCGGAGAATGGGGCGCGCGAGAATCCCTATCTAGCTTTTGTCGCTGCTATCGATCCTGATGGCACAATGGATGACGGTCGAGCCTATGTTGGTGGTGCAAGACATTATGTTGATAAGGCTGTGACTCGTTCTGCAAATAACATCAGTAATCAGCAGAGTCCTCCAACTCAAGCTCAATCTCAAGTTCAAGTTCAAGTTCAAACCCAAGCTCAATCTCAGGTTCAAGCTCCAGCTCAAACCCAATCTCAAACCCAAAGCAAGCAGCAATTGGGAAGCAGCCGTCAACCGGCGCAACACTCTTTCAAGCAACCGCCACAACAGCCGTAAGAAAATATCTACTCTTATGAAATGAAATACATTTATAGATCAGTCCAGCTGATTTTTATACCCATACCTTCAAATTAGAAAATATTCTACAGCAGAACGAGTTCGTGGATCTGGCCAATCTCGGTGGTCTGGAAAACCGCTGGCTACCGCAAACTCGATTCCTGAAGGATTTTTTGCTACTGCTAAACCAGTTACACCCGCGTCATCATCAAACGCTTCACCCCAGCAGGTTAAGCAAGATTTATCTCCACAACATAGTGATTCAGGCCAATTTCGAGATCACAGGCCTGAAACAAAAGTCCCGGAGGTGCAGCATGAGTTCCGCCCTAGAATATCAGATGTTCAGCGGGCCATGGGCTCCGTCACTGTTAACGAAGGAAATGTCACGAAAGTCTCTCAGCACCCTGAGCAGGCCCGTTCAAACTGGAATACTCTCGCAACATCATCAGAAACTGCAGGATGGGGACTCCTTTCATCGAGAACAATGCCCAGTAGAGCTGGGAGATTTGGCGATATCAGTGACGATGAAGGGTCAGTGTCCACCTCGCGAGGTTCACATTCAGTAGTGCCCGCGTCTAATGATGGTGATCCATTATATCTTCAGTATCCAATTGGAGATGGATGCTATGTCACAGTGACTATACATGTAGATAGGAGTGCACAAGCTGCACGCAGACGAATCCCTATTGAGATGCCTCGCTTGCAGTCTGGTTACAAAGTACAGACAATGGAACAGTTGGCTAATATTTTCAAAGAAGCGGTGGAAGACGAGAAGAGTAACGCGTTATGATGAAATTCAGAATTATTTGTTTACAATATATTTCGGTTAATCTTTCATACACCACCACCTTGGCAACCTTGCAGATGTAAAATGTTGAAAACAGATGCATATCAATCTTCATCACAATTAGGGATACTCTTAACGCGACTTTTTTTTTTTTTTTTTTTTTTTTTCATAAAATAATTGCGCCCGTCTTTCTCTTTTTTCTTCGATTTCACCATTTTCTTTGCTATTTCATTTTTCTCACAATTATACTCCCTATTCACCATTACTACGCCTCTAAGCAACATGGACAACCGCTCGGTAGGTGGATGGGGAAATACTGCGTCTTTGACCAAGAACGGCACAGCTCCTGCAATCAACTCACAAAGCTCTTTGCCAATAAACTATCATCCCCTCGTAACTGACCCTGCGTTTCATGTATCTCTACATATTTCGACTCAGAAATCAATCTTTACTACCTCACGACCTAGAATTTCGACAGACTTCCTTGCACATCTCCAACAACAGATACAGAGGCAGCAGCAACTGCAACAAACTGAAGAACTACCTGCCTTGTTCAAAAAGTCTACTAAACAAACAGTTATCCCAGTCCTGCCTGATCGAGCTGCCAACATAGCGTCTGTGAGCCCTACCTTCATCAATAGCTCCAATCATAAGCCTAAAATCCCTTTTCCTGATATAAAGACATCTCTATCCAAAAATAACTTTAAAAGCAAAGAGGCACATCAACTGACCGAAAGCCCCGAGACATCGTCATCACACCCCAGCAGGCTTACTCTACCGAGTACTTCCAACAGGCTGGCTAAATCCTCTAAAAGCGGAGAAATAGTCGCAGCAAGATTGGAGCCCTCATATCAGCAAGGTCCTTGGGTAATCAGCTCGGGAAGCGAAGCACACAACTCAACTCAAGCCCAAGAGAACCCATATGTGTTCTTTACTACATATATCGACCCTGATAGCGCCATGAATGATAGACGAACATATGTTGATGAGCCTAAGCACTATGTCGAAAAGGCGGGATCTCAACTTACACGGCCTTCGCATCAACCGTCAAAATCCATGTTCAAGCGACAGCAGCCGTAGGTCGACATTTGAGCTTAATACCTTCCTTAAAGAGAGATATGTGTCTTTGCTTTAACTCATTTATTTATTTTATAGGTCGGATACATATATTCGAAGCTTTTCATCGTCGGATCGACGTCAAAATTTTGATGACTCAGAAACGGCCTTGGTGACCAAAGATTTGCTTCCTCAAGGATTTTTCGATGCTAATACAACATCACAAGAACCAGTATCAAGCATTTCAGCGCAGCACGGGAAACAGCATTTCATCTTTCAGCTCAGTGACCCAAGTCAACTTGAGTCCCATTGGGCAGGATCTAGGACGCTCGATTCGCAGCATGGGTGCCACTATCCCAATGTTTCTGATGTCCAACGCACCATGGGGCCTATCACCGTCGGTGAAAAAAATACTCTCAAACTCCCCCAACAGCTTGGGGAAAGCGTAGTCAAATGGTCGCAGCCTGAAGGGGATAGTCGGCTGGAGTCATCAACCTTACATTCAATACTCCCAATTGGAAAAGCGACCAATGACGGCAATCCGTTATTTCTTCAATATCCAATCGGGGATGGGTGCTATTTAGTATCGGCGATGTACGTAGAGAGGAGTATACATTCTGCTCTTAAACGATTCCCTGATATTGACCGAACACGCATGTTATCGAGTCATAGAATTCACACTACTGAGCAAATAACTAAAGCCTTTCAAGAAGTGTTGGAAGATGAAAAACATTCCATGTTTGAATGAGCTCAAAGCTGTTTCGATAGTCATACTTGCTTAGTTAATTTTTTTTTTTTTTTTTTTTCTATAATTATTAAAAATGCTTTCACATGATATCTTATATGAAAATGATCAATATAAAAGAGCAACCATCACCGGTTGGCGCTGAGCAGACTTTAATCTGGTCATTTTGGTACCAAGCAATATGTTAAATATAATTTTGCATACTCCTTCACAGCGTGGTATAACCTCTACTCATATATTTGTCACCAAGACCAGTAGATACCAGGCCCTTGGGGAAAGAGCCACGCATCTATCAAAGGACCTGCGGTTGAATGAGGTCTAGACTTTTTTTTGTTGGCTCAGAGTATTTGGAGAGCCAAGTATATTATACAATACACAGCGTCACTGCTTTGCAAAAGACGATGAGACGAGATAAGGTGTAAAAAAGAGATGATATTATACTCATTAAATGAAAAGAAGAGTGTAAAAAGTAAATTACTCAATTTCCCAACGCTCAGTCATTGTGGGGACAGCGGTTGTAGTTGTTACATCATAACGGATGACAGTTCTCTTGGAACCTTGTTGAAGATTAGGCAAGAAGGAGAAGCCCTTTTTTTGGACCATTGCTGGTCTTGATCCTAAGGTAGCCCCTGTTTCAGTCCCATCCTCTGCTCCGGTCCTGGCCCCGGCTCCAGCTCCAATTTCAATTCCAGCTTCAGCTCTTAGGCATTGTTCTCCGTTATTGTTGGTATTACAACCGCCAGAAGTATTTGTAAAGGCAGTGATATTGATGGATCCGCTTCCGTGAATTGACAAACGACGTGTAGAATGAGTCACTGAACGGATAGTGCCTGAGCGACGGACTCGATATTGCCGCACTGTTAAATTAGAGGAAAGAGAAAAATTAAATAAATAAACGTAGACATGGACTTTATATACCAATAATAAATCTTTAAGCACTTACTAGCTTCCTTGAGGCCCTTGTTAAAGTTGTAAAGCATAACTATTGCGTTGATGAGCGCAAGGATAGTCATAAATAGTGTCAATCCAGCTAAGTTAAAAAGAGGGAAAAAAAAAAAAAAAAAAGTTTATACATGCACTTGTGAAAGCCATAGTCAAAGCTTTCTGCTTTTTTTTTTTTTTTTTTTTTTTACCAAAGACTGTCATGGTTTTGCGGCTAAAGAAGTAAGGGTCCGTTGCAGGATCTCCAGTTAAGGTCTGAAAGAGTGCGACCAAGCGATAGATCATATACCCGATCAACAAAGCCAAGCATGTAATGAACCCACCCATCGTTACTTTGTTCTCGTTGCGTAACTAAACCAATAAATAAATAAATTAATAAATTAATTAATTAATAAATAAATTAATAAATTAATTAATTAATAAATAAATTAATAAATAAATTAATAAATTAATTAATTAATAAATAAATTAATAAATAAATAAAAGCATAATAAATGTACAAGGAAAATGATGAGAAATAAAATAATATAAAGACTTACGGCACAAAATCCAAGCAAGATAATGATGCAGGACAAAGGAACCGCAAAAGCAACCTCGGTCAAACCCTTTTGCCAGTATTTGTCAGTCAAGATCGCAATCTGGATTGCATATCCGAAAAAGAAAAACGCGTCCAGCTTGAGTAATGTGAACAGCAGACGATACTCTTTCATCATCTCTAAGGAAGAACAAAGACAGTAAAAGAATAAAAAAAATCCGAAATCAGGAACTTTTCAAAAAAAAAAAAAAAAAAAGAAAAAAGATAAAGCACTACCGAGGCACTAGCTTCTGCTCCTTACTCCTCAGTGATACATCTGCGCCCAACTTTTGGAAGACTAGCCACCCGAACTCAGAATATAGCCGCCAGGTTAAAAGAGTGATCCCTATGCAGGCTGTGACCTGAACACCAAACTGTGAAAATAAGATTGTACGGGTCTTGATGTCGCCTAGATGTATCAAAAGTTCATCCGATATACCAATATCTTTGACCAACTGGTCATGTTGCCATATCTGAAGCCCTGAATAAGAGACCATGCACCATTCAAAAAGCGTGAATGCAACCAGTTGTAATGAGTTCTTGTGAATGGCCTTTTTTTTAAAAAAAAAAAAGGTTAATGTTAAGTTATTATTCAATAAACAAAAACAAAATACAATGAAATGTGGAATGTGGAATGTATGGAATAGCAGATACAATAATAATAATAATAATAAGTAAAATAAAAATAACATACCGCATCCCATAGGAGGCCAACCGCAAAGACTTCTGCAAGAATAAAGAGAGAATAGTATACGGTCAGAGGTCGAAAGAATGAGATCTCGAAGGGACGGCCAGCAGTCACGTTTCCGTCTATGAGAGTAATAACCATTGATCGATGTCGCTGTAGCAAAATGGTTTCCAGTGCAATGGTTACAAGAGCTAAAATAACGGTTCCTAACAATGCCTCTCGCGCATGCTTGGATCTCGGAAGGAGCTAGATACATTATTTTGAAATAAGGCTTAAATCAGTCGATGTGGTTAAATAATTAAGCCTTTTTTTTTTTTTTTTTTTTTTTAAAAAAAAAAGCTCCTTTCCCCCTCTCAACCCTACCCCAGCTTTAAATGTCTGCCAGTCTGGTATTGAGCAAGAGAAGACAGGCTCGGAACATTCCTCATAGACAGCCTGTTCGGCTACTGGGTGCTGTTGCTGCTGCCGTTGTTGTTGTTGCTGCTGTTGTTGCTGTTGCTGTAACGCAAGTTGACGTCTTCCTCCTCTTCTTTTATCTTCATCCCCATCATCCTCTCTGTCTGCAACTCCGGGCTCAAGACACGAAGTATATTCACTTCTCTCATCTTCATCATTGATGCGAACTATCGTTGCTGCTGAAGCATCTGTGACTGCTGCCGCTGTTTGAGGGTCATAGGAGGCAAAAGAAAGGGAGTGTGTATAATCTTCCGTTGACGTGGAGCTAGCCCTATTCCTAGCATTCCTGCTTATATATCCAAGTTCTCTGAGCCGTCCGTGCGTGTTATTGATAGCTGAAATCAAAGGTGCTGCCGATGTCTCAGCTTCAGGAACAGTAGCAGCAGCCTCAATGACAGTGGTTCCATTTACAATAGAGTTGCTTGTAGTTGATCCCTCAATCCTTACTTCATCCTTGCCATTAGCACTAATATTGTTACTGTCATGCAAGCAGGGGTCATTACTATTCTTTAGTTCCAAAGTCGCCACCATTGATGAAGGTGAGTAATTGTTATTGGGCGTAGTATTTGTTAAGGTTCCAGGTGAAGATGCGAAGGAAGTAGGAGACATAGATGAGGAGGGTGCGTGGTGATATTTGTGTATAAATGGCGAATAAGAGGCTTGATGCTGAGGTGAAGAGAGATGAATGGATGGGGGAGGAGCGGCAGCAGGGGGTGAAGAGGAAGGAGTAGATACGTGGAGATATGGATGTTGCGAATGTAGACACAGGCCAGAATGATGGGAGCTCCCTGTTCCGGTGCTATTAGTAGCTGAAAGGGAAGGAGAAGGAGGGGGAGAGGGAGAGTGGGATTGCGATTGCGAAATAATGGTGGTAGGAGAAGAGGAGACAGTGGGGGAAGGGGACGAATTAGAAGTAAATGAATCAGAATTACTATGATAGGACTGACAGTTCAGTCTGGCTATAGCCTTGTGGATAATAGGGGAGGATCTACGACTAAGGGTGCGGTGCAAGCCATTTGCGTGGTGACAGCTTTGTTGATAAAACTGTTGATACTGCTGGCATTTAAGCCGCTGTTGCTGCTGCTGCTGTCGTTGTTGCTGCTGTTGTTCATATTGTTGGTCATGCTGCGGCCTCTGCAGGTATTGGTGCTGGCGCTGTGCTTCTTGTAAGGTTTGTTGATGATTATACTGATCTCGGTATTGGTCCTGGCAGAGTTGATGTTGTTGTTGGCGTTTTTGTTGCTGCTGTTGCTGACAGTAATAGTGGTGGAGTTGACTAATCTGAGGCGAGCTAGATTGATTAGACCATGCTCGATTATCGACATAACGGTGCTTTTGCCTTGCAAAGGCCATAGCTGACGCAGTCGGGACAGAACTGTCATGGCGGTGCCAATGCCTATGATGATAATTATCTGAATCATATGAATCATAATACTGAAACGATCTATGACCGTCCATTCCAAAACCAATACTTCCATTATTGCTACTATTTCGACTACGGCCATGGTCATGTCTTTGGTTGCTTTGACTATGACCATAAGGTGGACGGTGAAACTGCTCTATTGAGTTGACAAGGTCTTGCTGTTGGAAGCTGTAATGTTGAGAATGAGAGAGAGGATGATTTTGAAGTTGCCTACTTCCCCGCCATGGACTGTCCAGAGGCAACAATCCACCGTTTCCAAATCCACCGCGACTACTGTTATTGGCGCTAGAAGTAATGTGTGGATTTTGATTCAGCGCATAGGCCGCATCGTACACAATATCATTACTTTCATTGCTACTGTTGTTATCCCAGCCCCTACTCCCCTTTGGTGACGACGGTAATATTGCGAGAATAGCTGCGCCCACTGCCTCTGTCAATTCAGCTTCTGTTATTGTTGTTATCTGGTCTCGGTTTGCTTCTTTCATTGCTGCTAAGATTTCATCCTCGGTTGCATTCCCAGAACTTTTATTAGCATCAAGCGTTCGCTTCCTTGAGTTTTTCCCTTCCCCTTCCCCTTTACTATGAGCCCTTCGTCGACTCCATGGTAAAGCAGGGAACGAAAGAGCCTTTTTCCAATGAAGATATGAGGAAGGAGGAGAGTGAGGGATTGAGGATGTAATAGAATGCTCAGAATCATGATGATTGTTAAGCTCAGTCATTTCGAGTTGTCGAGATGGCGGACTAGAGCTAGATGGGTCATATCCTATGGATGTCATTGTGGATAGGGAAGACAAGGCAAAAAAAGAAGATAGCAAGATATAACTTTCGAAATATAAAAAAGGAGAATTATTTGGTTAGAGATCAACTCAATAATGTGGACATTTCTTTATCTCTTTTCTTTTTGTAAGAGGCAGATTGGATTGTGAATGGGGCTGGGATTACTTTTTAGCGAAAAGGGAAAAAGCGGAAAAAAAAAAAAAAAAAAAAAAAAAAAAGCGGAGGAAGAGTGGAAGAAGAAGATTGAATGCATAGAGTGACTAAACCACTTCTTGTGGCAAAGGAGAGAAGAGGAGGGAAGAGGGAGGTCTATGGGTTTATTATTGTGCGAATAGCTTGAAATGACATGCGCCTTCTTGCTCTTTGTTTCCTTGTAGGCAGGAATACAAACAGAAAGAAAAAGACGGCAATGCAACACATGTATACCTTTGAAGTATAAGAGTATAGTGAAAAACTGTCCTTTACCTTCACTCAAATAAGGGTTCGCGTGTTTTAAAGTTTATGGATTGTTTGTTGTACAAAGGCGCGTTGTAGCCAATAGGGATGATGAATGCTTTTGAGTTGACAACACTACGAACATCAACATTTGCGTGGCCGTTGTTTGGTCAGAATAAGAATGAACAAAAAAAAAAAAAAAAGATGGCAATCGAATCAATTCATCAATGCATTCTAAGCGTACAAAACAAAAAAAAAAAAAAAAAAAAAAAAAAACGAATAAGGAATGAAGCAAGTGGACGAGAGAGAGAGAGAGAGAGAAAGAGAAAATAAAAGTAATTGCCATTTTGGCAATGATTCATAATTCAATCTCATTCGTCACCTTTTCACTCCTCATTACACTTAACCTGACAAAAAAACCCTCTCTCCTCCTCCTCTTTTGACCTGGTTCTCCCTCCGTATTACTGGATCGTATTCACTGAAAAGCTATTAATGACATGCCAAGTCCTTTTTTTTTTATTGAAATGCATATTTTGGATGCAGGGAAAGAGAAAATCTGAACAATCTAATTAATCTCAACTTTTGTATGACCAATCTTCGGTGCTTTATTTCGCTGTTTATTCGATCTTTGTAAAGGTGAGTAAGAGAAAAAATAAAAAAAGGGATAGAAGTAAAAAAGGAACACAAATAGGAGAGAGGAAGGAGATAATAAACCCATGAGAAAAAGGAGTTCATTTCCATGCACAGCATTTTATATTTTATTTTTATGGACAACATTGACAACACCAGAAAATTTCAATCCTTCAAGGCGTTCTAAGATAGCCTATTAAAATGTTTTTGGATATGAGCAGTATATATTGGTAACACATTTAACATTTGTTGTTATCTTTTTTTTTTTTTTTTTTTTTTAATCAATCTTATGCGCTATTTGCTGGTAATACAGAGTTTAACAATGTCCAGAAATATCAAACGCATCATGTCCTCCCATCCGCTCCACCAGCTCATTCACTTTTCCAACCAAATCCCGCCTCCATCGCTTCATCTCTGCATTTCCTCCACAGAGTTTCGACCACCAAACTTGGATCTGCATCTTCAGATCGATCTGCCATTCCCAGATCCATACTGTACAGTATGCAATCGTAGGAAACAGCACAAACGTCGCCAGTATCCAAAAGACCATCAATCGACTCATGCTCCAATAATAATCATGAAGTGCCGCCCAATGACCCACCCAGATCGTCAACAATGTCGCATACAGAATGAAACAAATCGGCATCAACGCCAACGACGCCACAATCTTCCAAGTCGCAATTACATCTCGTCCTGGCCATCTTGAGACAGGCAAATAAGATTGAAACGCCAACATGGCTTGCCGACCCTTGTAATTGGCTGCTGATGTTGCTATCAACCCAACAGGCTCGAAGAGAAGTGTTCCTGGCAATGATAAAAGAAACAATGCTGGAAGACAAAACAATGCTGGCAATGTACAGACCAAAGCGACTATCAAATTCGGATCAGCAGTCAATTGCCAATCTTGCACGCCTTTGTTCGTCAAATGTTTATCATATGCATTAATGTCTCGTTTGATCTCTGCCACTTTTGGAGTCAAAACCAATTTGGAGTATCCTTTTGCAAATCGACGGGTCAATTCCAGCTTTTGAGGCATCGTCAGTGGTTTCTTTAGCGTACTACTATAAAGTCGCCTCGTGGCTTTGATCAGTCGCAGCTCATCATAGTTTGGTGCATTCAATGTCAGTCCTTCCACGGCATCATGGATCATTTGTAGCAGCTCTGTACATGCTATAAATAATAATAACAATTATAACAATACGTTAATACACAAGTACCTCAGTTTTTTATTTTTCCTTCTTTTCATCCTCAATGTGCTTTTTCTAGCCCATACCTTTCTTCTTGGCTTCACCTCCTTCACGATACATTTCTATAAGGTGGTCTGGGACTGTTATCGGATGACCATAATCAGCGTAGAAACGGGATCGAAATCGATGACGATTAAAGAAATTGAGGCCGCAGGGTATAATCCTCAAAGTCTTTGGTGTTGACGCTGCTGTTGAATGTTGTTCCTCCTGCCTCTGTTGCTGCCGTGCAAGGTAGCCCAAGACCATGATTGTACATCCGTATTTGAAATCCAACAGATGATAGTCATCACTCGAGACTCCCTCTGGGAAAACAGCTACAGTCCTATTATCCTCAAAATTCTTCCAAACACTCTCGTAGATCATAGAATGATCAATTGGGCGAGCATATTGAAACATACAAGGAACAGTTGGGAAGCGCATACTAGTTGTTGGTGGAGTGAGCATTGCTGGTGAGGAAGCGACATCGTGTCTCGCCGATGTAGGCGGAGCAATGGTTGCAGAGTTCGAATCCTTGTTTCCGGTGATCATATATGCAAATGAAGTGTTTCCCTGATTCAATAAATCTTCTTCCTCCAATTGCACACCCATACCCACCTGTTCATCCGCATCCATGTAGCCGCCATTCACATCACGAGTACTGTGGTTGGTTGAAAACGATGAGAGCCTTAAATTCGAGCTATTACGGCTTGCAGCCGTATACATAGCGCGTATAGGTGAGTTCAATGATCGCTTATTCCGAAGTAACGGCGTAGATTCAGTATTCTGGAAGATATTGGGCGGTGCTGTAACAGACCCTGGAATGTCCGCGCCTGAAGTGAAGGTCCCGTTCTCCATCGCATGGGCAGCCAAAATCGACTGTCGTTCTGCTGCACTTGCCTCTGCTTCTGGAGATTTCGAAAAGATCTTTTGAACAAATTTTCCAATCGTGCCTGTGGCACTGTTGGCCATAAACACTGCATTCTGCTGCTGCTCATGTGCTTTTAACGCATTGTTGATCCCTATCATGGTATTACCACACTCCACCCTGATCTTGAGAGAACCACTATCGACAATTTTGTGAGATTTGATATAGGTAATATCTCGTTCTGAAGTCAATGTCGCAGGGAGCCATTTCAGTCCTGGTTGCTTAAACGTCACCTGGCGCTCGTTTATAACATCTTCAACCACAGCATAGCATTGAGTTACACGATCATCCTTGGTGGCATCCTGAAATGATCCACATTCGATATAGACTGTATCTCCTTGACTTAATTGAGTACCAATTCCATCGCCTGAAATACTGCACCCATCATGTGCTATTGTAACAAGACCCGCCCCATCGTACTTTGTTGCATCCTGCGGCCTAATGATTGTTACCACATCACCGTATTAGTTTACAGAGAAGAAGAATGGGGGAAAGGAGAAGGAGAGAGGGGAAGGAGATCCAGGGGTAATTCAAATTGTCACACCATACGCCATACTCATTAGATTCATCCGCACAGCTTTTATTGACAAAGCAGGTCATTCATTTCAACTTCTCCAAGACACGAGGCACAATTGTCAGATGCCCTTGATCTCTTGACACGACAATAGTTTTATTATTAGAAAAATGATACCTTAGCACTGGAATGGCGCCTATCTTTCGCGCAATACCTCCGATAGCAGTCTTGAAATTAGGTTGGGCCATCAAGAAGGAAATCTGACCAGGATGTGTTGCCAGCAATGCTAATCCATCCAGTAAATAGTTGCCATGATTTGAAACCACGAGTAACGGCTCTTGTTGTGGGATAGATTCTGTATGGAACGCACCATATTCTCGAAAGAAGATATGGAATAATGTTCGACATAGCAGCTTGACAAAGCTGTATAGGCCTGGGATTTTTCTGGGTCCTACACTATTCATTTGCTGTTGCTGCTTGGGTCGAAGTGATAAACGATATTTGTTTGCAACGTGTGTGAGTTAATGGATATAATAGAAGAGGATAATTATTTACAGCAACAAGGTATTCAATAAGCCGAAGAAGGTGAATAACATAAAGAAATCAGAACAACTTTTTAAAAGAAATGGAGATGAGTTGTTGAATCAACCGTCAATTCAATGAGAAAGAGAGGAGCTACCACAGCCCGTTTTTTTTTTTTTTTTTTTTTTTTTTTGCACAAAATGCTCACATTTTTTTTTTTTTTACTCTCCACAGTCAGTCAGACGCAGACTCACATAATCACTCCAGGCACCGCCTCATCACTCGCTCACGCTTTTTGGTGTTTGCCCACTAAAAAGCAAAAAAAATAACACACACACGTGCACATGCACACACAAAAAAAGCCTCGTAATGAACCTGACTGACCCTTCAGTTGGCACAACCCTGATGTCCGTTCATCTTTTTATGATTTTGGTTACACTAGGAAACCTCAAAGTTCACTGGAAGGTCTAACTTTGCATTGTAAATACCATCATTAGCGTCACCAAAGGCAACTTTATGAGGAAATAGCGAATTTAAACGGCCAAAAAAAAAAAAAAAAAAAAAAAAGAGCCCTTCCAATTGTGTTGACTTAAAAGGCAGATGGGCAGATGGCAAACCAAAGAAAAAGGGGAGGATAAAAGAAAAAAAAAAAATTGGAGACTTTTGTCTGTGTCAAAATGCCTGTGCATTAATGCGCTTTGCGCGCTTTGCAAATGAGTGAAAATGTTTTGGGTGGGAGAGTGAAGTAAAAGGTGAGAGGTGAGAGGTGAGGTGAGAGGTGAATGAAAAACAGGGGGGGTAAGGAGGGAGATTGGACTGCATGCATTAACTGCATTACCTGCATGGACACATTGATTTGCATTTGTTACCTTATCGCCGGTATCTTAGGCCTCGGGGTGAAGAAGAAAAAAAAAATGCAGCTCGTTCGTTTGCTTTTTTTTTTTTTTTTTTTTTTTTTTTTTCCCAATAAATGCTAATCTCCGCGATTGGTTTTGGAGGAAAGCATCATTGGGTAGAATAATAATAATAACAATATAACAATATTAAGCCATCGCTCTGCTCCACTGCAATAAGCAAGAGGTGACGATAGAGAGTAAAGGATTGAGCCAAAGAGAGAGAGAGACAGACAAATGATCAACAAACGATGTGAGCTTGGAGCATACCATTGCTATTTATTATTTTTTAAGTTTTTTTTTTATTAGGACTATATTAAGAGCTAATGACTTGTTTCTACACATTATTGGGCAGACAAATCCATGCTCACCCTAGGAGTAGGTAAGGAAACACCCAATCCCTTGCAACTATAATTAATGTCGCTAATGTGGGTATTATTGTTTACATATCCGGCATGTCCAGCATGTCCAGACACTTCAAATGTTGCTGAACAGCCTTCAGTCAACGATGGAGAGGATTGAGAAGATGATGGTGGGCTTGGTGAAGAAAAGGAAGGGCCAACGTTCTTGGAATAAGATCGTCGTCGTACTACACCATTGCTGGTAATTGTGCTGTTGAGGTTGAAATGATTGTTTCGGAGTGTTGGTACTTGGCTATTAGAAGGTTGAGGCCCAATATCTGACATGATGTATTGTCGAAGATCACTTGACCATTGATATGGGTTCGTAGTCGGGGAGATTGAAGTAGAACTAGAAGTAGTAGAGATAGACGCGAAAGGCGATGATGTCATGGCGGCGGTAGAAAGTGGTGGTGTTGATGGCAAGGCATATGTCATATTGATTGATAGCCTTGAAGTGCGTCGAGCCTTGAAAGATGACCGGTCACTCATGCTGTTACGGTTACTGCTAGAGACGCGTTCTTCATGGCTATATCCTTCTGCAAATGATCGTCTGTTTCGTCTATTCTCTTCTTCTTCATCCCCTTCGTCACCTGGCATTTCAGGGATCGTTGTAAGCGGCATCCCAGTACTTGAGTTTGATAACATTTGACTAATATCCATGCCTGAGATATTTGACAATGGCGCCAATGTGGAGAGTTGGGCGTTAGACATGGCGGTATGTGGTATATAATGGATTACAAGTAAGAGGGAATGATAATGAAACACGGAGAGAGGTATATAAAAAAAAAATCTGTACAATTAAAAAATGAGTTGAAGAATGATAGTGAAGAGTGATTGGGAATGAAAAAGCGAAGGTCAATAAACGTAAATGTAGAAAGAACTAAAGGGTCGTTATGCGATAATTAATGCTTAATGTGGAGTAAAAGAATGATGAACAGAAATTGAGGTTAATGAAGGGAAAACAATGCGATCCTTTTATACCTTTTTTTCCTTTCTTTTACTCATCTATGAATCTTTATAACCCGATTGAATGGATTGGATATTTACTCTGACCTTTATTCAATCACAAAGAATGAATGAAAGGATATGTGCGCGACTGCTCACATACAAAGATACAAAAGAGCATGGAATAGCATCGCAAAAGCATGGCATTATTACATGATTAGTGTAAATCCAATTGTCTTTCCCCCCCCTTTTTTTTTTTTTTTTTTTTTTTGACACGGGCTGGGCCAATGCCCAATGTCAATGCAAGGAAATATAGAGATTGAGAGAGAGCCAAAAAAAAAAAAAAAAAAAAAAAAAAAAAACGCATCGCATTGTCGAATCACACTAGCCATCTCGTCCACCCTTGTTCAACACAGGGCGAAACTGAGCAACAAAATATCATACACAGATTGACACACATTTTTAGGCCATGTAACAGGGATAATGATGAATTAAGATATTGAGGATTGATTACCTCTTACAATGTCTTTCTTTACACCCTTCGCCTCCCTTCCTTCGCTTTTGCCCATCTGTCTCTCTGCCTATTCGTTTGCCCGGGCCCTTGCATTCTTTTACATGTACTTTGTGTTCAAAGATCCAGAACTAAAAGGCAGAGCAATGCAAGATCCATTTTAAAAAAGTAAAAGAAAATAAGAAATAAGCGCCAACATAAAAACATAAAAACATAAAAAATAAAAAAAATAAACAAATACCTCCTGAATTATGTTTAAAACGTTTCTTCTCCTTCTCCGTCTCTTGAACTCTGTTTTCTGTCTGTTAAGTTCAGAATCGCAAGCACAAGGAAGGGGAGCGGGAGGGGGGGTATCGGTTACCCATCATCTGGGGGCCTTTGTTTTTCTTTTTCTTTTTCTTATTTTGCAATATAAAAGGAATTGTGAATACAAATATATCAACGTGTTTAGAAAAAATCTATAACTGGATATTGACTCGAGGGACAATGTGTATGATCAAAGAGAGCATCTGCACATAACACACATTCATTCACAAAAAAAAAAAAAAAAAAAAGAACCTTTTTTTAACGTTCAGTTTTTCTGCATCCAGTCTATGGCACATGTACACATACACTGTGCTGGTATGTTTATTTTTTTTTTGTGGGTCACAGGGCCTTTATTTTTTATTTTTTATTTTTTATTTTTTTTTAATGTTGAGCTGGGTAAGTTTGGATGGAAGGAACGAGATCCAACCAGAAAGAGCTCTCGCATTGGGCACTCAACCTCACGAAAATAAACAGCAAGAGCAGCGAAAAAAAAAAATAAAAAATAATAAGGGCCATAAACGAATAAGAGACTCTAAAAAAGCAAAGCAATGAAGAGCAGGGGAAGAGCAAAACATAAGCAAATGCATAAGCATAGGATAAATAAAATAATATATAAAATATAGAATATAAAAGACTGCAAATATCAAAAAGGAATTGCGAATACAGATCTTGAAAGTAGAAAATATTGAGCACGATTCATGTTTTTTTCAGCTCATTTGTTAAAAAAAGCAAAAGGAATGTTGAGCAACTACGGTTCTAATTTGCTGCGTGGGGCCTAACTATAGACACTATGAAAGAGCTACTGAAGAGCTACTGAAGAGCTAATACGCGCGATTTTTATTTATTTATTTATTTTTTGTTTGCTGTTCCTAAAATTATCTTGTAAATGTCAAGAGCAACAGAGCATAGTAATAAAGATCGGCTATAGACATTAGAAACACGATAGATCGAGATAGATCGAGATACATCCAGAAAGGTGCATAAAAAAGAACTAAATAAAGGCAGAGAGGCAGAGGCAGAGAGAGGAGGAATTGAGAGAAGGGGAAAATGGGGGATAAATGAGACGAAAACATGGTTTAATACTTCATGAGCATTCTTTCTCTCTTTTTTTTTTCTTTTTTTTTTTTTTTACACTCTATTTGTTTCTTTCATTTCATCTTTCTTCTCATATTTATTATCATCGCTAATATCTTAATGATCATACCAACTATCTATCAATACCAACCCAAATCTTCAAGGGATAGGAGCTTTTTACTAGTTAGTAAAATTATTTATCATTCCTATAAAAAACGGTAATAAAAAAAGTTTTTATAAATCAGATATCCTTCTGAATCTAATCGGGAGGTGGAAGAGTGAACACTTATAGTCACTGAGCCATTACAGATTATGAGCGCATTCACTAAAAAAAGGTGCAGACTAAGGAAACCTGGCACCTATGCAGTCTCCAGTGCAACGGGGCGTAGAACAAGTGCACGTGGCATCTATTTACATCACGAAATTCATGCCCTATCAGTTGTCCATGTGATCCATTTTAGACATGCTTCACCGCTCCCCTGTATACACGAAATTTTACCTTTGGCCTCGCCAGATTTCCATTGCAACATTTTGAACAAATATGAAGTTAATATGTTCCTCTCTTGAATGAGTAGAAAAAAATAAAATAATGATAACAGAAAAGACTTTCAAAAGCTTGCCGAATTGACATCGTAGATGTATGTCATCAGATGAGTTTCAAAGATGTTCCTTGACTTAAAGAATAGTCTCAAGCTTTAGGGACAACGTCTCTAGCAATTGTGTCTCTTCTTGCAATGACTGGAAAAATGAAGTATAACCAAGAACTCGGATGTACCGAATCAGAATTGCAATACGGAAATACGAAAAGTCCTTTCATCACCATATGACTTAATTCATATTTTTCCTGCAACTGACTATAAAGGGGATGGCGGAGGAGTTTATAGCCATCTGGCATAGTGGCTGTTGTAACAAAATCACCACTCCAAACAATATAACAGCCAAAGCCCCGGATATCAGATATTATGGCCAGAGAAGGTCTCCTACACGCTATACAAGATCATGTGACAACATGTCTGCAAAAAATAACCAAGGTTCATGTCGAAATGTTCCATCAATGTAGTCCTTCCCGAAGCTTTGGATCCAATCACCCAGAAGGATACAACATAATGGGTCATAAGCATACCGACAAATGTTGGGTTGGCATGTGAGAAGGGGTTTCCACAAAGTATTCTGCTGGCTCGAATGGACATGGCCTACAATGCAATTTCATTGTACTTTTCCTTGCCAGATGTGTGCTTGTATGCTCAGAGGCTGCAGTACAGTAGTAGGTGCCGGTCGCAGATCGTTCGTCATTCTTCACATGCATACTATTTTGCTTTAGATTGGCGAAGAATCGGTTTGAATGTCATTTCCCGATTCTCCGGCAAGCTGTTGAGCACGGGTAATGCTCAGCTTCCTAAATACCGCCCAGAACCAAGACTCTCCCTTCATTTGCTGCTCGAACATAGGCCTGATTGACATAGTAGGTAGCATCTCAACGAGCCCACGACGCTGCTTCAAGTAGCTCTTTGCTACGTTTGAACAGTGGATCATACTCGCTCTCACGGTTCGTTTTATATAGACAGCTAGCATTAGCATTCTATGAAAAATACGTATTTTTGCTTGGAATCGTTCTATGCTTGCCCTGTCTACTTAAGGTTGAGGGCACATGTCGCTGCTTGTATTCTTTTTTATAATCGTAATTGGTTTTATTTGTTTTATTTGTTTGTATTCTTGAACTTTGTACTTGTGCACACACATTGAACGTTGTGTAGAATGTGCACACCGTCTCCCTTAACGTCAGTAATCCGTTTTTCTTCAGCCCAAGCACAGCAGTCGCATTTTGTGCCACCAAACTCAACTGCCAACCGCCTGTGTTTGAGCACATTGATACATTCACATTGTTCTATGAGAGACAAGCTTCATCCTCAGCGATCCTTTCTTAATCCTGCCATATAAAGCAGCTCACTTTTCCTTTACTTGCCAATTCGCCTTCAAGCAATGCTAGGTAAAAAAGTTTTCAACATGAAGTTCATTTTTGCTATCTCGGCTCGGACACCTTCGCCTCCATTCAGCAGCTGCTCTATTCACCCCACTGACATGGCTGTCACCAACTTTGTCCTCAGCCCTTACCCTCTCTCTAATGGTACAGAGGTCTGCGCTACCGCGACTGGAACTCTCTCATCCCAATCACCGCTAGTGCCAGGCTTAATATCGTTGGCAAGTTCCTCAACCACATCATTTACACTGATGCCTTCGACTTTTGCACTGTCTTGGCCAAGTTTGGAACTTCTTGCCCTGTTTCCACGAGCGCCGCACAGATCAAGTTCTGTTTCCTGATCAAGAAGACTGCTCCCCCTTTGCCAATTTTATTTCAAATTCCCTCCATCAACGGCAACGGCCACATTACCTTCTGCCTGCAGGCCACGGTCACTGTCGTGGAAGCTCCACCATCTTAGCTTTATTTTTCCACACTCTCACTCCCAGCCCCGTATATATATATATCATTCATACGTTGTACTAAACTCTGTTCTATGACTTTAAGAACTTAATGTTTGGTTTGAGGAGAAAAAGCAAATGGAAATAAAAAAAAATTTAGCTATGACTTAGAAGCAGTTCTTGTCTGGATTAAAAATAGAAATGGAAAAAACTGTGTTGACGAAAAATACACAATCCTTCCTTTGTGGTATTGGTGTCGCCTTCATCGGGGTTGACTACTGTATATTTTACACGGTGAGAGTGTACAATGGTATAGGATGCATAATTAGTAAGGTACTAAAAAAAAAAAGGTATAACAACCCCCAACACAGCCAGTATTAGGAAAGAGAGGAGTGGAGTATCATGCCAAAGGCTCTCACTGGATATGTGGAGCAGTTAACCACCACGATGGAAAAATGGTTTTTTGTTCTCTTTTTTTTTTTTTTTTTTTTTTTTTTGCATTCTTTGAGAAGTTACTGACCTGATATTCAGATACTTAATTATGACACTGTGGGCTGCTTTTTCTGGTCCCTTTCCACAGGATGCATGGACTACATTCTGAGCCTCCTACTAGTATTTCAACTTCAAAGTGTAGTTGGAAATAAGGGAAACAAAGGAAATAAAGGTAAAATAACCTGTCTTAACTTCGTCATTTTCAGGCTACAAGCACCCTCGAGTCACCTAGGCTAGCTTCTTTCGAATGATCCCTTTATATGTCTTTCGGCGGTATTTTTCTTACTCCTTGTTGATTTTGCTTATGTAGATGCTACGAAATATCCTTGCCTCATTCAAATCTAATTCAGATGACGGTTTGCTATCCCTGGTCATTTGTGTAGATTGTATTTTCGGCTGCCTGGAGGGCTACTACAGCAAGTCTTTTGCTATTGCTACCGAAGACGCTTGGGATATGGACAAGAACCGCGGTATTAACGCCGTTCTGAACGACAACTTGCTCAGCAATGCCTTGGACATAAACATGCTCTCGTTATTTTTTCTCAGCAGACTCTATGGTTATATCTTTACTAAGGTTATTCAGTCCTGGTTTTTATGACAAAGACAATGAGACGCTTACCATTATTTTATTGAGATTGTTTCGGGAGCAGTGATAATGGATATCTCTCCTGATCAATGAACCTGGCATCACCACCATGTTTGTAGCCCTTGTAGAAGATGCATAGGCGTTGTACAGGACCAAACCCGACAAATGAACAACACTATGCTGAAGTTACCCATAGCGTCCGTGGTGATCATGTTATTCATGGGTTAGCATTCAAGAATACGTTTGGTTCAGCGGTTTTTGTATTCTTTTCTTCTTTTTTTTCTTGTATACGTAGCTTGACCTCAAAGATACCAATAAAAAATGGCATCAACAATCTGTCCGCAACTGGCAATAGAATGATCAAAGCCCCTGCAAGTGTTGGTTGTAATTCATATGATCCAATGGACTACTTACAATTCAGCATTACAAACAACTTTAATTGAGGACCGCAAACATTTCCTTTGGCCCTTCTGTTCTCCACAACATACTTCACACCCCACACTCCTCTTTTTTTTTTTTTTTTTTTTTTTTTGCATTCTTCGCGGCGCTTGTTTGTTTGTCTGGGTTCCACTGTCGTTTCAGCCTCTTTCCCATTTCCCCATTCATTCATTGTCATGAAATCAGCAAGCATTCTATTGATACCAATCGTGTTTCTGTCAACAATAGTGTTGGCAGCAGGGGACAGTAATGAGACGCCGCACTCAAAAGCATTTGAAACAGTGCAGCCAGCGCAGAACCGCCGTTATGATTACAAGCAATCCATGAAGAAACCATTCATGTACAATGGAGCCATTCCATTCTGGGAACATCATGGCAGTAAGGTTTTTTTTATTTTTTTTATTTTTTTATTTAAGTATCCGTGAGAAACTTACTGACTTTTTATTGTTATCATTAACACTTTAACACTTGCACCTCTTAAAAAATAGATTCGTTTGTCGCTCTGGAGTTTGTTCGTTTGGCACCATCTGTGCCAGGATTACACGGTTCAGTGTGGAGATCTACGCCAAATGAACATAAGGAGTGGGAGGTTGAATTTTCGTTCAAAGCCCATGGACAGCATTCTCAAGGTGGTCGAGGATTAGCATTCTGGTACACACAGGACTATGCGACTGAAGGGTCCATCTTTGGAAACAAGGACAAATGGAAGGGAATAGGCATTTTTTTGGATACGAACGATGTAGCCAATCAGGTACTTACGCAACATCAATTGAATTTACAATGTTTTTTATAATCTCAATCCGTTATTCAAAAGTATTCAAGAGGAGGCAATAGGCATAAAAAGTCGGCTATAATGAAACTTTAAAGCCACTACCATTCATCAAAAGAGACAAACATCCAGGGATAGTTGTTAGGAAATCAGGATGCTTGGATGTCAAGGTATCAGGAGCAATCAATCACAAAAAGAGGGAGGCGGTGCGTTATTATTTGGGCTTGTGCTCTGTGCTGTCAGCATTCGATTCGCTATTCAAGAATCCAAAACTTTAATTCTTGTGATGGATTGATGGATATGCCTTCTTAATTCACTAGCCGATTTTGGGCACTCATTGAGCAAAAAAAAAAAATTACCAATTTATTATCATTTAGAGATTGACCCCAGTGGTCTATGGATTGTTGAACGATGGTACTAAGGCTTTCCCAAGCAGACCCATTGCCAACAGTATCGGAGGATGTTTCCGTGATTACAAAAACTCACCGGGGCCAGTGGTCGTACGTGTCTCATACGTGGGCAAAAAACTTCGGGTAGCACTCGACTCATTTGGAAGAGGTACAAGGATGATTGATTGCTTTGAGGTGGAAGATGTCGACCTTCCAACCGGATATCATTTCGGTTTCTCGGTAAAGAAGATACTTTATTTGAAGAAGTATTCTTTGAGCTTTGAGAGTATTTCCTATTTGTTGATTTTTATTTTTTATGTCATTTTAGGCCCAGTCATCAGAGTCTGGAGCATCGGATGATCACGATCTTTACTCATTTGAAGTATATGAAGTCAATCCTGCACCGAAGACCGAGGTAAAAAAACAAAAGTCAAGAGCCAGTTTACATCTGAAGCTTATTTAGTTGATTAGTTCTTGACTGAAGATGCAAGACAAAAGGACTAAACATAATTGAAAATACGTTTCTTCGATAGAAATACTTGAGACCTCATGAAGCTGAGGTGATCAAGAAATCGGGTGAGATCAAGATTGACGAAGAGGATAAGAGAATTTTTGAAGATGTCCAAAAGATTGTTCAGAGCGAAGAACAGAAGATGAAGGAAGAACTCGGAACCATTCCGCTTTCAGCTGTAAGTTATCATCAAGTCAAAGGAAAACTTCAACTTCTTAATAATATGGGTTAACTTTTTTTTTTTTTTTTTTTTTTTTTGGGTAGGCTCAAGTTGCAGCAGCTGTGTCGGATACTCAATTCAGGATCATCGAATCACTCAACAGTATCCACAACAAGCTCGAATCACTTGGCGCGCCAGTTCAGCCTCCTGAGTCGACGACCAAGAATCTAGCAGAAATCAATGCGAAGATTCAGGCCATGACCTCCTCTTTACATACGATGGAGGGTGTTGTTGAGGGCCTAGTCAAGCATGTCATGTCGCAAGGTGGAGTGTCAACTGTGCCTGATATTACGAAGGTTCTTAAAGATGAACTCAAAAACCTCAATGCTAAGATGGAGGACATTGACGTAAGTGTAGCTCTATCACTTATTCGCCCTTTTATATATATATATAAGACGGCACTCACATTGGCAATGCTTTGTATTCACGATGTGCATTTAATAGTATCGTCAATCATATAATCATCGCCTAACACAAAAGACGCTGGGCGAATCCAACTCATGGGTATTTTATGTGGTTTTACTGATGGTGATGCAAGTTGCTGGCTTGTCTGTATACAACTGGTACAAGAAGCGTATTGAAAGAAATGAGAAAAAATTTGTTTGAGAGATAAAGAAAAAAATTCGCATACTTCCGGAGGAATGTTTATGAGGATCACTTTCGTTTAGTCTAGAGAAGGACGGTTTGTCACGTGTATGTAAGAGAACAATAAAGATGATTTCATTAACGCTACGCCTTCCTTTCTTGTCACAATTAACATAATCATTCTACGTTTCACATATCACTCTCTGGCCGGTAGGTAATTATTAACCATCTCATGACCCCATGCACCATGTTCAAGCCTTCATTCCCTTCATTCCTTCCTTGATTTTTAATTTAATATTGTCTTTACCTATTCATAAATGAAACGTCGATTATTTGTTGTGCTATTGGTTCATAAAAATAAAAAAGTATAACAGAAAAAGAGCGATTACGCTAAAAGGAAAGTGGATCTCTTCTCCACAATTGAACTCTTTTTATTTTTTTTTATTTTTTTTTATTTCATTGCTTCTCAAATGAGAACAAAGTTAATTGCAATTCTCTTGACGCCATCAACTCTGATTACATTTGGTTATTCGGAATAAAGAAAGTTGCCAAAGAACATAAAGGACTTCAAGCAACGTGGAGCTGTTTGCTTAAAAAAGACGTCTCCCTGCATGCACACGCTACACACCAAACTCATTTCAACTATGTTGCGTCATTAGTTTTCATGAAGAGTGTTGGATATCAAGACGGATAACTTGCCTCTTGATGAAAACAAACAAACAAAAAAGGTTGAGAATGGGCAAGTAAAGCAAAAAAAAAAAAAAAAAAAAAAAAAAAAGAGATGAGCGTTGATCAATACATTAGTGCTGTTTCTGCAAACGGATATCAAGTTCTCAATGCTCAATGTTTATACCACATTACAACGATAACTTTGCATTTGTTTCCATTATAATGTCATATACATGCAAACCGTATCTTTGCTAATGTCCTCTATTGTTTATCACCGCCCTTCAACAAATATGAGGAAATTGAGGAAATCTTATTGTTTTACTGTTGGATCAGTTACAAAAAAGTGAGACATTTTTGGGTAGTAGACAGACAATACGACTCATGACAAAAGAGAGCTGCAGATGAATTGAAGTGAATTTCCTTTTGCTTTCCCTTTCGGACCGAGAGGGAAAAAAGAAAGATTCTATTAGATTTATGCTTACATTGCGCCTCTTTGCCTCGAACTTGACGAAGAAATGAAAGAGACCAATTGGAAAGTCTGAAAGAGTCTCCTTTATTTCATTCATTCTTCCCGATTTACGACATAAAAAGAAAATTAAGACACTCAAGCTTTTCTTTTCTTTAAATAACACGCACATTTTACTTGACCTTCTCTTACTGACAAAAGAACATTTCATCACTTCCCTCTTTCCCCTCCCGCTTTGACCAACTTCTCCCAAAACGAATACGGACGACCAATCTTTAACTTCCCAACCCAACTGAAAATCCCCATTTTTATCACCATTTGTCATCTTCATCCTATCGTACAAAGGAGGAAACAACAAACAAACCATAACAAAGTTCAAGACGTCCGATATGAGCAACAAAAGAAATCAAACACAGGCGTTGGATAGCCCAACCTCAAGCACAAGCAACGGCGATGCTAGTCACTTAAACCACAATGATCATTTTGACAAAAAATTCAAGCATGATCACGGTGACGGCGACGAGGATGAGGATGATGATGACGATGAGGATGCTCCCAAAGGCGGAAAGCGTGCTGGCCGAAGAAAAATCAAGATTGAATATATCGAAGACAAGAGTAGACGTCATATCACTTTTTCCAAACGCAAATCGGGCATCATGAAGAAGGTATGGTATCCACAGCTATTCATAGTTAAAAAATCATTGAATTATTGTTATTATTATTTTTCCTACGGTTTCTACGAGTTCCCCCCTGAGCCACTAGGGCAACGTGCCGTCTTGGCCTTTTAGCTGCTCCTAATCGGAGAATGATAGTGGTTAGTTGTCTCAGTCCATGCCATGGTTACATCCGTAAATTTTTTCGGAAGCATCAGGCGATCCACTTTCCAATCCCGGAAATTCTCTTTTTGTGTGCAATTGGTTTCACATTTCTTAAACTTACTTTAGGTTGATCTCCTAGTTTAACAAAACCTCATCTTTCGTGGTCTGCCTTCCTTTTTTGTATCTAGGCGTATGAGCTAAGCACACTCACTGGAACGCAGGTTCTGTTGCTGGTTGTCTCGGAAACAGGACTTGTCTACACCTTCACGACGCCAAAACTGCAACCTCTTGTCACAAAGGCCGAAGGCAAGAACTTAATCCAAGCATGCCTACATGCTCCTGATAAAGAAGCAACGCCTGTAAGTTTTATATTTTTTCTGTCATGCTTGTCTCGCCTTTTTTTTTTTTTTTTTTTTTTTTTTTTTTAGGTTGTCACACTCATGCTGCTGTTCTTTTTTTTTTTTTTTTTTTTTTTCTTCATTATTATAGGATGATACACCAGCAGAGCGTGAAAGCTCAGAGCCTAGACAAGGAGGCGAGTATGACGATCGTACTAGTCCTCAGGGGAATAACGCATCAGGATCATCCCAACAAAATCCATCATCACAAGCTTCGCCTCAACAACCTCAACAGTCATATCCTCCACAATCAGGGCAGCAACAACAGCCAGGGGGGTACGGTAGTTCATCAGCAATGAGTGTACCATCGTATCCACACCCTTATAGCCATATTCCATTCCCTGCACAATATAATTATCCGTCCAATATGCATTATCAAAATGGTCCCCCACCTCCTAATGGAAATCAATACTGGTCAGGTCCTCCACCAGCAGCCTCCACAGGGGCGCAAGTATCACCGCAGCAGTCATCACCAACAAGTGCACCACAAGCTGTAGTAGCAGGAGGGAAAAGGAGGTCATAAAAGTGGAATGAACAATTCTCCTATGTGAAGGACTAGTTTTATTTCGTGCTTTATTTATTCTTATTCTTACTTTTATATTATTTTTTATTCTTTGTGTTTCTCAGCCTGTGTTTTTTGTAAAAAAAAAAAAAAAAAAAAAAAAAGAATAGTGAACCGTGAAAGAACATCTTGTTTGAAAGTTGGTCTCACAAATAAAAAAAAGCATTATCAGAAAAAAACATGTTTTACATGAAATCCTTAATGGTTTTTTATTTTTTAATTTTAATAAATGAATTCTAAATAATGCTAATGAAAGTGGGAAAAAAAAAAAATAATTCAAAAAGGTGGAATAGGCAAATGAATGTTGAAGTGGATCTTGTTTTTACTTTACTGTTTATGCCGATAATGATTCGACATAAGCAAGTGCTCTCCTTTTAACCTCTTCAATATGTTCTTCATCACCATGGTCCTTTTCATAAGCAAGCCACTTCTTGAAGAAGAACTTCATCTTCTTGGATGAAAGTTTCAATGATACCACTCGAGCAAACAACCGACTAAAAAAAGAAATTTGACGACATTTAGTTTCCATTTTTCTTCCAATGTACTTGATGAATAGGAATTTTTACAATTGAAATATAAATACTTACCGGACAGCATCTTGTTCGCCGTTACGGATTTCCATATCAATATAGATGGACCAAAGATCAATACGTTTAGGATAATTAGACATGACACCTTCAAAGATGGTTCGTCCGCGTTCTGGTTCACCATACTTGAACTCGAGCTGTGCAAATTTGGAGATTGTCTTGATATGCTTCCGTTTAGGTAAAGATTTCAAGCTACGCTGAAGTAATTCACGTCCAGCTTCCAAGTTGCCATGATGCAATTGAAAATGACCAAAGCCTGTCCATACTTTTGAACTCTGACCAAATTTCTTAGTCATAGTATTATAAAGTTCGGTTGCCAGCTACAAAATTATCAAGAAGGAATAATATTAATACACTGTGCTGTAAAGAAAATATATTAATAGTTTACATTGTGGTCATTAAAATTTAAAAAAGAAGACCGCGGACTTACATCAGTCTTATTAGATCGCTCGTAAATCTTGACCAGTTGAAGATAGACCTTCTTGGGCTCGCATGTCTGAACAGCATTCTTAAATACCTCCTCCAAGGTGTCAGAGCTGCCAAAAGTGTTTTCCAAGTTCATCAGAGCCACCCATACATTCATCTTCTCTTGTTCCTCCCTAAAGCTGATGGTCTTGAGTGCACGCTGTCCAATTTCGCGCGCCTTGTTGATCTCTGACAGCTGAAGCTGGAATGCCATGTAGTTAATCCACAAGTATGAAGAGTTGGGTGACCCAAGCAACAGTCGCTCATAATCTGCTGCTACTTGGGGTGCCTGTGATTGCAAATCCTCAGTCTCATCGCTCACAATGACTGCTTGCTTCTTTGACTTCTTTTTCTTACTTGATCGTGTATCATCGTCAGAGTCGTCAGTATCACTATTATCGCTTTCATTGTTTTCCTCCACATCATCCTTGCCGTCCCAGTTGAATCCAGATGTAACAGCCAATGGTGAAGCATCAATCATTTCGACATCACTATCATCACCCTTGAAGGCCTTGCTTTGTTCTTCCTGGTCTTCTTCTTCGTCCTCATCTGCAGAGTCGCTATCAACATGTCCTGCGAAAATATTATCCACTTCTTCGTTTTCATATTCGTCATCATCACTGTCAGAGTCTGAATTGTTCATGTTAATATCAATGTCACTTGTGCCTTCCATCTCTACATCAGATCCAGCCTCTACCATTTCTTCATCCTCATCCTCATCCTCATCCTCATCTTCAGCATCAGCATCTTCAAAGTATGAAGATTTGAGACCAAAAGAAATACGCTTCTTCTCGAGGTCAATATCCAAGATCTTGGCCTTAACAGGATCACCGACCGCATACAACTTGGAAACATCAGGAACGCGGTTCTCTGAGATTTCAGAAATATGGCAGAGACCACTAACATTGCTGTTATCAATCTTGATAAAGACACCAATGTCCTTAACGGCCTTAATCGTACCCTTGATCTTCTGACCCTTGGTAAAATCAGCAAGAGTTTGGGCGGCTTTGAAACTGGGATCAATTTGACTGGCCTTTAGTGTCAGCTCAATCTGGTTACGATCCTCGTTCAAGCTGACGACTTTAGCCTTAACAAGTTGACCCACTGTAAAATTGCTCTTCCAATCCTTTAGATAATCATCCGAGAGCTCCGCAATCTTGACACGTCCACTCAGCTTAGGACTCAAAGCAACGAACAATCCTTTATCAGCCACGTTGCTTACAAACCCCTGAAGAATGCCTCCAGCAGCCATATCAGCAAAGCCCTTGACTTCTGGATCGTGAACTGGAGAATGTTCTTCAGGCGATAGACGTGAATGACGGAGAGAGAGATCAATCTTCTTATTGCTGCTGTCAACACTGAGGACAAAGCACTTGAGGATTTGTCCCTTTTTGAAGCCACCCAAAAGCTTATCAGAGTCTGCATAGACATCAGAAATATGAGTCAAATGGACACGACCAAAGACCTTACCACCCAAGTGGATATCTAGTCCAGCATGCTGAATACCTCCGACACGGCCGGAAACAATGGAGCCTTCCTTTACATCTTCAAACTTGTCAATTGGCGTAACTTTAGTTTTCTTCTTGTCCTTGTTGTTATCCTTATCTTTTGTGGCCGAGGTAGTTGGCTCGACAACGAGAATGACACGCTCAGCTGTCTGCCCTTTACCCTGCGACTTGGGAACATATGCAACCACGGTCTTGACCTTCTCTCCAACTTTGTAGCTGATGAAGCGATCCTTTCTGTTGTTGAATGAGCGCGTGGCTGCAAATGCAATCATGTTATTGAACTGAGGGATCGAAAGTACAATATAGTCGTCCTTGACCAACTCGATAACTGCTTCGATAGTTTCCTGTGACTTGTTAAGAGCAGCTAGACTCATAAACTGCTTTGAAAGCTTGCTGTTCGAGACTTTACCGGCGTTAGCCTCCTTAGATTCTTCTTCCGAAATGAGTGAATCCTTAAGGGAAAAGTCAACGGTCTCCTTTTCAAAGTCGATATCAAGGACCTTGGCAACACATTTCAGCCCGACTTTACCCTTGATACCCTTGGTATGATCAACTGCCACGAGACCAGTCTTGCTGTTGTCACCATAGGAAACGGTCCATTGATCTGCCGTTACATTCTTGATCTCGACCATTGTGCATGCTCCAATAGAGAGCGCCGCGTCGTCTTTCTTTGCTAAGCGCTCTAGTTGTCTAAAGTAAGATCCTAAGAACTCACCCTGGAACATGATCGACTCTACAGAGCCATTGTTGACCTCTGAAGGCTTGAGAGTCACTTCAGTCTTGCCACTTTCAGGGTCAATCTTGGTCACCTTGATCAAGACTGACTGGTCCTTGATAAACGCAGTGTCGGATATGTCTGAAAGTGAATGACGGAAGGCGAGGGCCTCAATCCTATTGGCAAATTCTACGAAGACACCAAATTTGGCGACTTGACGGACAAAGGCTGCATAGACATGGCCTTCTTTGAGGTCCTCGCGCTTCGTAACGAGACTATTGAGCTTCGCAGCCATCACCAATGAGGGCTTCTTACTGACTTGGACGTTTCCGCGTTTTTCATCTTGATTCAGCACAACCAAATCTGAAAGGATCATTCCTTCCTTCATACTATTATAAATACGCTCGGCTTGCTCGCCAAGATGGTCAGACAGATGGGCGACGCTGAGGACAGCTTTGGTTTCTGAAGGTTTGAGAGTCAGATGGATGATATTATTCTTGATAGCAACAACCTTTCCTTTATGAATCGATCCAACGGGAGCAGAGCTTAAGTCGGTCTCCGATGATTTCTATTTAGTCAAAAAAAAAAAAAAAAAAAAAAAAAAAAAAAAATTATCAGAAGATAAGTTCCTGGCGAATGCCTTTTTTTTTTTTTTTTTTTTTTTTACCTTGAAAGACACCTTCATTCGTTGCTCTTCAGTATCAACTCCAAGAATACGACATGTCTTAACTTGACCCGGCTGGAAGATTTCGAGATTGTTGACATGTGACTCCTGAAGCTCAGAAATATGAGCAAAAGCTTTGATATTGTTATAGAAGGAGACGATACATCCGTAGGCATTGGTTTTCATAATGACTCCATCTGAAAAAGTACCGGGCTCCACACCTTCCAAAGAGGTAATGATAGGGAGTTTGCTGTTGATTAATGAGTCCTTGCAAGTCAAAATGACTTTGTTATCCGTAGGGTCAGTGGAGAGAACTCTACATTTGACGGTTTTTCCTTCTTTAAATTTGTCATCGATGTGTTTCTTGGTGCTACTGCTAATGACCGAGTCAACGCAGTGTATGAGAGGAACAAAGCCTTTGATATTCTTGGCCAAGTTGACGACAACACCCTTGTCATTACTCTTGACAACCGTACCCTTGATAATAGATCCAACCTTAATGTCATCCACGCGAAGGAATGGTTGGTCAATGACGGAGCTTTGCAAGCTTAGTTGAAATATGCCATCTACGGGATCATACCCGACAACCATACCACGATGTACAGAGCCCAGCTTGAATTTGCCAACGGCGGAGATGTTGGTGAGACGTTCGTCTGACACACGTGAGATGTGTACATATCCTGGAATATCGATTCCTTCAATCTCGCAAAGTAGGCCATGACGAGCATCAATACGTTTAACAGTAATGGTGTCGAACGAGCGGCCAATAGGAATGGCTTTTTCGGGGTAAACTTTAGATCCAATCTCTGCCTCTGTGGTGTTAGGCTGAGTCAAGCCCATGACATGTTTAGCAGTGGAAAGTCCGATCTTTGTGGGATGGCTTGCCAAATCAATGTATAGAACTCTAGCCTTGATTTTGTCATTAATTTTGATAACTTCCTCCAGTTGTTTCTTTGATTCAATTATTCCATGAGCTGTGTGGAAATAGTCGATTGTAGCGTCGAAATGGCCCATAAACTTGCATACAGCCCCAATATCCTGAATCTCTGTGACATGCGCTTCGACGACGTCACCGGGCATGATTGATCCGATCTCCGAGAAAGAAAAGTTGTCAGCAAGCTGGAGATTTGTAGCGAAAACAAGAGGTATGAATGATAAAAGATAAAGAAAAGGGAGGATTAGGCTTGAAAAATAGATAGATTTATAAAAAAGACAAACAACAAAAGTTCATATGAAGGTTTTACGTACAGTGGCCCTAGAAACCTTCAAAGAGTCGACGGTAAGTTGAACAATCTTCTTGTTAGACTCAACTGACAGGACACTAAAAGTGAGAACTTGACCCACAGACAATGGCTTATCATTGTTCTTGATGCGTTGATACATTTTTGCTTCAGAATTTTTTAGGAATCCATGCATGCCATTCATTCCAAACGTGACGATATAACCGTGATCCTCAATGCTTTGAATAGCCCCAGAAATAAGCTATGTTCGCAGATTCATGTCACGAAAAAAAAAAAAAAAAAAAAAAGTTAAAGTAATCTAATGGCATGATATCCAATTGAATAACGGCATATCCATTTTAAAAAAAGAATACAGAGGATTAAAGCTTTGATGCATCGCATACCGTTCCTGATGAGATATCAACAGGCTTAATTCCCGCATTGACGATAAATGGCTTCATGCTCAAAAAGATCTTGCGCCTATGTTTATCACTACCGGACGCTGCGGCACCACCAGAAGCACCCTGTTGCAATCCAATAATGACGCATTGGATCCACTGTCCCACAAAAAAATAGTCATTCAGGTCTGGGAGGCTATCTCTTGATTCCTGAATCAATTCATCGGAGATTTCTGAAATGTTCAAAAATCCAATGAGGTTGTTTGGAAGAGCAACGACCAACTCTGGCAAGTTATCCCGTCCGTGTGTGATCTTGGTAATGCATCCAAGTAGTTTTGTGCCTTCAATAAGACGCTAAAATCACAAAGATATCAGCCGAAAAGAAAAAATAAAATCATCTTTTCCCTCTACACATTATAGATCAACTAAAGGAGAAAAAAAAAAGCCTTCCTGCCAATTGTAGTGCAAATATACCTTAAAGGACAAGATCTCAACTCTATGCTTCTTGTTATCGAATGTATTTTCAAAATTAACGGGGGCAGATTTCTTCATAGATTTATGTTTTTTCTTGGGATGTCCTGTATCTGAGCTTTTTGAAGTTTGTGCTCCAGATTCCTGTGGAAATAAATACGAATTAATAGTCAAGTTTTGAAGCAGCACAATTGAAAAATTAAAAAAAAAAAAAAAAAAAAAAAAAAAAAGACTTACAGAGAAAAGCGAGCTATCCACTTGATGAGCGATCTCTTTATATTCAAGTGGAGTAAGCCCCGTAGCACCACCACGAGGAAAATCCTCTTCCTCTTTCTGTTTACGCTTTGTCACTGGCGCCTTGTACTCTTTTGATGACATGTCTGTTATAGGTATTTAAGTGAAGTATAATAAGAAATAAAAATAAAAAAAAAAAAGAATTTATACAAGAGAGAATAGGCTAAATGAATAAATGAATATGAGAAATGAATGACAGCTCTGACGGTAGTGTCTTCAATAGAGGGAAATAGAAAGTGTCGTTTGTTACTACCCGCAGAGACTGACGAGAGGACAAAGAAGAGTTAAAGCTTTTTTTTTTTTTTTTTTTTTTTTTTGAAAAATAAATATGTGACGACTTATCAAGATGGGTATCACAGTCGCATAGTGGCTTGTTTTTGACCCATTGCTCTCATTGCGGAATTGCTTGACACGACTTCGGCTAGAATCACTGCATTGAGGACAACGGAGCTTGATTGCTGGAAAAATAAAATAAAAAAATAAAGGGAACAAAATGGCCAGCCCGATGGATTTCTTTGAAATGTTATTGGAGAACAGTCTCAACAATGAAGGCGCACCGACTGTTCCTGGAGATAACAATGGAGACCCAGGAGCGTTCATGAACCTTACTCAAGGGCAATATGAAACCCTCATGGCGCTTTATCGCGATGTGGATCCTGACCTTGCAACAAAAGTGCCTATCTTATACCCTGAACTGGCACGCAATTTTGCGAAGCACCATGAGGATTGCCAGTCAGAGCTATTCAAACTCAGATGGGGCCCAAAGAAATATGTAAAAGAGCTGGAGTATCTATGGGAGAGCCTCCACAAAGTCGGTCAAGAATTTGCCAACAATGAATGCGATACCGAAAAGACTCGCAAACGCCTCAAATTGAAGCCACCGGGTACTCCAATGGATCAGCTGAAGAACGTCGAAGAAGTCATGGACCTTGGCATGCTCTATGCATGTTTGTCTGCTAATTCAAATGTGTCTTTATTGACTCTGCCTCACTTCCGAGAGGGCAAGGCCTATTACGACTACGCAATCGAAAAATTTAAGCATTCATGGGCGGCATTGCAAGTAGGGTCCCTATACATGGCAGAGTTCAAAAAATTCAACAGGAAACATTGTTTGGAAAGCGAGGATCCAGAACGGATAGCTTTTGAATATAACCTTAAGGCGGCAGAGCTTGGTAACCCCACGGGTATGTACAGAGTAGCCAAGTATTACGAAGAGAAGCTAGGTAAGCTAGATAAAGCAATGGAATGGTACGTCGAAGCAGCTAGTCATGGCTACCCAGACTCGGCCTACAAGCTGGCAATGCTCTATCAAGAGGGTAGACCTGATGCCACCCCCAAGGTAGAGGTTGACCTTGATAAGGCGATTGGTTATCATATCCGTGCCCTGGAATATGGATATGGTGCGTCCGGAACTGAGCTTGGACGTTTTTTCTTCCGACTATCAACTGATGATGAATTCCGTCAACAGTTCCCTACGACAAGTCAATATTATTCTTCGGACCCAAAGAAATACTTGGAGATGGCGATTACACATTTGAACGAGTCAAACCATCTGCTGGAGGTCGAATCGCTTCAATTACTAGGAAAAATCTACAGTACAAAGGAGTACGGACGATATGATATTGAGAACTCTCAGAACTTGTATGAGCTGGCGTTCATATCGGCAAACGGCAGTGAAAAATCTTATGAACTCCTTTGCAACATCCTTCGAGTCAAGAAAGCCGGCATGCAAGTAGAACCTCAGCAAGTAGACTCTCTGGGACTTCGGAAATGCGGGGCCCGGGGCTGTGAAAACAAAGAGATAAAAATAGACCAGTTCCAACGATGTGCTAAATGCAAAAAGGTGTTCTACTGCTCGCGCAACTGTCAAGTTGAGGATTGGAAGGCGCGCCACAAGCTGCACTGCAAGAAGTGAAAAAAAATACAAAAGGCATTTTATACATGTCCCTTTATGAATAAAATGTATGAATAAATCTTATAACCTTCTATTGTTTATCTGACGAAGTGTAAATGTTAATTGTCTTTTGTTTATTCGACGAATGGTTTTGAAAGCGCCACCAACTTTAAGTTTCTTTTAGTGTGAGGGTCGGTCAGCGCACAAACCGCTAAAAGTACTGTGGATTTGTCATTCATCAATGGATATTGACCCTCTCAGTGCGGACAATTTTTTATAAAAAAGGCAGTGCCACGACATGGCTGGTAATCTTTAGTTAAGGCAATCTTTAGAATTATGATATCGTCATTTCAGGAAAACTGTGGATTGCAACGCAACAGGTCGTTTTTCAGCTGCACAGACCTGCCTAAAATCCAGGCACACTCAGGGCAATATCTAGTCTTTGCACTGCCAAATGATGTCTTTATCCATTAGCAGGACGTAAGAAAGTGTATTTAGGCATATCAGGAGCATAGATAATGGCGATCAAATATATTACATGTGAACGACGTCTCAGTAATGTTTGTTCACAATGACAGTGCTTTATACTCTTTGTACGAAAACTTTTCATGTCTCCAAGATTCGAGGAGTGACTATGGTGCCACAAGGTCCATGTGAACTTTACAAATGTCTTCCCTTTGCAGACAACTGTATCTAGGAACACCAAGTCCTAAAGAGCAAGAGAAGCAATGAGGCAAAAATCTGGTTCTATTTAAATATTTCCTACTCAATTATGAGACCAAAGCAGATTGGACCAATAGGCGGACTTTGTTTAAAAAAGACTCCCTTTTTCTTTTCCACCCCCGTAGCAGAAGCCGGTGACGTGAAGCTGTTGGCTGACTGATGACAGTTCTGCTTAAATAGATAGCTATTCTTGCACCGTGTGGAGGTGCCATCCGTATTCATTATACATGCGCCCACCAGGCTTAGGATTGAGCAGACAAAGTTCGGTTCGAAAGGAATTGGTTAATCCTAGCAAAAAAAAAAAAAAAAAAAAAAAAACTAAGTTATCCCGCAATAATAAATAATCATTTGCCACGCCTCTCATTTCTATTTATTCATTTCCTTCGTCATTCACTTTTTATAAACATCTGTCATCTGAACTTTTCTTTTTTTATTCCTCTTCGTATTCAGAAACATTCATCAACACACATCTTTTTCATACTCGAATCATCCTCATATCCACATTTACACACCATTACCACTTTTCCTTTGTATTTGTGTTCATCCACTTTTTCTTATATCTTACTCTTTATTCCTTAGCGGTAGGTCTTATATTAATTGACTTTTATCATCACTCCAATCAATTCATGTAGCCTTTCACCTTCCTTGTCACAGTCATTCCTGTGTCAAGGAGGGAAATAATAATGACAATGATTATTAAATCACACATGGATGATTAATTCTCTCAATGAAGGATACACATGCACTTTTTTTAAACTTTTTTCCTTCCAATGTTCAGAGTGGATGATGGTGTTCAATTTGTGTCCATACTGGAGGCTTGGGTGTCATTCGTACCCTGAATACATTGGTCTTTTGCATTTTTTTAAAAAAAAAAACAAATGGGTGACCAAGCTGTTGTTTTTGCATGGGCCGCATCAAATCATCAAATGTGGCATTATTATTATTATTATTTTCTTCATCATTGCGGTTTTGATCCAAAAAGGTATTTTTAAGCAATCGCAGATAAAGATCAGCTGATCCGATGTCCACCCCCTCGCCCATTCATTCTCGTCGCTCTCACACATACTCTCTCTCCTGTAATCCCATTCTGTCACATCGTCACCTCTTTTACCTCCTTTTGGTGTTCTGGATTTTTCTCTTCTTTTCAGCTTTATACAAAAAAAAAATAACATTAAGCATGGATATTTTTTTAGCTTGAGCTTTTTTTTTGAGCAAAGATGACCTGCAGTCAGGCATTTCTTATTAAAAGAGGATTTGTCCATGGTTGAAACGTGATACTTCATAACACCAATGTTTCAAAACATATCTGAACAAAGTATGGAGCAGATCAATCCAAATGAAATACATTGCCAGATACAGTCGTTAGTTCTCCAGAAGCGAAAGAGAGAATGGAACTTTAGATGAATGCTATCTGTGTGTATATCATTTCTAGTTTGTCTATGACGATGTATCCAGGTCTAAGTCGAATGTGGGCAATGGTTGAATTGAGTGAATTTTTATTTCTCTTGCGTGTCTCCTTTTTTGCTTCCGCTTTTTATTGTTTCTTTTTCCTTTCCTCCATCCAACTCTCTTTTGCCAGTCCTGATTCTTTTTTCAGTCTCAATTTATCCCTCTTTTTGTATTTTATCATCCTTTGATCATCTAATCACTCATCTGCACTTCCACATCTCTCATCTCCTGTAATACTAATAATTACTGCATCAATCGTCTGTCCCAACACTCCCGATATATCAAAGTATTAGCAGATAATAACGTATTTGCTCCTAAGCGAGGTCAAAAACTTAATCGACAGTATCTCGACACCAATCAATGACCATGGAATTGAGAGTGGGCAACAAGTACAGAATAGGCCGTAAAATCGGTTCTGGCTCCTTTGGCGACATCTATCTTGGTAAGCAAAAAAATAATAATTTTATAAAACTTGTATCGGCAATAAGTATAGTTTTTAGTGTGTATTGTCCACACAGGAATCTCTTGGCAATGATGCCGCTCTTTTTTTTCCCCGTCCTTTAAGCTCAAACAATTGCACCGCCAAATCACTGTTGTTCTTGCATTTATCACGCATAAATTACCACTTGAAATGAGATATGTACTTTGCTACTATCCTATGGCTCATCTTGGCTCAGAATTATCGCTCCAAAGCATGCGTTTTCAACATTATATGTTTGACGCATGCTTTCTAATTACTACTCCAGCCAATTTATCGAGAAACAAGGTGGTGTAGAGCCACTTCAAGCTAGTTTCTTACCCATGAGTGCGATATAAGTTTGCATTTTAAATGAAGTAATAGGAGAGCACAACAGGCCGAAAAAAGGATGTGGGTGGCCCATGTCTTGCTCTTCATTCGATCCTGCTCTTTTTTTTTTTTTTTTTTTTTTTTTTTTTTGGTCGATTTAATTTCAGTCTTTTATCGTAGCGAGAAATATGAAGACGTCTCCTGAGACCATACTTCTTGCCTCCTGGTTCATTCTCATGTCGCTCTCTGTTTTTTCATTATCCTCGGGTTCAATTTTTTTAGGGGTCATTCTATCATTTATTTTCAACAAACACTGCAATATTTTTGTTAACACAACAATCGATCGTTTGAAACATTTTGTAAATTATTTAGGCACAAGTATTGTTAATGGCGAAGAAGTGGCCATTAAATTGGAGTCCATCAAAGCAAAGCATCCACAGCTGGAATATGAGGCACGAGTATATAAGACATTGGCGGGCGGAATCGGCATCCCTTTCATCCGCTGGTTCGGAACGGAGTGCGATTATAATGCTATGGTGATGGATCTCCTCGGACCAAGTTTGGAGGATCTGTTCAACTTTTGTAGTAGAAAGTTTTCGCTAAAGACTGTTCTTTTGCTTGCCGACCAACTGGTATGTCCCCTCCTCTTTTTTTTTTATGCTTGTAATACTCCTTTCCGGCACAGCTCTAGCCTGCATGTTCATCAGCAACGGAATGGAGCTATTGGGAATACCAAATGTTCGATTATTTTGGACTCAGATATTTCAGATAATTTCTTTGTTGTCTAAAGAAAGCATAATCTGATTGGTTATCATTACTCACTATTGAACGTACATAGATCTCACGAATTGAATATATTCACTCCAAGAACTTCATCCATCGTGACATTAAACCTGATAACTTCTTAATGGGTATCGGTAAGCGTGGAAATCAAGTTTATGTGATTGACTTTGGTCTGGCCAAGAAATACCGTGATCCGAAGAGCCACCTGCACATCCCTTACAGAGAGAACAAGAACCTGACAGGAACAGCTCGTTATGCAAGTATCAATACCCACTTGGGAGTCGGTATGTGTGTATTTTTTTTCTTTAGCTTTTTCGCTTTTGTGTTTTGTTGCGCTATGATGAATGAAGCCTATTTCTCACTTCACTCTTGCTGATGGTCGCTTATATATATATATCTTCTGTTTATAAAAATCAACAGAACAATCACGCCGTGATGATTTGGAGTCTTTGTCATATGTAATGATGTACTTCTGCAGAGGCTCATTGCCTTGGCAGGGATTAAAAGCTGCGACCAAGAAACAAAAGTACGATCGCATCATGGAAAAGAAGATGACTACTTCAACCGACATACTATGCCGTGGTTTCCCTCAGGAATTTGCTATCTACCTGAATTATGTTCGTTCACTTCGCTTTGATGACAAACCTGACTACTCTTATTTGCGCAAGCTGTTCCGCGATCTGTTTGTCCGTGAAGGCTTCCAGTACGACTATGTCTTTGATTGGACCATTTACAAATATGTATGTATCAACTGTTCTGCCAATCATGGCGACGATTTTTGTTAGACGAGCGATCATAATATTTCGGTCCTAATTAATTTACAAATAATAATAATAATAATAATAATAATAATAATAGGAAAAGGAGAGCACACGCAGTCAGCAGATGGCGATGCAGCAGCCTCAGGTCCAGCAGCAAGTACCTCCACAACAGGAGCCTGTAAGGAGATATATATTCACTACGTTTTTTTTCCCTTTTTTTCATTTTTTACAATATTGACTGATTTGTAATTGTGGATTTATAGAAGTACCAGACATATTACCAGCAACCTGTGAGAGCATTGAGGACCGATCAGCAAGATATGACTTCCCAGCCAGCCATACCCATCATGCATGAGCAGCCACGCCGTCGCCTTCAGGTTCCTCCTCCGCAATCTCAAGGGATGCCTCAGTCAGGACAGGATCAAGGCAACGATCCACGAGTAAACCCATCGGACCGAATGTAAGTTTAGAGTTTAGATAAATACATGTTTCTTCGTTAAGGAAAAGCTACGATGGATTTTTATATAGTGCTTCGTGCTCAAAAGCATGCATACCCTCTCCCCAGCAAAAGGCAATGAAACACTGATTATTTCTGGAACAATGGCAAAGTAAAGACAACATTCAATAGCCCTGCAAATGTTGTCGGCTCCAAAGCTCTACTGGGCTAGGGTCGGGAAAACATTTTATATATATATATATATTTTAAGCTCCTCAACCGGTGCCATCAAGGCTGAGAATGAATAAGCTCATCTATACGACAATCAACAGCCAATGTGCTCTTTCAATCACCTTTTTTTTTTTGTGATTGGCGACATACACGGACGTGTTTAGGAATTCGATTACCAAATTAAGCACATAAACTCACATTACTATTCTTTGTTATTTACTTTGATAGGTATCAGCATTGAGCTGATGTATAACGGGAGGAGGATGAGAAGAAGGGAGGAAGAAGGAAAAGTCTGTTCTTTGAGGAGAAAACATCATCCAAGCAAAATGCCTTGAACCTGCCACCACGGCATTTTTCTTTTATTTTCTTATATATATATATATATATTTTTTTTTTTTTCTGCTAAAGATCCATTTCAGCAAGAAACCTCTTTGAAGGATTATGGAGGTGTATCACAAGCATATCTCATTACTGCTGCCATTATCATTTATACAAATGGGGTCGCGGACATCACATTCATATATATACACATGGACACACAAACAACTTTAAGAACAGCAATCATCATCGGCAGAACAAAACAGATGGCAGAAAGACACGGCCACGCGACAAGGACGTTACATCTTTTTCATCCTCTTTTTCTTTTTCTGTACCTTCTACTCTTTGTCGCTCTTTCCTCTTATTTCTCTTTTACAATGTCTACTGCTATTCTTCATTTTTCTTTCTTTCTTTCTTTTTTTTTTTTTTTTTTTTTTTTTTTTGATCTTTGTTTCTTGCTGCTTTCTTTTAACATTAACGACTCTAGAAAATAAGAAAAATGCAAGTAGGAAGGAAAGACTTTGGAATGAAGAGGAAAATAATAAAGAAAAAATTAATAATAATAAATAAAATGCGGACCATTCTACCATCAATAAAAAGCATATCGTTTTAATATATTGAATGCGGTGAGTATCTTTACTAGTCGTCAAGGTGCTTTATTCGATTCAACGTGAATAGATAATAAGATAAAAAGAGATTGAAAAAGTTGACAGGGATGAAGAAGGAGGTGAGAATCTGATATATCACCGATATATGGTAATCACGGAATATGAAAAGCAACATCATCGTAGTTCGTTGGCACATGCACATGGACCCGACAACTTGGATTTTTACTTTGCTCCGCGGGCTGACAGTTGGTAAGATTTGATGCAGCGCGTCGTAAACAATCGTGGTCGAAAGAGAGACCCATGGACCTGCCATCTTCCCTTCATCCCCTACATGTGATGGATAAATTTGTTCTTCCTGTCTTCCTGCAATCTATATCCACACCCATACCACAAAGGAAAGAGAAAAGCATAGAAAGTTATTTTGCTTGAGTTGTGGGAAAAAATCAAGGTTGTTTGCTCCGGCACACTCATAATTAAGTTATAAACTTTGGTCCACTGGCGCACTTTATATAAGAAAAAGTAGTAAAGATTGATCAAGAATTAGATGGAATAAATACTCAATTGTAGGTAAATGAACATCCATTCAAACATTAGCATGGTTTCATAACTGTTTCCCATATATATTCGCCATTCACTCGCAAGAACATGGATAGAGGATCAAATTCAATCATCCAATGATTTGAATGATTTGGTCATTCATTTGTGCACACAATTACATTTACACGTATTTGTGTTTCTTGTCCTTGTGTTCAAATTACTGGAAAACTGGCTGGATGCGATGTGTACGTGCTTTTTATCTCGTCTATCTGGGATATGGGATTGGACATGCAGAAGGCAACTTTTCCGTACCAATTTTTTTTAATCAAGACGCATGGCTAAGCACTTTCTTTCTGTCACGACAGCTCCATCAGACTCACACGCTCGTACAAAGACACATGTTCACATTTTCACACACATTTAAACAGAACGACTGCTTCTCTTCACTGCTTCTTTCTTCTTCCTTATTCTTGTTGGTCTCTGTCTCTCTTTCTTTATTCCATCTTCTATTTCGAGGGCCTGTCTCAGCTCTGTTACACACTGCTCCTTTTTTTTTTCTTCACTCGTGTTTTCGTCTCCTCGTCCTTGACACGACTCGATTCAACCCTGCTTTTTTTTTTTTTTTTTTTTTTTTTTGTTTAATCAACTCACTCTTCCTTTCTCCTTTTCTCTCTTTACTCTTCACTCTTTCCCAATCTTTCTTTCCTCCTTCTGTTCCATTCGTGTTCTATCTCGCTCTCGCTTCTTTTTATCTTTTTTTTTTTTTTTTTTTTTTTTCTATCAATCCCTCATTTCTCTTTTATCTTTCGCTCAGGGCACGTCCAAACTTCTCCTTGACTGATAGTTCTGATAGTTCTAATTCAAACAGACTATCTTGTTTTGCTTGCCTTGTGAACCTTATCCTCCCTCTCGAATAGCCACAAAAACATTTCTTCTTTGATTCTGCTTGCACTCACTCTTCACACTTTTCCCTTTTGTGTCTATCCTCTTCCTTTCTTTAGTACAAGGCAAGAAAAGAAAAGAAAAAGAAGAGACAAAATCTGTCCCCAACGCAAAGAACACATAAACAGATAGCCGTTGCTGCCAGTTGCCAAAGCAACAAAAGCAATTTAAGAGGATTTCATCAAGGCATTCAGGCATTATATTAGGGCAACCCTCTCATTGTTCTCACTCTCCCCTTTCTTTTTTTTTTTTTTTTTTTTTTTTTTTTCTCCTGCGCTTGCTGCACCTGCCCACATTTGTTCATGTACCCTTCTCTCTGCCCTACCACAACAGCATTACGCCCCTAGTCCTTCGAAGTCCGGCCACCTTGGTGTTTATCCACAAACACAAATCATATTAATCTGTGTCACACACTTTCCCGACTCCCAGCTCCAAAGCCTTTTTTGTTCCCTTTCACTAAGCTATGATCCCATATTTTCCTGCTGTATACATCGGACCCAATGGCGAGCAGTTCCCGGGATATGCCTCTCCGCAAATGGGTCTACCTTATGAACAACAACAACAACAATACCATCATTCACAGCAGCATCCTCACTCTCACTCACGTCAACAGCACCCTAGGTCATCTATACCTTCACACCAGCATCCACACCATCCTCATCCTCCGCAGTATCCTAGCCATCAGCATCACCACCCCCGTCCACAGCAACAGCATCCACACTCTCATCACACTCAAGGACAAGGCCAAGTCCCTATCCACGGACCTACTAGTACACCACTTTCATTTTCTGGGACAGCAGCACCCAAACCAACTCACTTATCTGAACAGTCCACATCTATGGTAATCGCCACCCCTGATATGCAGCAATTTGAGTCCTCGGTCCGGATGGAAAGTATCGGCTCCCCTAATCTATCTGGATCTTCCTCCGGTGACAAGAGTGACCAGGAAGGAGGTAAGCACAATCTCCGTAGAAATACGAGTACGGAAAAGATTAGTACCGAAATTAATACTAGCATTGCTAGTGCTGGTTCTGGCAGCAAAAGATCTGGAGACAACGGTCATCATCGCGTTAATTCAAATCTTCAACTTCGTATAGTGCCAGAAAAAAATCATGGTCTGGCGCCACCGACGACCAAAAAATCGACAGCATCCTCAAATCGCACAGGACCTCATCAGACGTCACAACGCCCAAATCGATTGCCCAACAATAGCTTAAACTCAAGATCCCAGAGTACAGCTGTTTCTACCACAACAACAAGCCCAATCACAACCACATCAACAGTAAAAGGGATGTCGTCCACTGACAGTTCTTCAATGGTCCCAGATACGGGTTCAGATGCTGATTCTCAATCCATAAATAATGTCAGCCATGCATCTGAGAGGAAACATAGAGAAGAAAGAAACAGCAACGGTACTGAGCAAAAAGAACAGGAAAGAAAACAGATCAAAGATGACGGCCATAACAAGGATAACGCAGATGATGGACCCAACACAACAATATTGCCTGAACCACATTGGTCACCTTCCGTATCATCTTCCACGACCTCACAGCAACAGCAACAACAGCAACAACAACAGCCGTTTATGCCATATCATTCTCCTTACCCTGGTCTACCTCAAAGTAGTTCACATTCAAATACTAGCCCCTTCGTATCTCCCTATCCTCATCGATCCAACCCAACGCCTCCATACTATCCTGCTCGACAGATGCCAGGTCAATCCAAACCATACTCTGGACAACAAGGGCAGGGACCTGGTGGTGTGCATGGCCCCATGCCGCTAATACCAGGACCTGGACATCCTAGCGAGTATGGCATACATGGCCCTCCTTTCTATGGTCCCAGTCTCACCCCAATGGTTCCTTCAGCACCTGGGCCTCGTCGTCCCATGGTATATCCTAGCCAAGGCACACATCCTCCAGGGTCAAATCCAGTCTCAGTCTCTGGGGGAGCTAATGGGAGCAATGCCATTGGTACTTCAAGTACAGGAGCTGGACCTGTAGCAGGACCTGTAGCAGGACCTGGACAGTCGTACTCTGGCCCTGGGGGGTTTAATAAGCCACCTTACCCAGGCCATGGATTCCCTCCACCCGATTATTCACAGCACCCAGGCGGTGGAGGAGGCGGAGGGCCCGGAGCAGGGTACTATATGACAGCGGAAGGGTGGCGACCGATCTCTGCTAACAATGCTGGACCCGCATTACAAAAGAAACCTAAAGAGCTAGATAAAGCCATGTGGGTAGGCAATGTACTAAACGACACCACAGTGGAAGAACTGGAAGCTATCTTTCAAGCTGAGCCCTCGGAAGCAGAAGGCGACATTCAGCATGATATCCCAGAAGTAAGTCCAAAAGAGAAACGACTCATAAAAATATCGCATGGACAGGCAATGCCTATAATGTTTTGATACAAGCAGACACAGCTTCGCATTATACAATGTCATATTGTCATATTGCTAACACGGTACCATCTCCACATAAAACTTTTTTTTTTTTTTTTTTTTTTTTTTTTTGAAATTAGAGTATATTCATCCTCCCCAAGTCCAACTGTGCATTTGTGAACTACTCGAGCCATGAAGCTGTTGATCGAGCGGTACGTCGGTTCCATGATCGAGAATTCAAAAACACGCGATTAGTCTGTAGGCCACGCAAGGATCCTGCTTCGTCTGAATCGGGATCGAATCGATTTCAGCAACACCAACAACATATTCATCAGTCAAGGCATTACCCACATCATCCACATCTACCACATACGCCCTATCTGCCGGATAATGGCATGGTGTACTATAGTCCTGATCCCCAAGTGATGTTTGCGCAACATATGGATAGCAAACCTCTTGATGATAGCAATGCACCTTCACTCTCCGTTCCTCGTCACTACAACCGCCAACAACATCCTCATCCTCACCAGCCTCATCGTAACGCGTTGGAGAACCAAGCAAGGATTGAACGAGCACATGTGGGTAGAAGCTCCATGTCTGACAGTAACTCCGGCGTTGGCATTGATATTATAGACATGTCTATTACTGAGAGAGAATTATCACCAACTACCAACAAGCCTGGTAGTAATAGTAGCTCCAAAAAAGCACGCTCGCCATCAGCATCCAAGGATTATGCAGAAGCACGGTACTTTATCCTCAAGAGCCTCAATGAAGAAGATCTAAAGCTCAGTGTACAATATGGTCTCTGGGCGACACAGGAACATCTCGTACCAATTTTGAATGAGGCATTTGCTGTAAGTGCAAAATAAGATTTAACGGATTGACCCCTTCCTTTTTTTTTCTTTGTTTGTTACGCAGAAAACTTTACCTCTTTTATTTTGCCAGTTACCACATCATTCGAAATGAGAGATTGGACAAAAGATGCATCGCATCCAATCAACGATTTATCGGTGGATATACTAATCACTATCTATTTATCCTGGCCTCTGTTTGTGAAATGAGTAGAACACGAAAAACGTGTACCTTGTGTTCAGTGCGAACAGGAGCGGTGAATTTTTTGGCTATGCTCGGTAATATAACAAAAGGTTTCCCATGGCATAGAACAGACACTGAAAAAAAAAAAAAAAAAAAAAAAAAAAAAAAAAAAGTTAACGCTTTTGTTATATATATTTATATATCTATAGGATGATGGACTCCATATCGATTGAAAAGGAAGCTTCTCTCTTGTCCTTGCCTGGAGAAATATGGAAGCCTGTCTTTGATCAACCCTTGTCACCTGAGATGAAAGCTGCAATGCTCGATGAGATTGAGCAAGCAGAGAAAGAAGGGCGCAAGATTACAAATGAGGAGGCGGAGGCCATTGCACGGGCCTCTACAACTACTAAATCTTGGGGGATACGGTTTCCTATTCACTGGATCCAAGTGTAAGTTTTTTTTTTTTTTTTTTTTTTTTTTTATTTTTATAAAAAAAAAAAGCCTACCTTATAAATAAATTACTATTAAATACTGCTCGTTTCCTGTTTCAGTCATAGAGTTCCTTTTACAAAAACAGCGCACATGCTCAACCCTTTGTATGAAAACCGTGAGATCAAAGTATCCAAGGACGGAACGGAGGTGGCGGCATCAGTTGGTGAGCAACTCATTAAATTGTTTCAGAAGCCTAGCACTAGCAATGAAAGGAATAGTAACGACAACACGACTACAACCTCAACCGCAGCTACCACCGGTAATATCACCGCTTCTAGTATTAGTAACAGCACGAATAGCGGTCGGCATCGTGGAAGGAGTGGAAGAAATGGCGCCGGTAGTAGACCAAATTCTGAAGCTGGAGGAAGTCGGCGGTCAAGTGTTGCTGGAGACTCAGCTTCCTCTACATTAGCGCCCCTACAGTCTCAACGAAGTGCATCATCAAGACGGTCAAGTATTATGAGCACAAGATCAGCTGGGTCGGGAGGCGGTGATAGAAGAGGATCCTTGGATCCGTCTCGAACACAAGGAAGCACTAGTGGAGGTAGCTGGTGCAATAAGAACATGGGGTCGCCACTGCATGCGTCGAACAGAACACAATCCGGAGGCGATGGAAGCTACCCCTACTCAGCCGGCTATCGTTCATCATCACGCCATGGAGGTCATTACGGATCGCACAGTAGCCACAGCTCTAACACGTCTCAGGGGCCCTATTCATCGGATCATTGTCCTGATCAGCAACGAACAGGTGGCTGGGGGCCTGGAAAACACAACTACCGCAGTGGAGGCCCTGGAGGATATGGAGGGCATGGATCGATGCATCCAAGCACTTATTACCATCAGGAACGTAAAGGTGGTCATGGACCACAAAGTGGTGGTAAATATGGAGGGCGCTATCATCCTACATCGCAAAATCATGGCAGTAGTGGAAATCCTAATGGAGGATATGATCAACATCAGCCACCATTTCATTCCTCTCACGCGCCACGGCGTAGTCATCATCAACAACCACAGCAACAGCAGCACAGCTACTCAAACTCCTTTAGACCATCGTCGTCGTCGTCGTCTCTAACATCTCCTGGTGCAGAACAAGGATATAGCAATAGGCATGGTTCAAATGGAGGAGGCAACAACACATCACCTGCAGGACCCGCGTCGCCAGGAAATAATATTAATTCTACCCAGCAGCAACAAGAGTACCCAGGCGGATCAAGGAGAGGAAAGAGCCCCCACTCCCAGGGAGTTCAGGCTCCAGGAGGGAATGTCCACATAATTCCTCAGCACAGCTCCAATATGTACACAGGACAACCAGGTCTGCCGCCGCCTCCAGGCGCAGGATATCACGTACCATTCCCTCCTCACGGATATCCAGTGATGCCCCGATATATGGGATACCCATATGTGCCTGGCCCCGGCCCATTTGTTCATGGCCCCATGGCCTGGCATCCGGGTCACCATCTAGGACATAGTGGAGCGCCTATGCCAGCAGCTGGGATGATCCCTGGCCCACACCCCACAGCCATTTCTCCTGGCATACCCCCCGGTGAAGTACATGGAATAGGGATGGCACATGGGATGGAAGGAATGGTACCGTTGATCGGATTTGATGGCCTGGCCTACGGGTATATCCAAGCAGAAGACATCTACCCTCAGGTAATGGGAGGATCATGAAGCAGAAGAGAAAGAATTTATTATATTGATACATGGATTGCAGCGAATTCATTCGTATTATTTCTCTTTAACTTTTATATATAACTAGCCGATGTTTGGATACGGGTACGTCCCACATGATCCCCATACACACGAAATAGTTGAAGTAGAAGACATGGCTGAAAGTGATGACGGCATTGTCCCAGATGAAGGACAGTCCAAACAAGAAGAGCAAGGAACAAAAGATCCCGATGAGGACGGATCTAGTGAACGTGCAGTTGAATCATCCAAGTTGGAGGAGAGCCTTCAAGCTAACAGCTCTAATACGCCCACGCTGGCCTTAAGCGCGAATACGGATACAACGACGATGACTATTTTTACTGAAGCTGAGGTTGAGGTAGAGACAGAGATTGTAGGGGATGAGTCAATAGCCAGGCAAAACCATCGGTCACCCCGATCTGTTTCTTCATCCGCGCTCTCATCCACCTCTACATTGGCACCACCGCCAGGAAATTCTGGAAACCACAGACGACATGACAATGACAATGACAATGACAATGACAATGACAATGAGGATAGCGATGATAAGGACAGCGAAAATGATAATGGTGGTGAAGGTGGTGAAAATGAGAATAAAGATAAGAAGGCTGAGAAGAATGGCATGAAGTCCAAGATAGTTGAGAAGGAAACATTTGTATTTGGACAGGTAACCGTAAGCGCAGTAGATGAGAAACGTTCAGGACATGGACAGGAGATGCCGTTTGTGGGAGTCGCTAGTGAATAGGATAGCAAAGAATTCCTTGCACATTAATTAAAATATATATATACATGTATATTTTTATAAAGAAGCCCGACCATCCTTCTTTTTATCTCTGTCTTGTTGCTCTCTTTTTCTCTTGTCTACGTCTTTTCTGGTCATCTTGCACAAATCAGGATAATCTTATTCTTCTGGAAATAAAATAGCTGTAACATTATCGGTAGACTAACTAAGCTATCACTGATTCCTTTGCTTTCCCTCACTTAGAACGCTTCTCACTCTTTTCTTTGCACTTTTATTGATGGACTGCATTATCTATTATTCACAAGTGTACCACTGTTTCTATGAATTGGGGTGTTAAAAAGCAGGGACGGTGATTTCGTTTGCAGGAAGGTAATACTGCATACAACTTTTGAATGTGAACTTTGGCAGGCTGGCATAGAAAGCGTCATATTTCTTGGCCAAAGCATCCTTCAAGGACCGGACGCGTTTATGGCTCTTTTTGTTGGAGAATGCCTTGTTATCAAGGTGCTCGCTATGAATCACCGACCAAGGATCTCTACAAGTAGGACCCTTGCAGGTCCTCAAGACGTTCAACAGAGCATCCAGGCGATCTAACACATTAAAAGGAGTCTCCTCGTAAATGTTTTTCACCTGAAAGGGATCCTTTACCAAATCGTAATATTCCCTTTCACCGGTGCACCAAACTGTGTACAACAGGTTGTAGCCTTGACCAATCAACCTAACGGACTTGTAATCGTTGGTGTTGAATCGACCGATGGCATCCTCAAAGAAGGCATTGCTCCAGAATTCGACTGCGAAGGCCTCTGTAGGCTGATCCTTTCCATAGATGGCCTTGTTCTCCAAAACTGGGATCGAATGAGCATCCAATTCATCTGGGATAGGTAGGTCCGCCAACTTCAAGACCGTAGCAGGGAAATGGGTATGTGTGGCGACAGCGCTGCTCTTCTTACCCTTGGCGATGCCAGGTCCACGGATAATGAAAGGAATGTTTGTATCCTCTTCATAAGGAGTTTGTTTCCCTGCATACATGCGATGGGTCCCTAAATGATAGCCATTGTCGGTAGTATAGACGATGTAGGTATTATCGAGCTGCCCATTGTGTTCTAGACGCTTAATTACGCGCTCGACCAATTCATCTGTGGCTTGAAGAGATTGAAGGCGAGCACGATATTTAGCGTCTATCCGATCAATCTCAGAGTCTGGCAATTTGGGGAGAGCACCGATCCAAGAAGGCTTGTCGTTGACATCAGGGTTGAAATTGGGTACGCGTGGAACTTTAACGTTTTTGAATAAGCCCTCATGACGCTTTGCAGGGATAGGAGGTGTAAAGAGAACGCCAGAAGTACCATTGACCCAGACTTCATCATGAGGAGCTGTAGGGGAGATAACGAACAAGAAAGGCTGAGATTTGTTTTGAGCCAATCCATCCAAGATAGCAATGGATTTATCAGAAATGATGTCTGTCTGATAAACACCGGAGTGAGCTTCAAGAGGTCCATCATTTGTTGAAAAGGTTGGAGAATAGAATGTATAGATATTAGGTTCAACGAGAGGTTCCCAATGGTCCTTATCGAACCCCTTGGGGGCATGCTTTAGGGTTGGAGAGACACCGTTAATAAATTTCCCAATGTAATTATTGGAATATCCCTGCTTTTGCAACCAAGCCGGAAGCCAGTTCTGATCCAGGTTCTGGGCCACGAATTTAGTGTAGGAACCTTTTAGAACCAATAAATAAAAAACAATATTAAAATAAGGCATTGATTCGTATGCTACAATCCTATCTATCCTTTTTTTTTTTTTGCCTCTTGACATACCATGTGGAGGCGCTTCATCCGTGACGTTATGATTATGTGCAAATTGTCCGGACCAGAGTGAGACACGGCTAGGACAACACATGGCAGTAGTGGTGTAATAGTTAGTGAACTCTGTGCCTTCATCCCGGATATATTTCTGGACCAGTGGTAAATAGTCCAGGGAGTTCATGTGGAGGTCTTGGTCATCCGTCAAGAAGACCAAAAAGTTGGGTTTTTGATTATGGTGATCATGGCCACGTCCATTGCGATCAGAAGATTGGGATTGGACAGCAACGAGTTTCGAAAAGGAGAGGATGACTATAGGGGCCAGGAAGGCGATAGAGGTCTTCATGACTTATGTTAAAAGATTAGTTAGGAAAAGGAAGAGTTTATTACTTGGCTTTGTTGCCAGGGATAACGAGGCTCGGATTCTAGTATTTATAAAAAAAAAAAAAAAAATGAAATGAATGAAAGAACATGGATTTCACTTCCATGAAACAATTATCAGATGGATTAGTCCTTGAATCCTAATCAATAAAAGCGCTTCATGACTGTATATTTTCCGAAGACTTCTTTAGGCACTGTACATGGCGTCAAGGAAGGGGGGCACGACGATGGAATACCCTTTGTAATTAATGAGCCGATCTGGTTTGTCCAGATCGCGCCATCTCGCCCAAAAATTTTTCAAATTATACTTGAACCCAGGAAAGGATAGGAACCGATAATGTAAAAAAGAGCGAGCCACAACGCAAATGATGCCTTTTATATGAAAAATGGGTCTGCGAGCATGGCGCTATAGTCGCGAGAGCCAATTATAAAAAAGATAACTCTATTTCTCTACACGCAACATCTCTTGTCCATTAGAGCAGATCTGTTTTCAGAGACATTTTGACATTCCTTAATTTTATGGCATCATTTTCCTTCTTAATTTGCATATGTCCGCCGCATGGAGCAGTGTTGCGAAATTTAGTCTTTATTACTCTCCCACCCATATATCCAATCAGGCTAGATCCTGATGAGCTCCTTCAAGGAAAATGTCATCCGTATTGGAACCAATGTTATTTTTATTTTATTTTAATTGATTTATTATGTCAGCGTGTGTGTAATAGAGGTTTACCACTAATCTTTTTTGCGTTCTTTCAATTTGGATAGGGAAATAGGGTCACGATGCAAGTTTTACCCTTGCTCTGGTCGAAGACAAGTGATTTTGAGTTATGAGGCTTTACTCTCTGAGACTTGAGTTTCCTTTTTTTTTCCCGTTAGTGACAGGGTCCATGCAAGGAGAAAGATTTCTCTTATTTCCGAAACTTGGTTTAATAAGAAATGTCTTTCAGATAGAGACTCATATCGATATCTCTTTTAGAGAGGTTTCTGTCAATTATAAGCCTACTACTTAATAAACCTTGTGTAATTGATGACGGAGTTACCAAAAATGGCATCGGTATGAGCCTCTACTTTCAGATACAAGTTTCTCTAGGCTCGTACCCATCCCTCTTCACTTTATAAAGGTGACAGGAAATTCCATTTCCTTTTTGAGTCACCTAAAGTGAAGGGGCTGGGAAAAAATCTTCGCTTATTAGCTGGTAGCTCAAAAAGGAAATAAATAATACACTTGAGGGAATATTCTTCCGTATATGCAAGGGACAGAACTAGTGGCTGTATTTTTTATAAGTATTTATACTTATAAAAAATTCATGCACAATAATAATTTTTTTTTTTTTTTTTTTTTTTAATATCGCGTTCCACCTCCAATCCCCTTCACAGTCTGAGTCCTGAGCTCAAGGTGAATATTCTATTCACAATTGCTGCATGCCATAGTTTTCTAGCAAAAAAAATAAAAAATAAAAAAAGTCTTTGTTTATTTTTGTAACATATTGTGATATTGTTTCATAAACCTGAATGGGCTTGACTTCTTAACCTCACTTAATCGCTTCCCTTCCGCTTCTCTTTCGCGCTTCTCTTTCTCGCTTCCCTTCCGCTTCTCTTTCTCGCTTCTCGGCTTACCTCTCTCAAACACTTATCTCTTCACTTCCTACACTCCACCCCTCTACAAACAACTTACGATGAATCCTAGCAACACTCCTTCGCTGGTCGACCATAGGAGTTACATTGGCTTGTGCGTTTTCTATACTTACTACCCATATCAGTGTCAAATATCAAATTGTCTATAAATCTCACAGTTACCTTCCATATACTTCTTCATCCTTAATCTCTAGTACACCAGAGCAGCTGAGGAATCTGTTCAAAATGTCGAAAGTGCCGACTCAAGATGACATTAAAGGATCGGCCGAGCTATTCGGCTGCAATAATGAAATAGCCATCGATAATAAGCCTTTTGATCGAAACAAAGCCATTGAAAAATGCAAGAAGATATTCAAGGTCACCCCCAAGACTTTGCAGCTGGATGTTGTCGAATGTATTGGCAGTGGTCAAGACTGCATTCTTATTGCTGGATGTGGTTGGGGTAAAACCCTTGTCTACACTCTCCCACTTGTAATTTGGAGAGATCGGATCATTATCATCATCTCTCCTCTGAGGGTATTGATACAGGAGCAGCAGCAGAGCCTTCAAAAGCTGGGGATTAGTAGCGTCGCATTACTCAGTGGAGGGGCTACCACACGAGGAACGATCGGCGACGTGGCCGATGGGAAATATAGGGCTGTTTTCATGACGCCAGAGATTATCTTCGACAGCCCTATTCTGACGAAACTCTGGTCAAATCCAAAATGGCAAAAGCGGCTACAGGCAGTTGTCATGGATGAGGCTCACTGTGTTTGCAATTGGGGCGACAGTTTCAGGACTTCCTATGGCCGTATTGCGGAGCTACGCTCAAAGGTCTCCTGTGGTGTAGCTTTCATCGCTGTTTCAGCTACCCTTCCACCAATGGTTCTAGAGAAGCTCAGAAGCTTGGTCCAATTCAAACCTGATGTCAAGATTATCAACGTCGGTAACGATCGCCCCAACATCAGGTTGGAAGTCCGGCATCTTAGCTCTAAGGATAAGTCCAAGCACCTTGATTTTCTCCTCCTTGATCTTAAAAAAACTATCATCTACTTTCAGACCAAGGACGAGATTAGATATTGGTATAAGCATTTGAAACAGTTAGCAGAGGGCAAGTTCAAGATCGCTGAATATCACGCCGACTTTTCTGAAGGTTACAAGCAAGAAACTATGGAACACTTCAAGCGTGGCGATATCCTCATTTTGCTGGCTACAGAAGCTGCCGGGATGGGGTGTGACATTAGTGATGTCCTTCGTGTTGTGCAGTACAAGTGCCCATCCGCAATCTCGGCTCTTGTACAGTGTCTTGGTCGTGCAGCTCGCAACCCGCAACTTCAAGGTCAGGGTGTATTATTAGTACCACCACCGTCCGTTGGTACCAAGTTTCCAGATGAGGACCTCGCCGATTACATTATGACTAAAGGGTGTCGGCGGAAAGTCCTCAATGACATCTTTGACAATAAGCCTCAACCTAATGAGAACTGTTGCGACATCTGCCGTCCAGTTTCTGAGCCGCTGCAACTTTCTTTCAATGAAATTCGTGTTGACACAGTACCAAAGGTTCGGCGTACGGCAGAACAGAAGGAAGCTGCCAAAGAGGCTATTAAGAAGTGGAGATTGATGGTTTACAAAAGGGATTACGAGCCAGCTTGCCCATGGTTAAGGCTTTCTTGCGTGCTAACGGATGCGTTGGTCGATAAATTAGGCGAAAAGTTTGGCAATGTTACGTCGCCCGAATCGGTAACATCAATTACCGGTTGGACCTTTATAAACGACGACATTTTAACGGAACTCGCCAATCTCCTTATCAATTTAAATAAGGACATCGATAGTGCGTGCCAGCCTGAAATGCAACCGCAGCTCCAAAAGAAGGAGTCCCATATTGGCCGGAATGGCCGTGTTCAAAAACCACGGCCTACCGCAAAGCCAAAGATCGCGTTCCATAATATGACCTCTTTTGACTTCTCCAAACGTGGAAACCCCAATGGCAGCTAACATAGTGTCATCTGTCCCAATTGATTGTTGAAACATTTTAGTTTGTAATAAAGCGTACTAAATCTCAGAAATCTATCAGGAAAAAGCTTAAAAAAAAAAAATTAAAAAATTAAAAAGTTAAAAAATTAAGCATAGCATTCGCGATCCTTCTTTGAGTCTAATCTCAAACCGTTTCTGTGCCTGGAATGCGTGCCTCATTCCTCAATAAAAGGGAAAGTTGTTGCATATTTCAATATGCAATAATAATGGTCCGACTAAAAAACTGATCGATAAAAAATAAAAATAGCGGTAGAAACCAGTGGCAATAATGCGTCACACTAAGACGCGACAAATCGCTGACATGCGAAACCATGTTGTATTATTACAGATAGATATGTAGCTATCTGATACAAGTCTCTCTACCAGAAATGAATAAAATAATCCATGGGTGTGGTGTGTGGACCCACGTCTTATTCTCACTTACTTTTTGACAGTCTACTATCTATCCTAAATATTTTTCAGCGACAACGCACTGGATTGTGGAGTAAATGATGACCTGTGGCCAATTTTCACTTCACTCTTTTTGTGCTTCAAGGGAAGAGTCCGTTTAACATCCACCCAGTTGCAAGAAAATTTGTCAATAGTCTGGCTAGTGACAGCCAAGAAACAACATTGTTTTTTGATCTTTTGATGTCGGATCTTCCTACTAAAACTGAAGCAGAGTTCAGCAAGCGTCGGATTGTTCCCCCACAAATAGGGAAGATGAGTTGGGCTTAGACTGTCGTGATACAAATAGGTTTATTGCAAGAGGAAGTGAAGTAGTTTACAGCCAAAACAACTCATGCAGGACAAAAGAAAGTTGGCTCCGAACCGCTTGTTTGGCAAACTCCAAAACAAGCTCTGATATTAAGTAACCGTTATCTTTAATAAAACGCCTGTATCCCATGAAAGGGGCAAACATGAGAGAAGTCCATGTCCGCAAAACACAGATTTTTTTTATTAATAAAAAAAAAAAGAAAACTAACGAGTTAGTCGAACTCTCCTAAAATCATCCATGCTTGGCCTCAGGTGCGGTCATTTTTTTTTAGTTCGCTTAATATGGCGCTTTGCATTCTCTTCATCTCAGCTGTGCAGATCACAAGTAGACATGGCAAAGCACATTAGGCAAAAATAACATTAAAAAAATTAAAAAAATAAAAAATAAAAAGTACAGATATCAGAAAGCTTGTTCTCTGTTGTTCTCAACTGAATCGAATTGATATCAACTAACTTACAGATACCCTCTTCTAGTGCTCTTAGACGAGATGCAGTTTCACTACCACACTTGCTGGGGGTTTCAGAACGCCCTGGTGGAGCCACGCGGGGTGCCAAGTCCATTCCATCTAATATACGCTTCTGTTTTCGCGACAGGAGCTCATCCGAACAGGGGGTGACAGAGCGACTTGCCCAGGGTTGGGCTGTGAACTGTAGCTCTTCTGAGGTGAGATCTGGCGAGACAGCTTCCGTGATGTGATCTAACTGAGGAGAAAATGGGTCTGGAGGAGAAGAGGATGTCTTGCTAGGATCTGGGGGAGGAGAGGATATCTCACTGGGATCTGGTAGAACAGAGGATGCCTCGCTGGAATACGTTGGATTAAGGAGTTTTGTGGATATGACGATCGGGTTCGAGTCGAGATAATGGTGGTTCCGGCTCTGGTGGTCAGGCAGTAACGCAAACGAGGCGTTTTTTGGACCTTTTTTTTTCTTCGTCAACATTTCTTCAATCATCGTATGGCACGCATGGCATTTGTGGACATGCCGAGAAAACCCTGGTTGCCCAATTTCATCACATCCTTCCCCGGGCGGTTTGAACATGCCATTGTCTGTCAGTGTAGCAATGTAGACGATGCACAGCTTGTTGCCAAAAAGTGGTTTGATGTAAATGTTGGCGGTTGCAGAGGAAGAATGGCTTTCTTTACCATAGTAAGGAGGAGGGGCTGCTCCATGCGTGATAGCCGTGATAGCCGTGATAGCCTTGAGTTTTTTTTGTTTAGCTTTAGGCATCCCAAAACTTGATGTGGATGAGAAGGTGAGAGAGTGAATTTCTTTCATGTTGGCCTTTTTTAAATTTTAAATTTTAATTTCTAGACTCTTTCAAATACAAATGGTTTACTTTACAAAATTCTTATAGTTGAAAGGATTAGCCCTCTGGTTAAAAAAAGTTGCGTGCGTATACCCAACTTTTTTACACCACATGTGTCCAGTAGTTTTGAGAAAAGCGGTACGTACCCCAACACTCTTACACCACTTTAGTCCGTCGGTTGATTTTTTTGCACGTCCACTAATATCTTTATGTGAACTTTTTTTTTATATTATTCTCTTGACCAGTTAACTTGGCCAGCAAAAATCGAAACTTTGTCATCGGCTCCAGAAGAGAAATATGGGGCCCAGGCTAGAAACAGAAAAAAAAATTTTTTTTCTTAGAAACCATTTCGCATGTTGTAACAGTATATAGCCTTAAGCCTATAAAAAGGCTTGTTTTAATATTTATAATAAAATCACCTTTTGTCTTCACTACCTATTACACATGTCTTCCACTAACAACATCGTTTCTTCTTCCTCTGCAGTTAGCACTAGCAGGAAACGCACTCGTGACGAAGTAGAGAGCACTCCCAACGTTAACGAGGTGTCATCGAGTACTCAATCCGATCCAAACGAGTACCGTGGCAGGCTAGTGCCTTTCAAACCAGTGTCCACGGAAAACCTGTTAAGTGTATATAGTAAACTTTTCCTGGATCCGTACCAGTGTTCAATCCGCGGGCGGTCTGACCCTTTGCCAGCCGAGTATCAGGACGGGGATGAAGTCTATCCTCGAGAATGGTTGGTACTCGAGGGTCAAGAGGCAAGGACACCCAAGGGCCATGTGCTAAAGCGTGAAGGCTTCACGCTATTCCGTCTGCATGAGCCATCGTTGTTCAAGCAGTTGGAGAAGCTCAAGCTTCGGCTGGTCTCGGAGGAGGATTGGGAGACCGCCAAAAAAGCAAGGGCTACTCTGCAACAACAACATAGAGTGGCTGAGGCGCCTGTGGTTGCAAGCACCACAGAGTCAATGCAGCTAGGGGTCTGCGCAAGGTTTTCACTGAGCTGACCGCTGTTGGCGTGGAAGCGCCTCATAGTAAACGCTTGGAGGAAAGGGCAGCTCTATGGATAGAGCTATATAAGACGGTTGTGCCAGCCAAGCATCCTGTCGATCAAGAGGAGACTGCTAGCGAGCCAAACAGTTCTCCTCGTCATAGTAAGAGAGCTCGAACATCCGTAGAGCCATCTACAAAATAGTATTTTTTTTCATCGACATTAATAAAAGTGCAATTTGACAGAGTTAGAGGTCACACTCAGGCACCAGAGTTTTGAAGCATAAAAAAATATATTTGTGGTATCGATCGACTGAAACAACTCACTACTTGAATTGAATCAGGTTTGGCACATGAATTTTTCCACCTTACGCTCAGTGGAAGAAGAGGCTTTCAAAAGATCGGCCTTGCTTTCAGTGTCAATGGCTCAACTCTGAAGATAAAATAAAGCTAAGCTACAAGTATTTAAGTAAATGCAACCAGTGTAAAGTCTGTATGTATAAATGGTTAATGAGAGATGCCTGTCCCTTTAATATTACAGACAATGTTAATAGAGCACAAGGTATCCTTTCCATAACCTAAACCCCACTACTCCTGTGGACAAGATAAAGGAGAGTCCAGCTGGCGTAAGCAATATAAGAGGTCCAACGAAAACCCAGCTACCCGAGTATGTCCGCAATATGGACCATCCGGCGCAGTATACCGTGTATGGTATTGCTAAGCAACATGGCGACCTCGAAATCGAGTTATAACCAATTTCCGCTGAGAAATAAAATCCTTAATTATTATTTATTATTTTTTTATATACTATAAAATGTAATTATTTTATGACAATGGGGGACTCATGTAGTGCGTGTAAAGGTGCTGAAGGCTGAAGGTTTGAGCCTAGTGACGAATGCAAGCTTGGGAAAGGATCACTCACAAACTCGTCTATTGCTGTAAGCTTTAATGACTAGAAAAAAGAGAGGACTTCAGTAGAGTTGAATTAGGTCGTTGGACATGTAATCGGAAAATGAGGAAAAGAGGTGCATTGGGTGAGAACGTTAGGTGTCTGCTGGAAACATGACTGAAGGTATAAAGCGCATTAACTGAAGCGTTAGCCGAGATGTTAAAAAAAGAGTGTACCATATCAAAAAAAAAAAAAAAAAAAAAAAAAAAGGTGCAAAAAAAGGTGTAAAAAAAGGTGTAAAAAAAGGCGTAAAAAAAGGCGTAGGTGTAAAAAAAGGTGTAAAAAAAAGGTGCAACAAAAAAAGGGAAGCTGAGGGTGTTAGAAGCACATCGTTTTTATTAAAAAAAAAAAAAAAAAAAAAAAAAAAAAACAATAATGTGTAAACAACACGCATTCGCAAGATCATACACGCATTCAAACATGGATTGACGAGTGTCGTATAAACTGGGGGCACCTTCATCTGACCTATTGGACCCATAGCTAAGTTTAACGCCAAGGTTTTTTGTTATCTTTGTATGAGTGGGCTTTCCTCGGCCCTGTCTCTTCGCAACCATCGGAGTGAGTCGCACGATGGATCCCGCGGACGAATTCTACCCTCAAGTGTGAATGCTACGACCACTCTGTCCAGACCCACAGGTCACTGAAGGACCATCTCCTTAAGTGTCCAATGGTCAGCAAACTCGTGTTCCCGCGGCCGTGTTCGTGGTGCAAGGAGCCGATGAAGATGACAGAGAAAGCGAAGAAACAAAACTCCTTGAAAGACGTTGCGGCTCTTGCGAGCCACTCCCTCAAATGCGAATCATGGCCGGTTAGCGTGTCTCAGGAGGACTGGCGTTTATTTGAGATGGAGCTTATCGACAACGTGAAGCATGTTGCTAGTGCTGAATTTGCCAAGAATATGTTTATGTCAATATCGATAAAGTTAATGGACGGCGAGAAGCTGTTTGGTTTTGCGCTTGCTCCCCGAGCCTATATACTTAAGAAAGAAGGGAAGTCGCCTTGGTGAGCCCTTTGAACCATCAACAAGAAAGGACACTGGAGGACGCGGACTTGGAGATGGCTCTGAAGCCTCAGCCTTACGGTCGGCTGGTGAAGCTGGAGGAGTACGAGCTGGCGAAGGATAACGACTAGTTTTGGCACATGCCGTTCTTAGGTAACAGCGAGCAGGTGGCAAGGAAGTTGCAGAGCTGTCTGATCCAGTCTGGTAACGACATTATCATGTGTCTTAAGGTGGAGGTGTACAGCCGTCTTCAGTCCGAGGACCCCCATGCCGATGCATTCGTGGCTTTTCCAGGTAGCAAGGTGGTCAAGGTCGCCAGTCAGTTGTTCAATCGTACCAGCCAGCTGATGATTGGAACAACCGCATGGAGTGCTCTAGTGACGATGGGCGTTGTGCTGACGAGTGGCAAAGTTATTGTGGGGCCACATAACATCGTTTTCAATCCTCACAGTGAGTCGCACATATGGCTCAAGAAGGTAGTGAGGAATACCTGTACAACAATGTGGAGCGTCAGACGCGGTCCAACTTTGACGAAGAGGCCACGTACGGCAAGCACGCTGCCGTACATCCTCAGTTTAAATCGCCCTTCACCAGTCCAGTGCTGTTGGCGACTTTGTGGCATTTCAAGCATCAGCAGAAGGGATGGTCAGGCCTCAAGCTTGCTGCCTATATTTTCTACGAACTCTACAGTGACAAGGGCGTTGTGCTGAAGAAGCAGGTGGAGGATTACTTGGCCCTGATTCCGCATGCCAAGCAAGGTAATGGCGGGATTTACAAAAATCTGGAGCAATTGGTCAAAGTCATGAAGGCGGAAGAGACAAGGCCTGTCTCGGCGGAGGTTGATAAAAAGCTGAGCGGTCTTGCAGACAAAATACAAACAGAACTGACTCGTATCAACACCGGTACTATCACAGTCAACGTTGAGGCGCAGCTAAAGAGAATACTACAACCGTGAAAGACGTATGAGTAATTTTATCATCATCAACGCGGAGTCCTTTACATTTTTTTTCATATCAGATTATGTCTCCCTCCCGCCATGCTTCTATACTATCTTTCTGCGATTTTTATTAAATGACGACAAAGACGATATTTATACAATAAATAAGACTAAATGGGTGAAGATAAAAGAACCATTATGAAAAAGAAGGAACCTAGTCTACACTGAATTATATACAATAGAATGGTATTACAATAAATTACAATGTGATGAACATGATTAGGACAATAGATTGCAATATGATACAGACAATAATAAATTACAAAATGATACAGTAGAAGTGGTACTTGAGATGATACAGGCTGGGACGACAAAAGTGCGAAGGTTCTCACAAGGCTTATGCTGATGAGGATGATATTGGAGCAAAGAATAAGAGCAGAGAAAGGACCAGAAATGAGAACATAATTGGAGCTGGAGACAGGGCAGGGGACGAGGTATAAATGCGGGAGGATTGATCCTTGCTCCTGTACAGAGTAAGCTTCTATGTGAAGCTACTGTCTGGATTCAAAGAAAATGGACCTCCATGACGGGGACATTGCACTATTCCCTAAATGCCTCATCTAGGTCAGAGAAGTCGTATTCATCATCTGCTATCACATCTAAATCTGGGCTATCGTATCCATCTGTCTGCATGTTTTCAGGGAAACAGGAGGTAATATACGACTCCACCTGTTGATCTTCTATCGCAAGGCTTGCGAGAACAGTCGCCATGTCTTCGGTACTATTTCGTTCGGAAATGTGCTTAACAATGTTTTGGAAGCGTCCTGCTACCAGCTTTTCAAAGCCTTCGCAATACAAATCTGTGGTAATCGGAATATGGCTGCTGCCCAGACAGGAACCTCTGCCAAGAATATTATAGTCACGAAGATGAGCTACAATTCTTATGATATCTTCATCGACAGAAACTGGTGAGTGTCGAGTACTGTTGGGAATCATGTTGTACTGTGACTCGAGCACCGACTTGAGCTTCGAAAACAGACGAATGTTGGTAGATATTGAATTGGCCAATGTCTCCCAGGACATATTGCTTCCCTTCGCTGCATGAATGACTTTTGTCAGCAGGTTATTGTGCTCTTGGTACAAATCCGCAGGGATCCTCCCATTCTCCTTGCCCTTCGTATTTATCAGCAAGGAGGACAAAATAGCCTTCCTCCGTTGTGCAGACCAGCCGTAGTGGATCCCATATGTCAAACGCAAGAGCTCGCCTGCATAGTTTTTCATTCCTCCAGCTTGAAACATGACGGTTATCGTTCCCAGCACATCTTGGATGCGTCCGATGTCCCCAGCCTTTATGGCTGCACCCAATTCGATATAAACAAGAGCATCCCTGATAAACAAAGCCGCGTTTGCATTCGCACTGCCGCTTTCCTCGGCGATCTGATGTGCGTTGCGCAACCACTTTTGTATGACAGCGTCGACCCCTTCGCAAACTTTGCCTAAAATATTGTCCGACTTGCCATAGTTCTCTAGCCTGCACTCATAAGCCTGCATGTCGCTGATATTTAGCCCAAACTCAACTTCCCATAGCCGTCTTACCATTGCATCGAAAGTATGCCTTATCAGTTCGTCTGCGGCGTGAAAGTTGGATGTATCACGGCCAAGTCGCTTTCGCCCCAGCATGGATATAATAAAACCCAGAGACCCTGGTGATGAAAAGGACCCATAATGAGTACGAAGGATTGTACCACAGAGAACCATTTGGAGGTGAAAGAGCTGTATCACAGGAATCGCCCATTGCATTCGATCGAAGCTTGTTCTATCTTCTCTGCGTAGCTCTTGCAAGGATGCTATTCTGGATATGGTAAGCTGATCCCCCGCAACTATAACTTTTGTATAGTCGGTGAACCACTCTTCAGGCAGCTGAAGCGTGTCTCTCATTATTGTCTCAAGGATCTCAATGTTGCCTGATATAGTTGATTGATCGATCTTCAACGCAGGCAACGGGTATGTTTTTGTCTCCTTTACTTCAAGGGGCTCTATTGAAGGGGCATCCATCGAGCAGTCGTAGGTGGTGAAATGCCGCTGAAGAACGTCGATCAAATGGAACCGAGTGACATCTCTACGGCATTATCAGAACGATTAGCTAAAAAAAAAAAAAAAAAAAAAAAGGTAGACTGATTATGCACTTCAGTCGTGTTTTTGTGTCTGTGCCTCACCTTGAGTGCAATTGCCTTGGAATAAGGGTGCAAATGGAGATGGGAAGTACATCTTGATCTTGATCTGGCCCAATATCCTCGCCGAGCACGATGGTCGCGGTGGTCCCATTATCGAAGGAGTCTAAGTTATTGCTGCGCTGGTCATATTTCCGATTGGCCATATTAATGTTATCATACAGCAAGTACCATGGGCGCTTCCTAACTTGGGAACGAACCTCCTGAAGAGAATTCCTTGTTAACGATCTGAGGGCTGTGCAGATCGTCATATGTGACACCGATAGACCACTCACAGCGAGCAAATTTATCACACGCTTTGGACATCCCGAGGCATGCAGATGAAGTCCCATCATCATTTGCAAGTAGTTCGACTTCTGGGAACAGAGTTTCACCAACATGCTAACGATAGTGACACGAATTGCTGGTGCTTTTTCAATGGAGTAAGGGTTGACCGATGTCAAATTGGAGATGATTTTGAAGAGCAGGGGTGCTGATTCCAACTTCTTATTAATTAAATTTAATGAAAATTCCTGGACCACCTTGGGGGACAAATTCTTGGCTGGAAGCCTCAGGTCATCGGTCTTGGTGAGCTCCTCGAGTTCACGTTTTGCGCCATCAACGACAATGTCTGCTGCAGCCCGACCGAGATCGTCGTATGCCTTATTATGAGCCTTTTCGGATTCCAATTGCGATTTCCACGTCTCGACTATGGAAGCAGGACCGCTATTAGCATAAAATCTCCTGACGCTTCCTTGGACGACCCTATGGCGCGATTCAAATACATCTGATAGGAATTGACGTAACGATATTTTTTTTTCCTCTACCAGCACTTTAAAAATATCGACCAAGTAATCATCATTGGAAGGATAGATGGAGGGAGTTTCGCCGATAATTTCCAGCTCCTCCTGCTGTTCCGATGTAGGCGTTGGGGTTTCTCCTTCTTCCAATGCTTTCCACATCTGGCGCATTGTGCTAGAGATGAGGGGCATGAAGAGATATGTGGAGGATAGACGTGAGATTTGAGGACACATTGACATTTGACACTAACATTGGTTCCGTTTTAGCAATAGTATACATACATGTTTCTCAGCGGCTCAGGAACCGATGGGGTAGCCTGGTTAGGTGTGCGATAGCTCTTAGGAAGCTTGATAGGTTTGAAATTACGAAATTTGATAGAATCCATCGTAAGTTGTTTGTAGAGGGGTGGAGTGTAGGAAGTGAAGAGATAAGTGTTTGAGAGAGGTAAGCCGAGAAGCGAGAAAGAGAAGCGGAAGGGAAGCGAGAAAGAGAAGCGCGAAAGAGAAGCGGAAGGGAAGCGATTAAGTGAGGTTAAGAAGTCAAGCCCATTCAGGTTTATGAAACAATATCACAATATGTTACAAAAATAAACAAAGACTTTTTTTATTTTTTATTTTTTTTGCTAGAAAACTATGGCATGCAGCAATTGTGAATAGAATATTCACCTTGAGCTCAGGACTCAGACTGTGAAGGGGATTGGAGGTGGAACGCGATATTAAAAAAAAAAAAAAAAAAAAAAATTATTATTGTGCATGAATTTTTTATAAGTATAAATACTTATAAAAAATACAGCCACTAGTTCTGTCCCTTGCATATACGGAAGAATATTCCCTCAAGTGTATTATTTATTTCCTTTTTGAGCTACCAGCTAATAAGCGAAGATTTTTTCCCAGCCCCTTCACTTTAGGTGACTCAAAAAGGAAATGGAATTTCCTGTCACCTTTATAAAGTGAAGAGGGATGGGTACGAGCCTAAAGTTTCTCTACAATTTCCTGTGTCCTCAACGGTCCACCTTCATTCTAAGCCCAACGGCACAAATTGCCAATAGGGGACAGAGGAGAGGTTATAGATCGTCGATACCGAATCTATGAGGAGGTGTGCGCCGGATTGCCGAGAGAAATATTTCCAATCATTGTTGTATGTTAAGTGTATGCGCGCTAATCGTGGCTTATAACTGATTGAAGGCTTGTCTGTCATTTTCTTTGTGCGCTGTCATTCCCATTGATCTTTAATTCTCTTTCCTCCATCTCTCAGTTGTACCGTGATGGATTTACCCATCAGTGAATTTCCTGAGTATTCTAAAGCTCAAGGGAGGAACTTCTTGATGATTTAACATCCATCAACCAGGGCCTTTTTGTGAATGATCACACATCTATACCCGCTTTACTCAAAGATAACGCGATATGTAAAACTCTTTTTTTTTATTACGCGTTTTATTAGTCGTCCATAATACGCGTCTAAAAGGATAGAGTTGTTTTTATTTATTTTAGACTGTATTAAGCGAAACAGCTGCAAAAATGGCCACCACAAGAAATAACGTGGTGGACCTTGTGAACGAAACAGCTGTAATGTTGAGGTAAATTGCAAAATAGAAAGTATGATACTGGTATTTAAAAAGGTTCGACCTATGGCTATAGCATGATGATAGGGTTATTAACAATACCGTCTTTTTCTTTCTTAGTTCTTTAAAGAGAAAAACACAATATTTCACCTTGATATCAATTGAGGTGATTCTAGAATCGTGAAGTGTTGCAACTAAATAGTCGCTTAATTGACCTACGAATTGAGAATTAAAGAAAAACAATAACAAAAAAACAACGGAGGAGGATTCTTTACTTCGCATAAATTCATATATCTTCCCTATCTTCTGTCTTTACACGCGAAAGATTGCCCAATATCACACTGGCAAATCCTGATTGCAGTTCCGCAAAGCATTAAGCCATTGAACCCCAAAACTGAACGACGTTCTAGTTCACACGACCTATAGATTTCGATAGAGTCCAGCCAACTATTGCGCAACCTCAGAAACAATTAGAAAGCTTCAGTGGGTGGAGATTTGTGAGCTAACCTTCAGCCACAAGCCTGTACAAGTACATCTTTCATCCATACCCTTGGTATTTTTAATTGTTGGACCAAAGCCTGCTGCTTCTTTTTTTTTTTTTTTTTTTTTTTTTAATCCACATGTGTTTATGTAATATCCACATGTGGGCGAATGTCATACTTTTGTCAATTTTTGCAGTTTGTTCACTTTTTTTTTTTTTTTTTTTTTTTGGCGCACCGCCCACCAGGCAGGATACACAAAATCAAAGTGGATACAAGGCATAGCCCCCACTGTTAACGACAATTAAAAGTCTTTGCTGTATCATTTCATTTGTAAAATACATAATGCCAATATTTTTCATGCAGAACAAAAATAAGGAGAGACAAATTTATCCCGACTGTCGCTCGGTTAACAAGAGAAACAAAAGGGTAAAAAAAATGCAAGGGGCAGGGGAAAGAAAAGATGTCTCCTTTGTCTATGTACACAGGTGCAGAAATTGGTGCATGTAGCATTCATTATTTCCGGATATAATGTAAATTCACTTCACAAACACCCATTGTTGCTTTCTTTTTTTTCTTTTTTTTTATACCTCCATCTCTACATCTTATTACTTGTAATCAATCAGTAACTTCATTCACAGTGACAACAGCGTTTCGACGTCGCCTTATCGCCTTGATCTCATCCGTTCAAAACATTAGTCATGACACTATCCCTACAGTCTCTGTCTTCATCTCCACTAAACCTCACAGAGATTCTTCAAACGATATTATCCCTGCTGGACCCTCCGAGCCTGGTTGCAGCAAGTCAAGTCTCGCGCCACTGGTACCAATGTTGCTCACCAATCCTGTGGAGTCGTATCGCCAGTTCAGATTGGTCTCTCGCTCGCTTCAGCCCCCGCCAGCTCTATATGCATGCGCATCTCGTCCGAGACTTGGAATGGCGTTCTTCCCAAAATGCATCTACTCCATACGTTATCACAACAAATGTATCACCACCTCATCAGTCTCTAGGAGACATCAATATGACTACCATTCAACCTGTTATGATTATACGTCAACAAGAACAACAACAGCAGGAGCAACAACACCAACAACAATATATAGATCCACTATTAGACCCGCAATCCGACTCCAAAATATGCAACAATTTCATCTTTTTAGACCATCAGTCAGGGAGACATCGATTCCTATCAAAGAATGTAAAGTTGGTTGATGACAACGTTGTCGGTGACCATCAGCTCTCGCTCGCCTGTCTGAGTAAGATTGTGGCCAGGTGCATAAACATACAACGACTCTGCCTCCATGCAGAATGGAGTGGTATTTACTATGGGATCATGCATGCCATTCATGGACTCAAGTTTCTACAATCACTTGAGTTGTATGCACACCGAGTTATCTTGAACTCTGAAAAAATATCTAAATCAACGGCCAATGTAGTTACAAAGTTATTGAACGTTCAAGAACTGATATCAAAATGCCCTCAACTTCAGAGGCTAGTCCTTCGTGGGGCTGCATTTTGTTTTCAATCAGCATCAACACTATCTCTTTGTGATAACCAAGAAAACAAGAGCATCTCTGGATCATGCAAAGGATCTACTCTCAACCAATCAGAAAGTGTGATAAAATTGGCGGCGATTAGTGCGACCAACTTAAAATTGGAGCACCATCAATATCTGCCGTCACACGAGCTTCTTACCCCACATTCATCTCATCTTTGGCCCTCTTCGCCAATATCTTTGCACGACAACACACAGACAAAGTTCTTAATCCAACGTCTTTCTTTAGATACTGCAATAACAGAGAGCGAACTCACTCTTCTACTCTCACAATGTCCATCCCTTCAGTCTCTAGATCTTCCAGGAGGGCTCGCCTGGGAGATGTCTGACAGATTTCTCAAAAAGCTGACAAATCATTGCCCTCATCTTATAGAATTTACCATCAACGCATCTTGTAATGCACCAGTAACAGAGGAGCGGCTCACTGCACTAGTTTTAGCCTTGGCGGTCACACCTCGCCCTTCAGCATCCCTTACTTCCAGCTCTTTACGTCGATTCGGTGCTCGGTCCTGCATGTTTGGTGATTCGACATTAGAAGCAATAGAGAAATATTGTCCTGATCTAGAAGAGTTGGATATTTCATTAACAAGAGGGAGTGATTTGTCAAAGCCGAGGCTGCAACGATATCTGAGACTTGCCACAAAACTAAAGAAGCTGGAGGCAGATGCAGTCTGGATTCCAATGCAAGGTTTACAGTCCTTACAGGAACATACCAATAATATCAATCAACATCACTTTCATGAAAGTAACTCAACAATCTCTTCAGCCGCCACTACATCATTTTCATTACCATCATCGTCAAAGGATTTTTCATCATTGACGGCTTGGGGCAGTAGCAGGACACTCGAGCATCTGACTATTGGGTTCACTAGCCCTGACCGAAATACACACCAATGTCGCGCTATGTATGCACTTCTTGCAACGCTGACAGAATTACAACACCTACAACTGTCATATACATGTTTAAAGCTTCTCACGCCAGGTTCAGGTTTCCAGCGACTTGAGAGCCTCAAAAAGCTGAGGACTTTCAGTATCGAGACATGTGGCTATGGTGTGATTACACGAGAAGATCTGGTTTGGATGGTCACTGCATGGCCAAAACTAGAGCGGATTGTGATGAACTCTCCAGGAGTCACCAAGGAGAGACAGTATCGGACATGGCTTCGGGAGATCAATAGGGAAGATGTCGCAATTGAAAGCCGACAGATGCTGTCGTATTAACTTATCCTACAAGTCATATAAACAAATAAGCCTTTTATTTTTTTATTTTTATCTTTATTTTTTTGTTTCCAAATATTATGAAATCTGTATTTAATATCTTACAAGAGCGAGCTCAAAAGGATGAATAAAAAAGAAAGAAAGAAAGAAAAACAAACAAAAAAATCGCGATATATGGCTACGGTGGTGGTGCAATCTTGGCCATGCCCTGCCCTTTAGGTAATTTCTTCTTACTGTCATCATCCAAGTCCTTGTCTTTATAATAATGTGGCGCCACTGAGACATGTGCAGCGGGTGTAACAAAGAAAAGGGGAAAAAAAGAGTAGGTAGATTAATATTATGATAGAGTTTAATATTCTATCAGTATATATCCCACAAATACCCCTTTTGTTACCTTCTTTGAGCCAGTCGCTTTCAATCTCCATGACGACACGCATGAATTCTTTGCTCGTAAGAACCAATTCGAAATAAACCACCCATTTAGGGTTTATTTGATATAAGGAGCTACTAGGATGGATCATCACCGTCTGGCTACTCTTGATGGTCTTATACGAGTCTCCGGAGCGGTTTAGTCTGGCAGCATTATAAAAGAATCCAGATGTGATCGCCTTCCTAATCGGTGCTGTGTCTGCTGGGTTCGGATTCGAGACCATCGCAACTTCGGTTCTTTCCATCAGCCCCACCATTTGATCTCGAATATCGCGGGCTCTTGACATGGATCGATGTTGCAAGAAATTTTCATAACACCACTGGATCGAGTAGTTTGCTTCAACCCATTGATCCCAAATATTCAGTAGTGTCAAATGGTCCCCACCAGGTTTGGTCAAATTTTGGCGAGCCTTATCTGCATGCAATTTCTTGTCTTTAGGCCGATAAAAGACTGCATTTTGAACTGAGAGCATCGCCACGATCGACGCGATCTCCTCAGTACAATGATATTTTTCTGCCATAATCAATGTCTTGGCTAGCATGGGATCGCCCGGGAACTCCGCCATGCGTCGTCCAAGTTTTGTTAACTGGCCTTTGTCATTTAGCGCACCTAATGCATATAATTGCTCCAATGCTCTCATCAGTGTCTCTGCAGGCGGAGGATCCATGAAATCAAATCCTAAAATATCGTTGATCCCAAGAGACTTGAGTGTCAAGACCACAGAGTTTAGATTAATTCTTTGAATCTCAGGTATAGTGTTCTCCTCCAATTCATTATAATACGCCCACTGTGTATACAGTCGAAAGCATTTTCCAGGACCAACTCTTCCTGCTCGTCCTTTTCTTTGGTTGGCAGAGGCACGTGAGCAAGGCGTCACAACAAGAGATTCCATTCCAGTCTTGGGATTATAGCTGAGCATCTTAGAAAATCCTGGATCAATAACAAACTTAACTCCATCAATGGTGATGGATGTTTCTGCAATGTTGGTTGCCAGTACAACTTTGCGCGAGCCTTCTGGGGTCGGCTCAAAGATCTTGCCTTGCATATCAGACGGTAGTGACGAATAGATAGGACATACGATTAATTCTTGAATCCTATCACCTAATACTCGACAGGTCTGCTGAAGATTTTCAGCAGCATTGTCGATTTCATCTTGCCCAGTCAAAAAGACCAAGATGTCGCCAGGCCCTTGAGAGATGTGGATTTGCATAATTGTAGTAATGGCTGCAGCAAGATAGTTGGCCTCTGGTGATGTGGTATAATGCACTTCAACAGGGAATGGTCGCCCAGGAATATTGAGAATGGGTGCATCGTCGAAATATTCAGCGAACTTTTCAGCATCCATTGTTGCACTGGAAATTAAGACCTTGAGATCTGATCGAAGCCGCGCAATATCCTTGACCAAGCCAAGCAAAATATCGGTATGCAATGTTCTCTCGTGAGCCTCATCAATGATCAAACAGCTGTATCCAGCTAAGTCTGGCTCACTCATGAACTCTCGAAGCAGCATACCGTCTGTCATGTACTTCATTACCGTCTTCTCGCTTGTGCAGTCTTCAAACCGAATTGAATAGCCAACCTCGTAGCCCAACTTGACCCCCATCTCTTCTGCTACACGGGCTGCAACACTCATAGCAGCAACACGGCGTGGTTGTGTGCAACCAATCTTCATACCTCCTTTAGTATACCCTGCCTCATACAAGTACTGAGGCACTTGTGTTGTCTTTCCAGATCCTGTTTCACCAACAATCACAATTACTTGAAATTTTTCGACAGCATCCAATAATATTTGTCGATATTGGTAAATAGGTAATGACTCGCGAACCTGCTTGATAGACATTTCCTTACGCTCCAACTCAGTGATCCTCTCGAGCAGCTCCTCAGTCTCCCGTTCTTTAGTCTCTTCTTGTTTCTCCAGGATAAAATCTATATTTTGCTCATCAAAAACATATTCGTAATCCATCTCCTCTCCCTCCTTAATATCTGACTTTCTAGTTGCATGCTGTCTTGAGGCCCTGACTTGCTGCTCCTCCCATTGATCCTGTTCTGACACAAATTTGTCCCCAGGCTCTTCCTGGTATCTCCTGTACAGCGCATCATGTTTCTTCTTTTTGTCTAGCTTTCCTTTTTCTGTAATATAATCTTCTGGCATCTGATACCCATCATATTTGTCATTGATATTCATACGCTCCTCAGCCAGCCTTAAGAGCTCCTTTTTGTATTCCAGATCCTCGCGTTCCTTCCTAGTCAACTCATTCAGATCAAACAGCTGCTCTTCATCTCGAATCTGCATTCGAAGTTTTTCAATTTGGAGTCCCTCACGTTTTGCAAGATACTCTTGACGGGCTCTTTCCCTCAATGTCGGGAGAGCCGCCTTTCTCGCTTCTGGATCATCTGCCAAGTTCCTACGTGAATCTGTTTTCGACGATCGATCCTCTACTAATTTCTTCGTCTTGCTCTCATCCTTGTTTCTCAAGCGATTAGCGAACTCATCTCTTTCTCTAATATCTTCTTCCCGCTCCCGTTCTTTCCTTTCTTCCTCAAGCTCCTCTATGTTATTGAAATGAAAGGCGAAGTAATAAGGAAAAATAAAAAAAGAAAAATAAATGTCGGGGCCTAGTTACCGACAATGATAAATCATAAGAAAACATTGATAGTTGTCAAGGAAATCCAATATTCTTACCTTCAGTCTTTGGTGGTCGTAATTCGCGTTCACGTTCCTCCATTTTGCGACGCTTGTACTCTTTTTCTTCTTCGTCACTCTCCCATGCATTTTCGTCTTCCTTTCTCCGAATTTTCTTTTCGCGCTTCTTATCATCTGATGCTCTATCTTTCTCTTTATCCTTGGCTTTTGAAGATGAGCTCTTTTTTTTCTTTTTCTCGGGTTTCTCGTCACCTTCATCAATGATCAAGCCATATGAGTCATTCATCTCCAATAGCTTCAGCGCTGCAGCCTCCTCTTGTCTCTTTTTTTTGACTGCATCTGCCGCTGTACTGGCTCCAGATCCAGATGCAGATTTCTTAGACTGAGTCCGTGGAGTACGTTTAAATAAGTCCTGTGCAAACGCCTGTGTACTGGCATTCGATGTGATCCCCATGTCTTCTAATGCTTTTAGGAGACTTGCCGGGGATTTTGCAGATTGGGCTACCGTTGACCACCCCAATAGAAAAAAAAAAAAAAGAAGACAGCAGTTAGAAGCGCTTTTAAGATAACCTCATTTAAATACTTATTCATTTCACCATCAACATACCACACGCAATCAAATAATCCCTTGTGCTATTGTCGGACATCCCAAGGACCTAGAATGTTAGTGATGTCCATGAGAACATTATGATTAGCTAGCCAAGCGAACATGTTGTTTCTCGCTCTTTTTTACTTTTTGTCTTGGACATTACTTTGATAGATGTATCTGAAACCCATCGCTTGAGCTCTTGTGAATCCATGGTGAATGCGTATGCTTGTGATCTTATTTACTAAAACTAGAAGAGTTTATAGATCGTAGTGCTGAGAAAGTTGTCTTGAAAGAGTGGCGAAGCAGTTATGAGGATTTAACACATTATACGTCATTTGTCGGTTTTAGTGTTTTTTCCTTTCTTTGTCTTTTTTTCACTAAGTACCATCAGGTTAGGCTCGTACCCAACCCTCTTCACTTTATAAAGGTGACAGGAAATTCCATTTCCTTTTTGAGTCACCTAAAGTGAAGGGGCTGGGAACGAGCCTACCATCAGGTATCATGTTAGTCTAAGTCTAACACCATCGAGCACTAGGGCTCGATTACCTCGCGATCAGTGATCGGGCATGATACGAAAATATTTCTTTTCGCCATACCATCAAACACTGGGCTGGGAAAAAATGTACTCTCAAAGATACCGAAATAGTGCTGAACATCAGGTGTGCTTAAACTATTGATTCTGGTCGAAACGCTTGAGTGATATTGCAAGGTAGCTGAATAATGTTGAATGCACCTTTGGAAGAGGCTTTGGATTGGACGACGCCTGGCAAAACACCATCTATTACTCCACTATTTACTACAAATAGTCAAATTAACAGGAAGAAAAACTCTATATTCCCAGGACTGGATAAAAAAAGGAACACGAACATTAATGCTGTTCAGTCAGTACCTAAGCCCTTCTCTACAGAGTTATTAATAATGACAGCAGTTTCTTAACTAGCTTTTCGGGCCATCAGTATAGAGATTCTTCTTACCTAATGTTTATCCTAATATCCTTACCACCTGATACGCCTACCATTCCTATGGGATCCATTTTGCGTAGAGAAAACCGCCGTCGTTATTGCAAAACATGTTTATATATATACTGTGTTACCTGTTGCCCATTCACACTTTTTTTTTTTTGTTTTGCTGGGTGTAAGAGTCCTTGTCGGATAAAGTCACCTGTTTGTAAAAGATGAATGGAGCAAATGGAACAATAAGGTCTTTTTCTTTGTTGTTTGAACTGTAATGTATACATGTACAAGCACTGTACATGTTATACAAATATATTTATATCATGTGTTTACTGTTATGATTGTTCATACACAGCAATAAACCGGTACAGTGGAATCTCGATAATT